CTGTCGCCCTGGGCCAGTGTTGCACTCCTGCAGCGAGACTGCATTTTGTTTGTCGTCCTGGACCAGTGTTGCACTCCTGCAGCGAGACTGCATTTCGTCTGTCACCCTGGACCAGTGTTGCACCGTGACTGCTGACTTTCGCCTTGCGTCTTGACACGAGGTCGATGAATGCATCGACGGCTTGGCGATTCTCAGCTCTGTCCCAAGGCTGATTCCCTGTCCCAAGACTGATTCCCATCTACTGACAGCAACAGAAACAACAACACCCAGGACCTCCAGACTCGCAAAGATCAAATGACGGCACATCGGCACAATACATGTCGTATAGCCCGGCACATCAGCACAATACATGTCGTATAGCCCGGCACATCAGCACAACACACGTCGTATATCCCGGCACCACGTCCCGGTCGACGTACTGCACCCTCCATCACTATATCCGGCTAAACACAGGCCCTTAGCCCGCCAGCACGCGACAAGCTGGCATTCGCCGACCCGGCCACCGCTCCTTGACTACATAGATTACATTAGCATACTTGTAGCTCTATTTAAATTAGCAGGGAATATAAGGAAAGCGCAGCAGGGCACTTCTCTAGGCTGTTGATATTACAAGTGTAACAGCGCTGGGCGGAGACATGGTCGCGCTCGTGGGATCCATGAGTCTGTCGACGAGTGCGTATAAGAGCTGTGCATCAGCTACGTGCCTCACGCCTGCACCAGCTCCTTCCACCCTTCCACGCATCCTCGCAGCACCACCGCAGCCATGAAGCTCTCCCTCGCCCTCTGCGCTCTCCTCCCCCTCCTCGCCTCCGCCCACACCATCGCCCAGCGCGTCCGGTACCTCTCTTCAACCCCCCGCTTGCCCCATCGACTAACACACCCAGCGTCAATGGCGCCGACAACGGCGAAGCAGTCGGCATCCGGACCGCGCTCTCAAACTACCCGATCCAGGTCTGCACGCCCAACACGCTCGTCCAGAGCGCAGCTAACAGAGGCCCAGAACGTAAACGACGCAAACATGGCCTGCAACTCCAACTTCCTGCAGCCCGTGTCCAGCACCGTCATTGCTGTCAAGGGCGGCGACGCCGTGGGCGTGCTGTGGGGTCATGTCATTGGCGGTGCGCAGTACCCGGGCGATCTGGACCAGCCCATTGCGAGCAGCCACAAGGGGCCTGTCATGTTCTACATGTGTGTCTCTACCATCTGTCTCGTCCTGGACATGGGCGGAGAGCGTGTGCTGACCAGCGTAGGGCCAAGGTGGACAACGCGGCCACGGCGTCGACGTCGGGGCTCAAGTGGTTCAAGGTCTACGAGGATGGGCTCGATGGTGCGGGTCAGTGGGGTGTAGACCGCGTCATCAGCAGCGACGGGTGGGTTGATTTCACGCTCCCGGCGTGCCTTGCGGCTGGGGATTATCTCCTGCGCGCTGAGATCATCGCGTTGCACTCTGCGGGCACCCAGGGCCAGGCGCAGTTCTACATGTACGTCTTTCTCTGTCTTGGAGCTGGAGTCGCGGCGAGCGTGCGGTGCTGACCATGTACAGGGGCTGTGCTCAACTCAAAGTCTCTGGCACCGGCTCCACGAGCCCGAGTTCCACTGTTAGCTTCCCGGGCGCGTACCAGGCGACTGACCCTGGTATCCTGGTGAGCATTTACAACGCCCAGGGTCAGCCCGTGGGGAATGGAAAGCCGTACACGATCCCGGGTCCTGCGGTGTTGACATGTTGAGATAGCCAGCTGCCCAAGGCCACAAGGCCGAGTCAAGACACGCCGTCTGGGGCTGATAGGAGATAGCCGACGAATGAGACCGTACTCTGTGTATCCACGCTCTTTCTGAAGGGTCTCGCGACTCAGTGGATCGTATGACAGGCTGCTCACGTGCTCTCAGAGGTGTTCTGTCGCCCATGAGTTAGTCATACGTTAGTCATCCGATTGATGTGCTGGCACGACTCTGTCCTCGCGCAGGTGTGCTCCCAAGACTTGCGTGTCAACTAATCACGCTTGAGAACGTCGTCAGGGCCGCTACAAGAGGCTCACGATACGAGCCTCGAATGAGCTGTCTGTCACGAGGCAGCCCCGGATGGCTACCGTCGATCTCGCAAGCAGGCCCTTGGGCTGAGTTTGGGCAAGAGACGAATGTACCGATCGGCGGAAGGAACAAGGCCGGTCTGGAGCTTTCTGTACCTATTTGGGACGACCGGCTGATCTTCTCTCCACATCAAGCGACTCCACGTGTTTGAACAGCGATATTCGTGAGATGCCCACTGCGCGCAGAAGCTCAGTCTGGGAGGTGCAGGGCTGTCAGAAACGTGTAACATCCTCGGGCTGCAAAGCCACCTGTGACAGATGCCCAAGCAGTGGTGGTGGCTGAATTGACGCGCAAACGAGAACAGGCAAGCCTGGATGTCCGCGACGCCATAGGCTAAGCGGCAGCGGCCGTCGATAGCTAGCACTGGTGTTGAAAGCGTTTGCTGGACGCACGATGACGATCGTCTCTCGGTGCTTTTGTTCTGTGGTCACAGTAGTCGCCAACGTAGCTCAAGGAAAGTGCGACTGTCTCAATGACGTAGTACTTGGGAGGCATCCTCTGAAGCCGCAGAGCCGATAAGAAAACCTCTTGCGTCGCATCGTGGGTATGTCGCTTTCGCTCTCCATTTCCGACCATTTCAAGATATCGAAAGAGAGTGCATCTGCACGAATTGTCTGATCTACAGCACCATCTCAATCGGGCGTCCCGCGAACGGCTGCGCCTCAACCTCATTTCCGAGGTTGCCTTCTTAGTGCGAGCCCCACGTCATCAGAGCCACAGCGCGAGACCTACCACACAGGCACCACCTCGCATATACCCAGCCTGCCGCCCAGGATCTTTCTTAATCTACCACTCCGCTTAACAAACGAGGCTCTGCGATCAAGCACCAGTGTTTCTTCTATACCGATTCTTCCTATCACCTATCCAATCACCTTTCCAAGGATTGCCGGGATCTCCAGGGAGCAGGATGGCGGGCGTACCCAGCATAGACGACCCCTCACATCTTTCGAGGGGATACGGCGACAACTCGCACCTGAGCGTCGGTGTGAACGACTTTGCGACAGGCGGTAGGCAGCAAGAGCGCTTGGGCAGATTTGAGGAAGACTTCGATGCGCGCACCAGGGGTTCTTCCGTGCTCGACGGCGACGATGTGCCACAGCGCTCAGCGTCCAGGGTCTCGTCGACCCTGCGAGAATCTACCATAAATCAAGGCTCGACACCTTCGCGCAGTGGAACGCTCAAGAAGAAGGGCTCAGTGAAGAGGAGTGGCAGTCTGAAACGCAGCGGGAGCAGGAAGAGCCAGCACGCAGGCAGCATCCGTGGCGTGGCGATTGACGACCAGGAACATGGTTATGACCGCGAGGACAGCGTGTTCTACACCCCTGTACCCACCAAGGGCTCTCCAACCGACGTCTTGGCTGACCGGTTCCAAAGTATGTGACAGGCGATAAACCGTATCTGACAGTGACTGATGTTTGACAGCCTGGCGCAAGTTCCTCAAAGACTTGATCACGTACTTTCGAGAGGTCTCGTCTTCCTATGAGCACCGCGCTAAGTCGCTGCTCAAGGTGTCCAACGTGATCAACAACACCAATGCGCCGGCGTCACTGCTCAGCGACGGTGGCTTGAACGATGCGAACCGTTTCCTCCGTGACTTCCACAAGCAAGCTATCGTCGAAGCCAACAAAGCTAGGGACATCGAGGCAGACGTGATCAACCAGCTCAGCGGGCTTCGCGCGGATCTTGCGCAGAAGATCAAGGAGATCAAGTCCCTATCTGGCGACTTCAAGAACAACGTCGAGAAGGAGAAAGAGAACACACGCAAATGTGTGACAGCTCTTGAGGAAGCTCTCGCAGTCATTGACTCCGACCCCTCAGCAATCGCCGGTAAGGGCGATCCATACGTTGTGCGTCTGGGCGTGGAGCGCCAGGTTGAACGCCAGATCGACGAGGAAAACTACCTGCACCGAGTCAGTCAACTCCGACTACGTACGCACGCGCACGCTAACTGCAGCAGGCCTACCTCAACCTTGAGAATTCTGGACGCGAGCTTGAGTCTATTATCGTAGGCGAGATTCAGAAAGCCTACAACGCCCTCGCCAGCATCCTCAAGCGTGACGCAGACGAAATGTACGCCACAGTCGAGAAGCTTCGCAGTGGGCCGATAGCGATGCCCAGAGACCAAGAATGGGGTCGTTTTGTCCGCAGTGACTCTCACTTCGTCAACCCTGACCTGCCTCTTCGCAGGTTGGAAGAGATTGAGTATCCTGGAAAGCACCATCCAGCTACCACGGAAGTCAGAGCTGGCATGCTCGAGAGGAAGAGCAAATACCTGAAGAGCTACACGCCTGGATGGTATGTTCTCTTGCGCTTCAGTGGTGATTGGTGCTAACACTCTCAGGTATGTTTTGTCGCCGACCCACATCCACGAGTTCAAATCCGCCGATCGTATCTATACCCAGCCGCCAGTGATGTCCCTGTACTTGCTAGACCAGAAGCTTGGCTCTCGCTCCCAACCCGGTAGCTCCTCGCACAAGTTCGTAATCAAGGGTCGCCAGGCCGGATCGATGCACCGCGGACACACCTGGGTTTTCCGCGCCGAGACCTACGAGACCATGAATGCCTGGTACGATGATATCAAGACCTTGACCGAGAAGAGCGGCGAGGAACGGAATGCCTTCGTGCGCCGACATGCCAGCGTCAGGAGCGCCAGCGCCGGTAGTGCGCGATCTGCCAGTTCCGATGGTGGCCTTGAGGAAGATGAGGCAGATGCTGTGCCATACTCTGCAAATCAGTCGATGGTCAGCCAACCTAGGGAGCAACCGCCGACTAGACCTTCTCCAGGTGGGCGATTTCCTTCGGATCTTGCGGTCAACCGTCACTTACATGAACCTCTCTCACCATCTAGTGGTAGCTCAGACCTCGGACATGATATAACCACCGCTTCTGGAGGGCCGTTACAGCACGACGTGCACCCAATGTACCTCGCAAACTCGGCGAACCAGCAACCCGTGCAACCATACCAACAGGCCCGAGATTCTACGTATACAAGTTCTCAACCTGCCCAGCAACATCATGAGCCTTCGTACATGAACGCCCAGCCTACACATCAATACCACCAAGACAACATATACTCCGACCCATACACTTCTGACTACGGCAATCTGCCAGACCAGTCTCACGGTCAACGCGAGATGGCCTACGCCAACCCTTCCAACAATCAGATCCAGCCTTCTTTTACCCAGCCAACGGAGGTATCGCCTATCGAGCGTCACGACAGCAACTACGGCACATGGCTGGCTCCAGCTGCTGGCGGAGTAGCTGCAGGTGCACTTGCTGGTGAAGCTTACCGCCGCCACCAGAACAAGGAGGTGGAGCCAGCGCAGCAGCCTCAGGGCACAGAGCAGCAGTACCAGTCACCCGCAGTTGATCAGCGCGGTGTCCCCTTTGATGATCTGACTGGTGGAACGCAGGCTCAGCCTCAGCACCCTGTCGATGATTTCACAGGCGGCACTCAAGCACAGCTTCAGTATGGAAACGCAACCACCGTCCCGCAGCCGTCTTCTGATCACGTAGCCTTTGGACACACAATCCACCCCGCCACCATCATCGCTCATCAGAATGAACGCGGTCCGGAAAGTGGTGCCGCTACACCGCCTCCCAACAACGACAACACCACCTCGTCTTTTTTAGGTGAGGCTGAGGCAGTGTCCGCCGTTTCCTCAGGCCAGACTGTGAACGGCGGAGTTGTACCTGTTGCATTGATTGAAACAGCAGAGAAGCAAGCCTTCCCCTTCCCTACCTCTGGTCAGACCGTGAACGGTGGACCTGTGCCTGTTGAGTTGATTGAGACTGCTGAGAAATTTCCTGGCGTTCACCGCACGAACACAGACATTAGTGTGTCTGACCTACACGTGCCCGGCGAATTCCCAAAGGTGCCAGCAACGCCAAGAACCTCAAATGGAACGTTTTTCGGTCACGCAGACCGTTTCTGATTTTTTCTGTCCCGTCTCTGGGGTTTTGGTTTGTGGTCATGCGTTATGTGTCTATGCGAAATGAGGAGGGAATTTAGGTGGGTGTTTCAAACGGGCTGTGTGGAGAAGAAAGGTTCATCTGGGTCATGTCGTGTTTGAACTGCTGCGATGCGTGTGTTTTCTGTTTTCTTCTGCTTGCCCTTCCTGTCTTCTTGATACCCGCGCACTAGGCGCGACACCAGCTTTTCTGTACATAATACTCGTCCAATAATCTACCTGACTTCCTGCATAGCGTAGAAGCCCATCTCGCCGGTTCTCACGCGATGTTTTCTTGGAGCACCGGCAAGCGGCTCTCTTGAGCATGGAGTAATAACTTGGACGGAAGGCTGTCTTGTGCACGATAAGTCTCCTGCAGCCACTGGCACCGCGGCCATGCATGACAAGACACACCCATCCCCACGACCGCTGCGACGGTACAGGCCGCAGACCACGGCCAGTCACCCGCAAAGCCCTGTAGTACTTTCGGTCAAATTTGAAACTTGGCTGGCGGGTGATCAGCGCCAGGCATCTACAGTTCTGATCAGTGCCGAATCCGCTGTCGACGCCTTGCGGGGTCTAATTGCCGCAGATGGTCGCGGCCACACTCGGCGCCGACGCAGAAGCAGCTGTCGCAGACAAACGGCAGGATCAGCTAGATTGCGGCGCATGCATGACATGGGACAGGTCGTCCCATGACCGGCGCCGGACGACGTGTCAAACAGACAGCAACCGGGCCTTTGGCGACGTCGAAGCCAGCTCATCGGGTGGTCAGAAGCCACCGACGCGGCTCCCAACCCGCCAGAGAGGACGATGCGGCCTGATTCGACGAGTGCAAGTAAGACACGACGCGGGTTGGGGTTTGAGGGTTTGAGCTGAGTTGCTGGCGCACAAAGGCGGTGACTCGGAAGGCGCTGCGGGGGTGCTCTGGCCCACCCATTCCGTCCGCGCTTAGTGTCCCAGCCCAGTCGCCGAAGGACCCAGGCCTAAGGAACGTCTTCCCACTCAGCTGGGATCCATCCGCCTCCTACTCAATTCCATCCCGCGTAAATCACCAGTCATTGTGAGAGCTCAATGTTCAGCAAGTTGATGGCCCCAATGCGGCGACCGCGCCCCCTGTCGGACGCGACCGACCTCACCGACCTCACCGACCTCTCCGATCTCTCCGACCTCACCAACCGCGCCAGCACCTCTGACCAGGCTATCGAAGTCGATGTATGCTGACACCTGATTCGCTTCCCCGCCCGCCCCACGACTCGAGCTCAGCTAACTGACTTCTCCGTACAGCCAGACAATCGCTCCCTCAGTTTGGCCGACTTGGATGCGTACGCCCGCGTCTGTCCCGACCTCTCCGCTCTAGCTCACGTCGATCAGGGAAACGAAGAGTCTGACGCCGTCGTTGGCAGAAGTGCTGCACGAATATGGCAGGACTTACAACAAATGGAAGGCCGGAGGTAGGCATCTACGCCGATGTGAGCCCTCTTGTATCGCACTGACCGGCATGCAGCGTATCCATTCCCGAATGACGAGGTATTCTTGCCTGACCCCAGGTCGGAGACATGAACTGATTGTGCCTCCAGTCCGAGTTGAAGCGTCTGCATGTACAGCATATACTTCTCAAAGTTCGATTCTACAATCGCAATTGGTTCGCGCCAATCGATCAGCTGCCCAAAAAATATCCCCAAAGGGTGCTCGATATTGGTTGTGGCACTGCGCACTGGTGCAAGGAGATGGGTAAGTCAAAGCTGCATGCTGCTGGCTCCTGAAGCTGACTGAAGGCAGCAAAAGAGTGGCCTCGATCTCGGGTGCGTATTCCGATCTGTTGAGGGCTCGCTTTTCTGACGTTGCACAAGGTAGAGGGCATGGACATAACACCTACAAGGTCACAAATGAACTAACCCCCCGCGCACCATTGGCTGCACGCGCTAATGCTTAACAGTGTGCCCGCAAACTGTCATATACATGTGGACGATATCAGGTCGAAAGATTGGTGGGGGCTCGCCAACGGGTACACCTACGACTACATCCACACTCGCATGTCCATGGGCATATTCCCTGACTTCCGGGAGATTATCCAAAAAAGCTACAACAATCTCGAACCAGGGGGCTGGATGGAATCGCAAGAGATCTACCCCACGGTCTACTGTGACGATGGCACCATGCCCGACGACTGGCCGCTTAAGCAATGGTCTCAAGACCAAGATGAAGCTGCCCACGACATATTGGGAATCCCGTTACGCATCGCCAACAAGCTCCAGAAGTGGTACGAGCAGGCTGGTTTCGTCGAAGTCAAGGAACGGATATTCCGAATACCGATCCTTGAATGGGCTAAGGAGCCGCAGTTGAAATTGCTCGGAAAGTTCATGGTCGAGAACATGCAGCAAGGCCTGTATGGATGGTCTGTGAATTATTTCCACCGAGCGTTCGGATGGACAGAGAACGAGACACGTGTCAGACTGGCACAAGTGTACAACTCCTTGAACGACAAGTCGGTACACGCGTATTACAAGATGTAGGTGACGTAACCCTCCATGCGCTGCGGTTGCTAATTGAAGCGAAGCTATGTTGTTTACGGGAGAAAACCCCGTGAAGGAGAGGCACCATCACAAGTACCAAAACCCGAGAACTGGCCGACTCCGGAGACCGCTTTTGACGACGGAGAATTCTAAGCGGGCCGATACCGGGTCGGCTCGTTGGGTCCTTACGTGTAAACGCGGTCCCCCTTCGACGTTCCCCTTACCGGCGTTTATGGTTGCCTGGTGTCTGAGATACCCCACGACTTGCGTCCCAGGCCTGTGTGGAAAGGGTTTTGACATACTGAGGTGCGGTAGACCCCACTTGTCAAATCTTGCGTGCTGCTCGTCGCACGGCAAGTAATGGAGCAGAGTGCGCCAGACAATGGAGGGTTTTCGATGGTTCCATTTTCCGTGACAAATAGGCTCTTCAGTAGTGAAGTAAGCAGGACTAGTCAGGGGGGCCTGCTAGACAGCCCGTTTGTAGTTTGTTATGACAGAACCTAAAACATTTCCTTAGCGTACAACTTCTATTTTACAACAAAGTAAGCATAGAGTCGTAGGGTGAACCAGATTTTTCGCTACTACTAAATTATATGCAGATTAAACCCCTCCAATGGCTTGTAGCTTCATGATACACCCAATGTCTGTCACCTCAGGAAGAAACATCCACGTCTATATGAGGCCCTCCAATGAAATTGCATTTTGATCATCAAAAGTCTAAAATTTTGCAGATGTACGAAGTAGCCCTGTTGGGAAAGTGTCACGTGATCCATAGGCATCTCCGCGGCTTTTGTTGGACTACGTCTCATTGGCCACAATCGCCCGCTAAGACTCAGATAAGACTGCTGCCCATCCGGAAGCTACACCACACCGCACCGCGAATAGATACGAACAACATCGCCACCCCGATAGGGCCATCGTGGTTTGGCTAAGCAACGAGGCGTTTGCTTCGAACGGCTTGAGTGAACCTCACAGCTGCCACATGCTTCTTTTCACGAGCAGGACAATAAGCTCAACATTGCTGGTCGAAGTAGATGCGTTTTAGGCACGGGTGACCATCTCTTAATGGCAACATGTTGCTGCATCCAGTGTCATCAGGTAGGTATCTCTATTCACACTCAAGCTCACCGCGGAGGTAACTGTTCAGCCATTTCACTCTATATGTATTCGTTGTACCACAACCATCCCACACGCACATGTTTTCTCAATCTCAACCGCTGATAAGGCCCACAGAAACTACTGCGCCATCGGGACCGCAAGATAAGGACTGGCTTGGGATCACCAGCACCTGTTTGCGGCTCTGCCCAATGACCAATCCTGGTCAGTGAGACAACATGCCTATCATGGCAGTCCTCGTTATCTCGCCCAACAGCAGTACTGCGGGAAAACGCAATTTGAAGCCATGGCTGGGGCTGGCTCGAACAAGCATTCACTCAACGGGAACCAGTGGTCTTGAGACCTTGGCTTCCCTGTCGATGATCTTGTCTACGAGACGAGCGTGTGCACACCGGTGGTTGGTTTCTTGCGGGTCTGTCGGTGCATTGAGTGCCCCCGTATCTTTCCCTGGCCCTAGCCCCAGGTGGAGGGTAGGGATGGGAAATATGGGGACAATCTTACCCACGGAGAAACGCCTTTTGTATGCTACTTTATCGAGCGGAGATGCTGGAACTGCTGGGCCAGGCCAGAGGCTCGCAAGATATACTTATATCTTCGAACCAGTTACGCTGCTGTCAATAAGCTGTTCTCAGTTCCATCACTCCGGTGTCATATCTGTCCTAACCTGGCACGGCTCTGGAAACTCAACTCGAGCATAGCTGGACATTGAGGACTACCTGCCTGGACTACAACAACCAACATGGATACCTTCTCCCTCCTCTGGCGTGCGCCAGAAGTCAACCCCGTCAACCAGAAAGCCCGCTCCATCCCGTTCCTCAACCCCATCTCCACAACCTATGGCCGTACATTTTTCTTCTCCTGGTTCGGATTCATGATCGCCTTCTGGTCGTGGTATGGTGAGTTCTTCCAAGCCCCTCCTCCCATCATCATGCATAGCCCTATCTCCCATCTCACCCACATCTCGATCATCGATTCTGTGCCCCAGACCCGATAAGCCGTTCACATTGACAACGATGCTCCCCCATCATCTTACATGTCCTTATCTTACATTTCATCTCACCCGCATCTCCGCCATGCACCCCAGACCCACACGCACCCATGCTAACGCGCCCCAGCCTTCCCACCCCTCCTCGCGGACGTCATCGCCGGCGATCTCCACATGAAACCCTACCAAGTCGCAAACTCCAACATCATCGCCCTCACAGCCACATTAATAGTGCGCCTCATCGCAGGCCCAGCATGCGACCACTTCGGCCCACGCCTGACATTCGCGGGCTGCCTCTTGGCCGGCGCGGTACCTACGTTCCTGGCCGGCGCGGTGTATAACGCCTCCGGTCTGTACGCGCTTAGGTTCTTCATTGGTATCCTCGGAGGCAGTTTCGTGCCATGCCAGGTCTGGACCACTGGGTTCTTTGATAAGAATGTCGTCGGTACCGCGAATGCGCTTGCAGGTGGACTCGGAAACCTCGGTGGAGGAGTTACTTACTTTGTCATGCCTGCTGTGTACAAAGCTTTGGTTAGTGATGGTCTGCCTTCGCACAAGGCGTGGAGGGTGTCGTTTGTGGTCCCGGGTATCTTGATCGTTTTCGTGGCCATCTGCCTCGTTGTGCTCTGCGAAGACACGCCCACCGGCAAATGGAACGAGCGCCACGCTGCAGTCGAAGAGAGCTTGAGGCGTCACGATGTCAAAGTCGGAGCCACAGAGGGAGACGTGGTCAACATCAGGGGCGACCTGCAAGACATCCCCAAGCCGTCACCAATGTCCTCGAGACTCGGCAGCACGGCGGATTTCAACGCTGCCGAGATTGAGAAGAGGATCAATCCTGCTTCGCCCGCCAGCGAGGATGAGAAGAAGCATGGTTGGAGAGACAACGAGGCGCAGCAGACAGACACACAGATGTGTAAGTCCCCTTCTCGTTCCGTCATGAACCATCTACTAACGTGTCCCAGTCAACACGGCATCCACCGAGATCATCCAAAAGCCCTCTGTCAAAAGTATCGCGCTGACCATGTTCTCCCTGCAAACCCTCGTCCCTGCAGCATGCTACTTCTGCACCTTCGGCGCCGAACTAAGCATCAACTCCATTCTCGGCAACTACTATATGCACAACTTCCCGCACATGACGCTGCAAACCTCCGGGAACTGGGCTGCCATGTTTGGCCTAATGAACGGCGTCGCACGACCCCTGGGCGGCTACCTCTCCGACCTGGCCTACCGCAAAACTAGCTCTAACGTCTGGGCGAAGAAGGTCGTGCTGCACACCTACGGCATCCTGACAGGCGTGTTCCTGATTGTCATCGGCGTGCTCAACCCGCGCGACGTGAGCACCATGATGGGCCTTGTAGGCGCGCTGGCGGTGTTCCTCGAGGGCGGCAACGGCGCTGACTTTGGGCTGGTGCCGCACGTGCATCCCCATGCGAACGGTGTTGTATCGGGCTTCACGGGCGCGATGGGGAATCTGGGCGGGATCGTGTTTGCGATCATCTTCCGCTACAATGGAAAGGACTACGGCCGCGTGTTCTACATCATTGGCGCTATTGTCATTGGCATCAATGTGGCGGTTAGCTGGATCCGGCCGATTGCGAAGAAGCCGGTTGGTACACGTTAAGCGTGGAGCATTGTTTGTATGTTTAGCGATTTTGGCGTGGCGTTCTGGGTGGGTTTGCTTTTCTTCGAGATATCCTAGATCTGATTTGTAGCACGAAGCGACGAGTTAAAGAATTGTCATATGACACGTTGTCTGGATGAGCACTCGACTTCTGCAGTGTAATGTCTCTCAGAATTCATTGATAAGTAAATACATTGCCCAAGTCCATTCTGTGGGAGTCGGCCACTGCTAACTCGGACGCTATTTCGAAAATATCTACAGGTCTGGGGAATGTATTCTTGTAGGATCTAGCAAAGATACTGCAGAAGCTGTGTACTCAGACCCGACTCCGTCGAACAGGGGAACAACTCCTCCGAATAGTGTTCTTCAAGATATCTCCTCCAAGCCTCACCCCTCCTCTCTGTCTGCGGGTCATGCATGTACCACACGTCCTCCGTCGCTCTCGTTTGCGCGGTCAGAAACTCCTCAGGAAGATTCCCGCGTATGTAGCGTTCAGGACGATCGAAGGCATCGCCACCATCTTTGGGGTCGCGGAAGAGAGTCTGAAAGTCCACCGCGGACTGCTGCCAGATCTGAAGCAATCTCAGAGCATCAATGTTGTCATAGCTGCCTGGCTCAAATTTGTAGACGAGGAAGCGCGCAAGTGTTTTGCAGGTGATGTTGAAAAACAGCCGGAGTTTGAGTTGCGTAAAAATCAGTGAACCGAACTCGTTGTTTAATTGATAGAACTGCAGCTCAAGCAGCCAATGCCAGGGAATTGTTTGTTCATCGCCATAGATATGGAGGTTTTCGAGGTTGCGAGGGAGGCTTCCAAAAGGACGAGTGCGCGCGGCGATAGCTATCCAATGGGATGTACACTCCATGAAGGTTACCGGACGGAGACACTCTCCATCGACAATCAGGATCTTCAGGCTCACCAGATGCGAGACTCCAATGGGGTCGTAGATGTCGCTTGGAGCTCGCACGGTGAGCGCCTGGATATGGCTCTGTGCATACGTCAACAGCGGTGTCCAAAAGATCCTCCTGTCGCAAGCCCAGTGTCGCAGAAGGAACTGATACGCCTCAGGTATCTCGTTGTCTGTCCTCGGCGCGGCCCGTAAGGTCTTTGCATTCGGCAGCGCTACGAAAAGCAAAGACGTCCACGCCAACGGGCTTTGATGGTCTTTCGTGAAAGCACGACGGACCATATCTCTCTCTTGTCCCGTCAATAACCTCGAAACAAAGCCATCAACTACCCTCCCATCTTCAGGAGTGAACGTGAAGTCGTTGATATCCTCGGTGCTGTCTTGAAGTTCAATATCGGTGATGGTATTGGCCCATGATGGGTGCCGAGAAAGTAGTGTTATGTACTGCGGGATGCTGCGGATTGGTATTATGGCGGTGCGGATGAGGCTCTCGTAAACAGTGTTGCGAAAGTTACGGTGTGTGAGGGCAAGATTGATTTGCGACTTGTTGTTTGAGATATACAAGGCGATCTGAAGGAGAAGCTCGTCGGGAAGAAGGCACAGCATCTTGTCGCCGTGCTGAGTGTTGGTTGAACTACGAAGTGTATGAAAGAGTTGGGTTGGATATCGGGCTGGAGCGATCTGCTGATATACGTTGTGAACTGTCATTCTGCATCAGGAACCATGGTAAGGACATAACGGGAAACATGGCAAGGACATGACCCTGAACCAGCCCATGAACGCCGACCGGTCAGCCCACTCCTTATAGGCTTGATATCCAGTGTGCCATGCAGCAACTGTTGTACCATGGATGGGATTTGTAGAAGCGAGGTATTCATTGATACCTGTCTCAGAGCTCGGACTGCTCACCCTTCAGCTCTCTAAGCCTCAACTGATTCCTCTTCCCCAAGACCCTTAGAGTATTCTTTCTTTCCTTCTCAGACATGGTCTCCCAGTTCGCAATCCTGCTCAAGGATCCATCTTTATTAACGACCATTGGTCCCAGGTGGTCCAGCGTCACGCCCTCGCCGTCGACCTCAAGTTGCGGTGCGCCAGAGCCTGACTCAACTGGTGGCAGCAACGGTACTTGGGCGTCTGGAGGGGACTTGTATCCACTAAGCTGGTGCTTTGCGCTTCCCCCCTTTGCCGCTGCCCATTTATCAGCAATGAGGCGCGCGACGTTCTTGCCGCTAAGAGCACTTGTCTCCATGGTGCTGACAAAGCTTTCAATGCCGCTTGTGTACCACAACGCACCGTCCTCTCCATCGAGCTTGGTCTCTTCAAATGTCACACGTGGGTACTCACGCGGATACGAGTGCCAGACTTTGCGGTGCACCCAGCTCACGGGGCCATCCACGTTCAGACCTTTCGCATCAGTTTCCGAGACGGGATGTCCAAGTAGACGGGTGAGTATTCTGGCGGTAATGGGCTCGACAGAGAAAATCTTGTATATAAACTCTTGACGGGGTGGCGAAGCGTGGCGATTGAGCGAAGTATAATGCATTGAAACGCTGTAGAAGTCTGGTGAGCCAGGATGCCCGTCGCGGGGGTCTTCAGAAGGAGGGAGCGTAGTAAGAACATATTGCGGGACTGCTTCGCTGGATGCGAGATTGAAAGCCGAGGGGTCTAGCTGGAAAGGTGAGGCAAAGAGTGTGACGCGCAGCTTAACGTAGGGAATCACGTCAGGCGTGTGCTTTGGCGCGGGATTGATGGTGAGGTTCGCGAATTGTAGCGGTGCAGCAAGGATGACTTCGTCGAAGATAGAGGTGGTGCCGTTGACAGAGAGATGGTATGTACCATCATCCTGTTTCGAGACTTGCGAGACGTGAGTGTTGAGATGGGTTGTGATGGCTGGTGAAGACTTGAGCATGCTTGCGAAGATGCGCCAGTTGCCTCCGTCAATCTGCATGGCGCCGTTCGTGGCCATACATACCATAGTCTCGAGACCATGAATATAGGCGAGATTTGAGGCGTAGTTGACTCTCGTACTATACTGGTTAGCATAATATCGAGCATCCGATAGAACATCGTGCACACCTTGCCTGGATGACCTCTCGTGCAAATGCATCCCCAATGCCATTTGCCTTGAGGTACTGTTCGCCCGTGACGCCCGTGATCTCCAACAGGCCCTGGGCTTCCAAAGTCTCACTAAGGTTCTTCCAAGGGAACACAGGCTCCTCGTACATGCCCAAGAACCGCCCAACAGCACTCTTCATTAGCCTGTTCGTCTTCAAGGGTGCAAGTCCGTACCGCCACAAAAGTCGCGCCTTGTCCCACCAGCCATCCTCCTCTCTGGTAACCAGCACGAACTGCGTGCCGTCCCATATCCCAAGGTCTGGTAGCTCAAGCCGTGTTGCAAGGCTGTCTTCCTGCGAGGCTACGGAGAGATTGAAGTCGCGAGTTGCGTTGACAAGGATATGGTTTACGGAGACGAAGATGGAGCCGCCGAGTTCAATAGGAACGGTGGGGTCTGACCAGGCATCGACGGTGGTGGTGCGGCCGCCGACGTACGAGTCGCGCTCAAAGACGGTGATATTGGTAGGTGTGGATGAGGAGGCGGCGTATTGGGCGAGATGGTAGGCTGCTGAGGAGCCGCCAGCACCGGCGCCTGTCAATTGTCAATACTGTACATGGGGGTCAGAGTCATATATGTTGCTGACCTATAATTGCGACACGCTTCGCTGCCGGTGTTGCGTCGCTGCTGAGCGCAATGGCGCAGGGCAACAGCCCAATGACGTGCGATACCCGCACCATCATGGTAGTTGGTGAATACAAGCGTATATTACAGCTTCGGGGATGACGTGTCGTTTAGAAGGCAGAAGCACAGTGCTCAGGTTATACGAAGGACGCTGGGCCGGGCGCGCAATCGCGGGGGGAGTTGGTGGCTGACGACGCGCACAAGCTGAAGTCTAAATGGACGAATGCATAAGGACTGCGGCACGTCCGGAACATGCATTTCTGTGGCTCATGGGTGACAAGGCGTAATGTAGACATCCTCTCGAGGACTATCGTGCTTGGCCTCGAGTACCTCAAGCACTGCTTGAGAGTGGGCATTGCAGTTGCCAACCCGAGGAACGCGCGTTCACGTGGTGTCCATCTTCGCGACTCTACTTCCTCATCCATTGAGGAGATTATCTCAACATCAAATTCCAAGAACACACCTTACAAGGGCCTGGCTTCCCAAGGTAGACAGAGTTGGACGCAAGCCCCGCAGTATGCCAGACTAGGAGCTCGCTCAACCCTGCCCTATAGGTAAGGCTTTCGGGTCTCGACAAGATCTTGGAGACTGTCATATGCTTTCGGTCATGGGCGGTTGATTCGGCGACATGAGAATGCGTTATAAGCCTCGAGTTTGGGTACATGGCACACATCTCAGGCTGGGGATTGGCTTCGAGTTATGAGAACGATGCAGCAGATCCGTCAAGAGCAGCAGAAGCGTTTGAGACAGAGCTTAGGCTACACAGTACCTAGCTGTTACTGATAACTCTCAGCAAGACTCGAGGATCTACTGCAGGCTCAGCAGCTGCGTGATGGGATCGTGGTGCCAGGATGATCCGCTCAGCAAAGCATTGCCCTCATGACAAGATGAGGGCTGTCCCTTGTGTACTACGGGTGACCATTAGAGACAAAGTGCTAGAAATCAAAGCACCAAAACACGAACACCAGAACCTGTATTCCAGAACCAAATATTACGCAGTGGTAGCAGTAGATTAATAATACAATAATATACAATTACCATGTATAAAGAGTGACCCAGAAGAAGTAAACCACAAAGCCACTACCTATGCTTGCTATAGGGGCCGAAAACCTCGCACTTCCTTATCCTCAGCGGCACTGAGTGCAGGGTTAACAAGAGTTAACTGCCTTAGAGACGTAGTTCTAGACTAGTGAGTCCCCTTATGAGAGGTCTTATTGTTAGAACTCTGCTAGTTCTCATCCTAATAAGTCTCATCCTTAGTAAAGTTGTTAAGAGTTGGCGGCGGAGGAGACTCCTCCAAAGTTAAGTCCTGGTCTGATGTCAGATCCTCTTTATTAACACAAGGCCCGATATTAGTAGCAGGACAAGCACCAGCACCAGCAGCACTACCACCACTAATTAACTGACTAGCTCACTTGTACTACAAGGTCCTGCGGTACAAGTACGGGTTAGTCCTAGGTTTTCACGTTTTCGGGTTTTGTTCGCCGTTTGATTTCTTAGCACTTTGTCCTTAATCGTCCCCCGTACCTTACAGTACCTCAGCCAAAGATCGAACGCGAACTCTCAATTCACGCTTAAAAATATGAGAAACGTTCAAGGTCAGCGCGCTCGAAGAGATGGTCTTTTCATATTCAGACAGAAGCTGGCACAATCTCCATCTTGTATGGGCTGTCCGACAGCAGCGGCTGTTCGATGCGAGTATCGATTTCTCTCTCACCTGGCATTGGTGAGGTGAGCCAGATGGCATCAATTATCGAAGTCTAGGTGAATGTGGCTCTGAGTCTACGAAATAGATTTACCAAGCAGAGTATCGTGTATATACCTTCAGAAATGTACCACCGCAACCGTGCTCGCTCATGGTCCAGAGGCTATCTCATCCTGCTTTGTGTCTCACTAATGATGTCAATTGTGTCCAAGTGAGGCTGACTGACATTGTCAATAGCCAATTCCACACTGTCTTTCCACAGTCTTCGCCATGATCTCCTCAAAGAGCCCCGCCTAAGCACGAACATCGACATCGGACTCAAGGGCGGATGGAAGCAGGCATTTCGAAGAATAACGAAGAAAGAGCGATGGAAAGACATGACTTCCTGCCCCCAGCGCTTTGCCAGCATGCAGCCAGATCAGCCTGGCAGGTTTCAGCGACGAGTCTGGAGTCCCTAGAAGAGGGCTGCTTCGATAAGGAGCTATTGCCAGTCAAGACCAAAAGTCTGATAGGAATCATTATTGGCAGATCTTCGATTCGTTGCGTCCACATCAATACGTAGTGTACCTATCATACAGCGTTTGTTGTTACATCTCCAGTATACACCAGCACTTTCCATGTCTCTTCCGTGCGCGACTATTCACTCTATCATTCCGGTTGTCGCTGTCCACTGACATCCTCTCTTGGGATTCAGAAGTCCAGGTCACTGTCCCCGCTGACGCGTGTTTAGTGACGCGGCCGGCGTATGAGAACAGTGTGGACTTCTTCTTGCTTCATCGTGACCTCCGAATCGTCAGTCGATAGGCGCTTCGAAGTTTCTTCAGGCGAGATCTGTGCTCCTTTGCAAGTGGCGTCGAATACGTACATGCCCATAAGGAATTTGGCAACAGCATTTTTCTCCTCATCCCTACTCTTGCCATAGTGATCCTCAAACGCCTTGGCCAAGAGCATGTTGAGTATCTCGCTCTCGTGTATGGTCTTTGATATCTCGGTGTCCGGCATGTGAAATGAAGTACTCTCGTTGAAGTCCGTGGCGGCGAGAGCGTCTTCATTATCCCAGGAGATGACACGCAAAGGTAGTTTCTGCGCATTCCAGTAATGCGGATGTTGAGGTCGTCCCGCGTCACGGTGTGAGCGAAGTATAGTGTCAGCCATTCCTCGATTCGACATCCAAGTAGATGAGCAGATCAGCGTAGGGTACCTCGAGGACTCGTTTGTCAGCCTTGACAAGTTGCTTCGTGCGGTCCGCCAAAATCGCCATCATAGACACAGAAAGTCTACAGTAGAATTCAGGCAGAACTTGAGTGTTACTGTATCCTCTCTAACACCTTGCTCGCAGCTCATGGACAAGGAAGACTGTGATGAACCATGTGTATTCTGCTTCTGGTTTGTGTTGCTGTCCTGATGTGGGTCGTTCCGACTAGTGGCGCTTGATGAGCCCTTCCTTGTCAAGCCTCTGGTATGAGCCATTTGCATAGGCCATGGTCGGAATTCGCACATCGCCAGTTTCGATACTCTTGATATGAGCAACGAGAATGACGTGATCAGCTACGGGCAGCTCGTGGGTAAGAGTGCATTCGAATGCAGCGCGGACGCCACTACTTCGTAATCGAGGCGCCGAGGCAGCTATGATGTTCGGACCATCTTGAGCTGGGGGAAATTCAACATGAAGATTCTTCAGTCGCTCTCTGTAGGCATCAGGATGGTTGCCTCTGCAGAAGTGCTCGATGATCTGGAGACCTTCAGAGTCACTAGCCAGGAAGTGCACACGGAAGGAGCCGTGAGCGTCTCGAATAGCGTTCAGAGTTCTCGAAGGCTCTTTGATGTTGAAGGAGACTGTCGGTGGATCGAGGGTGACGGTGTTCAGCGACGAAACGGCTATGCCCATGGGTACACTTTCCTCGGTCTCAGGGTCAACGTGCGATACGGTAACGACAGCGACCGAGGCCGGGACCATTCGCATCAGGCTGCGGACGTCTTCTTTGAGTTGTGTGAGATCATTCGACCTTGGCGGGAATTGGTCTGAAGCCTGATTGTTCTCTTCCCCAGCAGTTGCCATGCTCTCCAGCTCTTGCACGAAACCATGAGTGGACTGGCCCTTGTTGAGCCGCCAATTGGTAGCATGATAGGTTCGCAGGCTCGCGGCGATCGCAGGTTGCCTTGGCAGACGGATGTATCGTGGAGAGGGGGCGCATGGGCTCGGCCGTTCTGTGAGGTCTCAGCATTTGCGGTGGAAGTGAGGATCGAGCAGACGCACGTGTGTGGCGGCTCCATTGATAAAAGGCCGCGAAAAAGCGCGACGCGGGGCGCTGGGCGTGCGCCATTATGTCCGTGTTTCAGTGAGGCATTGGCGACGGCCGTCGTCTGCCAACAGTGCACAGCAAGTGCCGAGGAGAAGCTGTATAAGCTGATGACGATGTTGCGGGTCGCTCCTTCCCCAAACCTCTCGAAAAAAGACGCGCTAAGGACTCCCGAACTCCGCATCTTCACGACTCCACCTCGACGCCGCCCCCATCACACCCACACACCATGGCTGCCCCAATACCCTCTTCCAGCGCCCTGCGCGTACTCCGCGCCTCGATTTTACCATACACCCGCCATTCCCAGCAGGTGCGCCACGCGACACTCCTGCGCCGACCGAAGCGGCCCTACACCTTCACACAGCTCGTTCAGCTTTCGGACGGCTCCGCCTTCACACTGCGCACCACGAACCCCCAGCCGGTCCTCAAGACCGCAAAAGATATCAGGAACAACCCGCTGTGGCACCCTAGCACCCAGAAGTTGCTCAGCGTGGAGGAGGACGAGGCCGGTAGACTAGCGGCCTTCAGAGCAAAGTTTGGCACGGCATGGGACAGTGAGGGCGAGAAGGTGCGTTTGGACGAACCTAGCATACGAGGGAGCCCTGCCACTAACACCAAATAGAGCAAGAAGGGAGACAGCCTCCTAGACATCATCGGCGGCGCCGCGAAGCAGACAGATGCGCCGAAAGCCCCACCCAAGGCTGCGCCCGCTGCACCGTCGTCAGCAGCAAAGCCCGCGCCAAAGAAGTAGACATACTGGAAGTCGCGGAAAGGGCGAATGAGCATTGAAGGTGCAAGTGTACAGCATGTTTTACTATTGTATAATATGGGTTGAGCATTCACGAGGACCCAAGAGAGGCCTGTGTACCAGCCGCGGACACGAGTTGGAGAATGAAGCGATTACCATCATTCAGACGTCGGTCACCCAGTCTTTCCCCGTGGTCCTAGATCGATCGTCCTCCCTTCCACACAGCAGGACGTCCTAGGGACTCCCAAGTCGTGCACCAGCAACCTGTATCCGCATCAGTATGCTGACAGCGCCACCAGAACTCCGTTGGCTCACTGACATTTTCAGCTGTTGCGCACTACTCCTCCACATCTGTCTCGCTGGCGCTGTCTTCTGCTCTGCTGACAACCTCCGTCAACTCTTGTCCTACTTGCCCTTCTCGACGTTGGCTCATCCGGAACAGGTCCCAGTCTTTCCAATTCCGTCTTTCTCCCCCTCTATTTCTTCGTGCTCTTTGCTGCCGCCTTCCCTACTTTCCCGACCCCTTTCTCTTCCTCGACCTCCTTAGCTGCCACATTGCCCCCGGCTTCATACACACGTTCAGCTTGTTCTTCTTCAGCTTCGCCAGCCGCACTACTTCTTCCCCCTCCTGATCCTCCTCTCCACTCGTCCCGTCCTCGCTGTCTACGACCTCCGCCTCATCAAACTCACTCCAGATGACCGTGGGACTCTGAGGAACCGGAGGGTTGGCACACTGCTCCCTCAGCCCGTCCACGACGCTACGAACCTTCTGCTCCTGCTCATCGACATACCTCTGCCTGGAACTACTGGCCTGAATCTTCGCGCAGGCGCGCGTTAACTCCATCAAGGGCTCTATGAGGCCTAGGCAGGGGAGCATGGCTGTACCGACGGCGGCTGTGACGGCTGTTTGCTTCTCTGTAAGCTTGCCGGTTTTCGCTGCTTTTTTGGGGGGGAGGGCGTGTTTTCGATATCTGTGGGCGCAGCCTGGGTGGCTGGGTTTTCTTCAGGTTCGAATGAGATGGTGCATTTTTTGGTTGCTGGTGCGGGTGTTGGGCGAGACGAGGTGGGGGTAGGGTGCCCCTCGTTACCTTTGGCTTTGGACATGTGAAGATGTGTGTTCTAAGTCCTGTTGAATGGGGGTTGGAAGGCGTGAGCGCTGTCTGTTGGAAATGTGTACTAGATACACAGGTTTATCGACATGAGCAGGCAGGGCAATATCTGCCGCTCTTTGTCCGGTCAGTTATCTTGGCTTCAAAGATGAGACAAAGAACAACTAAATGCGCAGGAAGCCAAGAACAATCCGATATGGATTGAATCAAAGACACAAAGACTTCACGCCGTTGTGATTGTCACGTCTCACAATACCGGTCTCCGCTTTGATACATTTGACGCTGTAGCCAACAGCACGGCCTGATGAAGTTCGCCACTAAGTCCCCTGCGGCTGACAAGGGCGCGTAGTTGCTTTGTCGAGTCCGTGGCTTCTGGTTCGTCTTTCAGTCTCAAGCCGCCTGGTCTTCCTCACACATTACCCTCAATTGTTCCAGTTCAAGGCTTATGCTGTCACACCCGACGTAACAACGACCGACCACGACAAGATGCGAATATTTTCCACGGAGAGGATGATTGATATAGTCATGGCGGTGTCCCTTGGGAGGTGTCAACGAAGTTCATGATGGCTCTGCATGAGCCCAAGTACACACCATTGCACGTTTCGCCAAAGTTCAGGGTCTTCGAAGCCATCAACTCTCATGAAGACGATCCGGCCATCTGATGACGCTCCTGTTCGCGTTCGATGCACATCGATGTTCACATTCCAGATGCGATCGAATCGACGCTGGCGTCCAGGTATTCCTGTATTCGTCTTTGCATTGATAATACAATGACCCCTTCCGTTCGTCTATATCCGATCCAATGTATCTAATTTCTTAACATGGGCGATGAGCAACATGTCGTGATCTTGTCATTTGTTATATCCGAGTTTGAGGTATTTTGCATTCTAGATAATATGCAGATGATTGTTTGACTATCACATTCTCGTTTCGTCTTCGATATGTTCGTAAAGGATCGCACACATGCTGAACACCCTCTCTGCTCAATGCTCAGAGAGAATATCACAACAGGACGACACCCAAGGATGGCGTTACAAAGTGGAGAGAGGCCTGTATACGCCTATACGTAAGATCGCTGTCGGAGATCTTCGTATAACCTTGAACTAGCCTCTGTATAACAGTATGAGAAGCACTCCAATATGCTGTATACGCTGCTGATAGTGGCTTTATTACTGACATTCGCCTAAGACGAAATCTTGAACTTCACTTGCGACAATCAACAGCATATAGATAAGCCATCGATTGCTTGTCAAGTCAACTAGTACCGCTAATTTCCCTTGGGTCGATTGCATTTACGATGGTTGTAATCTTCCTTCTCCAAGAGAGCCCTCCCGGCCTGGTTAATACAGATGAGATCCAGCTTGTCTGTGCAACCCTGTACAACACTATGGATGGCAGTCGAGTGCCGGAGAGTCGGAAGTCTTGGGGAAGTTCAAGTTCGCATACAGGCTCGAGCGCTGGGGCTAGATGGCATGCAAATGGGATGTAGACTCTGGTAGTTGCTAGCTTGATCTGTTCTGTCTTCGTTCTGTAGAAGACATCAAAAGACGTCAATGATGCTGCGAATTAAAATGTAAAATATGGTGCATTCTGTCTAACAATTCCAGGTTGCATCATATGATCGAGACAGCTCAAAGTGTTTTTGAAACGCTGCTCAATTCACCATCATCGATTGTTGCTTCCCAGAAAAGCAATTGGCAGCAAACTTCTCCGCCACTGCCCAGCCGGATGCGACCCGAGCCTCTCAATCCTGACCAACATACGGTGGATGAAGCACTTCTTAAGGCTACCAATAATAACCGATGGTCGGGCAACCTACGCGTACCCATGCGCTTCATGCTATTACGCCTGGTGACGATTGCCAAGGGAGGTAGCCTCACTGACTAATGCCGCGTAAAACAGTCGTTCTCACACAGAAAGAGCATAAGAGCAATCCAGCCGATGATTTCTGGCTGTAAACTTTCACCACAAGGGAAAAAAACCGAAAAAATCAACGATGCTGTTCAAGTACTCCTTTCTCGTATTAGCTACCGCCTCGAAACCTGTACTGGCGCAGAACAACAACGCGACGGACCTCACCTGCCCCTTCGAAAGGGGAATTCCCAGTATAGCCGAGATCTCTTCTCCTGGCGTTCTAGTCAATTCGACTGGCAGTGTCGCCTTCTCTTTTGGAAGTCAAGACCTGTGGTATCTCTCCGTGCTGGGTGTTTTCTCCTCGACCTGATTCACAGGGCTTGTCAACTAACAGCGGTCCTCTAGTCAATAACACCGCTCCGGATATTAATAGGTTCTCGTGCCAAAGTTTTCTCAGTGTCAAGGAGGACGCAAAGAATGCCAGTGTCTGCTTGTATCAGTTCTCCGCTCTGAACGCCACCTCCACTGGATGGGGCTGTGCTGGCGTCTTCGGCGACGATTGCAAAGACTATTTGCAACACATTCTCTTCAATGAAACTAACGCGCTGTATCGAGATGTAGATCAGTGCCCATGGATATGGCCTGCTAGTCGGGATAGCCAACAGCGTTTGAGAGATCTGTGCGGAAGAATCTCTGGGAATGAATAGAGTCGTGAGTCTCCCTTCATCAGTCCACAAGCTGAACGTTGACGCTGAGAACAGTAACACGGTTATCGGTTCCAAATGGTACTTGCAACTATCCATCGCTTCCGGGCGTTGATCTCCCAGACGGCTACCAGACTCCGTTCAGCTCTGCGGGAATGATGGGACTGTACGGTTTGGCGACCAAGACTTTCGAAAAAGCTTCGTTCTGAAGCCAATTCGATGCGACCGCCGTACTTGACGACTCGCATTGTGGGCTGGGGTGTGAAAGTTCCGTGGTTGTGAGCGATTCGAGCTGAGAAAGCAAGAGCTCTACCAAAGCGACCACGTGAATTGTAAGCGAGATGACGCAGAAGGCAAAAGTGAAGAAAAACCAAAGATGTGGGTGAGCAGATGGAATTGACCCCTTGTGAGACGCTTCGCATTTCCAGAATTTTGGGTTTGTTATTGGACATCCAGGGTATAGTTTTCAAGATCACAAACGCCGGTCCTTATGCTGTTGAGTGGAAGTGGCAATCATGAACCAAGGTACCACAGTTCCACGCCCATGACTTCGAATTTGGTGCCGTCATCGCTCAGTGGCTCGTTGCCGAAGGTGGGACATGTCGCTGAGACTCCGTTTTCGAGGTTGTCATCAAGCCAAAGACCGTAGTGGCCGTCACTGCTCATAATTAGCCATGTGTTTAATGCTCGAAGTACACTGAAACTGCTCACCCCCCACCCACGCTCAAAAAGCCGTGCTCACAGAAGATCATGTAGTCATTTACTCCGCTGTAGGGGAACGCCTTGAATCTTATTCTCTCGGGCGTGCTCGTCCCGCTCCTGCTCGCCTGGCCGGATGCTGGAGGTGAAAGTTCATCTGACTTTGGTTTTCGTGTGGCGATCGTTGTCATCCTGACTGCATTCGTCGTGTCTGCGGATGGTGGTGGCGGGAGGTTCGCGAGATTGGGGAGGGATGTGAGGACATGCGCTCTCCACAAGAAGCACTCGCCATTGCCATAGAAATGCGGGGATGGGTGTGGGGCGTCAGAGAGGTATGCGCCGAACGCACCACCACCGGCGTCCTTGATGACCAGTACGAAACCCCCTCTCTTCCCTCTGTAGTCGTCCGCATTCTTGTATAAAGTTGCTAAGCTGACGCCGTTCTGCTCCAAGCTGTATATTAAGCTCCACTCGTCCACGAGCTGCAGCCTTGGCGGTACCAGTAGCCTGATCTCTTCTGCTAACGATGTGTTGAGCAGCTTGCCACTTTCGCGCATTCCCTGCTTCCATCCTTGTAGGGTCAGAGGCGTCAGCGGTGGTGGCTGGAAGGGGCTCGCTGTGCGGTGTGGGTTGTGGAGTGCGCCGTGCATGTCTGCGCCTGCGCCTGCCGTAGAGGATGAGAGAGAGTTGGCCGTGTTCGACACAAGGCTGGCAAGCGAATGCGAGAGAGAGTTCGCGGTGGAGGCGAATTGCGACTGCCTTCTGTTTGGTGAATGCCTTATGCTCGCATTCGTGGTGCTCGGCGGGCTTGCGTCGGAGTTTAGTCGTCGTAGTATGCCTCCAACGGCGTATTGGACGGGGTATGTGAAGTACGAGGAGGCGCGCTGCGGCGTTTTAGAAGACAGAGAGGATTTCGGTGTGCCCGTAGCGGACGGCATGGCGCTGGTAGATATAGTGCAATTGCAGTGGAAACGGTCATGCAAGCGAAAAGCGGGTCGCGTGAGGACGCGGTGTGCTGTCGCAGCTCGCTCGACCAAGTTGACGCGCCGTTGGGAGCTGTGACGTTGCGCAACAATTAGTGGGCTGACAGCACACGCAAGGGAAGAGCGCTACAGCGCATTCCTGTGACTAAGAGCTGCATATCCACCATGTTTTCGAACCGTCCAATCGTCGTGCCGGCCACGGTACGTCTTTCGAGTCAAACATTGATGCGTTACGCCCATCTTGAGCCTTTAGCAGTTCATGAAGTCACTCCGCGCTAGCCATTCCTTCGATAGCTTAGCCGCCGCTAGAAGGGTACGACGAGGCTGACAATCCCTCGACGGAACAATCAACATTAAAGGGGGCAGTAAAGTACAGTCTCACAATATATCGTCAGATCAATTCTGGCAAGCGCAGTGAAGCTTCCTGGGTGCCAGGTAAGCCTCTCAGTTTAGTTGACGTCTTGCAACGAACTCCTGACGTCAATACATGTAGATATAGCTAAAAGCAGCCAGAATGAGTACCTATATAGTCTTCAATCTTCAGAACTCTACGAGTCAAAAATATCGTTAATATGGCTCCCACCACTCTCAATCATGCTAGTCTTGGTACCATCAAGTGTCTGCGAGACGCCCACACCTCTCTAATCAAGATACTTGGCCTTCCCTACGGCACTATTCCACAACGTTTTGGACGAGCAGAACAATTAGTGACTCTCTCCAACAGCTCAAGATTTGAAAACAATGTCTTCGATGCTACGAAGCCAGCGGCTTCAAGTATTCAACCATGGTGCAGCGTCACGATGGACGCTGCCAACATCCCCCTACCAACAGATAACCTTCCAGACGATGAAGAGCAGTCAGAAGACTGCCTCAACATTTCCATTCGGCTTCCTCCAACCTGCATTGACAGCGAGGGCGAACTTCGAACCGACGCCAAACTTCCAGTCCTCGTCTTCATTCACGGCGGCGCCTTCTTCATCGGCTCAGGAACCCGGCCTTACTACGATTCAACAAGCTTAATTCTCTGCGGTATCCAACGCGGAACACCCTTCATAATGGTCTCCGTAAACTACCGCCTCGGAATTCTGGGCTTCATGCACAGCCCCTCCGCTTCCGATCTAATCCCTGAGAATAATGGACTTTATGATCAAAACCTAGCCCTCTCCTTCGTAAAAGACCACATCAGCGACTTCGGCGGTGATTCAGAAAACATCACCGTACTCGGTCAAAGTGCCGGAGGAGAAAGCATTTCTGTGAAAACAATCCGCTCACCATTGTTCAAACGCGCGATAGCATTCTCCGGCACACCAGTAACAATGCCCTCGATGACTCCCTCGGAGCACCACGCCAACTTCCTCTCGCAAGCCTCATCGCTCGGCATCGCCACCAGATATGCCAATGGTGAAGAGAGAAAAGCAGAGGACATTGCACACGACTTCATTGCTGCCGACATCCAGAAGGTCCGCGAGCTCGCCTGGGTCGGCCTGCCCTGCGCAGAATCCGAATTCTTCCCCGTCTCCAAACCCAGCATGGAACTTATGCGCGCTGGCAAGATGGTGCCTTCCGACTGGCGCTCACGCTTCACGCCCGCGGAGGCGCAGATTGTAGGCACCACAACCTATGATGGCGGCATTTCATACAACATGATGAGCAACGACTCCAGCCGGTCTGGCCACGCCAAAGCCTTCTTGCACATCGCCTGCGACGTACTCGGAGATGCCGACGGCGCAGCATTGTGCGAAATCTACGGTATGAAGAAAGGAATGATCGACTCGGATGCCCTCCAGGCTGTATGTCTCTTTGAGAGCGACATTGGGTTCTTCGCTGCCGCACTGGCGACTTGCGAAGCCGACCTCATTCCGAAGACATATTTCCACGTCTTCGACCTGCCAAATCCGTTTGAGGGCCCGATCAGGGAGCAGGGCGAGTTTGCAACGCATACGTTTGATATCGTGACGCTGCTGGGTGGCGTAAGTGAGGACCGGTTGCCAGAGAGTTATGGGCCGGTGGTTAGCAAGTGGAGAGACACGATTCTGGATTTCGTTGTGAGTGGGAAGGCGCCATGCGAAGAGTATATTGCCGAGGGTAGGAAGGGGAGGAAGGGACTCATGGTAAGCAAAGACGGAGTCAGAGATGTTGGGGAGGAGGAGTGGCTTGACAATGATGGCGGGCGGAGGAGAAGATTGTTTGAGCTTGCGCAAAAAGTCAAAGGCGATGGGGGCTGTGACGTGCTATGGATGGATGTTGGGAGGAGGTTCTTGATGAAGGGTGAGTAGCCAGAATGTTGTCATTAGATCATGATCGCGCTTTAGGCACTTATTGCACAACCTCTCCACCAACCGCAGTAGCAGCGGCCTCCGCTCCGACCTTCGCTGTGTCTGCTGTCGTTACCTCGACACCCGCAGTATCTTTCATCTCCTGATCAGCCTGCTCTTCGGTTTCGGTGCTCTCTGTAACCGGTGTCCCCTCTTGGCTCGTCTCAGCCCTCAGCTTCGCACCCTTCCTTTCCGGCAGCACAGCCATGAACGCCTTGCCCCAGTCTCCAAACTCGAGCCACTTGAGCATAATCTCCAGTACATGATTTGTGACCAGAACTTGCCTGCTCTTCATCTCAAGGAATTCGCCGATGGGCAACTTCGCTGTCTTGATTCCGCGCTCAACGGCGCGCTTGTGGCAGACGCCTTTGTGTCTGTTCTTGTCGACAAGTCCACCGATGATGTATGTGCTGTTCGGATTGAGTGTCGTGAGGGTGTTCTCAGACTCCGAAGAGAGGTAGATGATCTCGCCCTCCTCATCACTCGGCTTATCCTCCGGCTGCGCCTGCTCGCCTCCTCCTTCAACATCTGCAACAAAGTCCGGCTTCATGGCACCGGCGACAACACCGCCCCTTGAAGCGGTCATCCATTCGCGACTCTGCTTGCTGACCTCAACAAAGTCTTCTTCAAAAAACTTGAAACCCTTCCAGCTCGTATGCTGATTGCCCAAAATTCCCTCAAACCGCTCTTTCATCTTGCCGCCCCAGCTGCTGACCGCCAAGTGCGTCCGGTACTTCGCCTTGCGATTATCAGAATAGCACCTCGTGATCTGCAAGCCCAGGCTCTTGAGCTCAGCATCGAACATCAAATCCTCCCAGCTGCAGTCAAAGATAACCGTGATGGGGACCTGGGTACCAGCGCCAGCAGTGTTGCGACTGGGCCTAGTCGACGGCAAGTCGGGAATATTGCCGTCGTCATCAGGCTGATGCTCAGCAGCCCATGCTTCGCGGCGGCGTTCCTTCTTCTCCTTAGCTTTCTCTTTGCGTTTGAGTTTGCGGTCATCGCGACCGGACTCCCAGCGCTCGTGGCGGCGCTGCTTCTTCAGCTGGTTTTTTGAGATCTTGGGCTCGGGATCTGTGGTGGTGGTGCCGCTTGCTTCTTCCGCGGCGATGGCGGTCTCGCTGTTGTCCGTGGTCACGGGACCAGGGGGGGTGACGGGTGTTGTGTAGGAGGGTGTGACGCCAACGCTGGCTGCATCTTCTTCTTGGAGGTGAGCGAGCTTGCGGAGTTTGGCTGGCCTGGCATTGGATGCTTCGCTGTCTTCAGTAGGGGCGGGAGAGTCCACGGGAGATGTGTATGAAGGCGTGACGCCTACACTTGCTGCTGCATCTTCCAAGTCTAGGTGTCGGTTCCTCAATTTGGAGGGTCCGGCATCAGAGTCCACGTTCTCCATATCCTGCGTAGTCGATGGAGCTGGAGAATCAATTGGCGTTGTATATGCTGGAGTGGCGCCCACGCTGGCCGCTGGATCCTCCTCTTCCATCAGATGGCCCAACTTCCTCATCTTATTTGGCCTCTCGTCATCAGTCATGTTTGTATTAAAGTCTGTCCTCTTTCTCAATTGGGCAAAAATTGGTGTTTCAAGATGTGCTGGTGATGCCCGACCACTCACCATCGTCAAAATTATGCTCAAATCGCTAGCGCGGTCTTGCGCCAAGAAGCCGCTCCGCACCCTGGTCATCGCAAGCTACGGACCTCAAGACGACGCACCGCCAACGGCACCCTTCAGCACCCATTGAGCCCCCGCACAACACCGCCCACAATGCCGCAGGATATGCCCCCCGTGGGCGGGTACAATCCCGTCCAGTACAAGCGCAACCTCCCGATTCGCGGCTTCCGACCAGCCGTGTACCTCATTGGAAGCGGCGTTCTCATGACATACGGATTCTGGAGGGTTGGACAGGGAATCAGGGAGCACAAGTACGTGGGAACGAAGCCCTGCGGACGGAATTTGCCCGCTCTGCGAGCCGAGTCTGCGCTGCAGCATGGCTAGATAGAAGCAGGAAATAAGGGCACAGTTGACGCATTGCAGCGAACTCGCACGCGAGAAGATGTGGGCGCGGATACACCTGATCCCCGCGCTTCAGGCCGAGGAAGATCGCGACCAGGTGCGAAGGTACCTCGCCGACAAGGCCAGGGAGAAGGAATTGCTCGGCACAGAGACGAGGGTCTACCACAGCGACAGGTGTGTATTCACGGCATTGAGCTTCGAGGGCACTGCTAACGCGGCTGTAGGTTCGTGCGCCCAACATTCGCTATCACACCCGAGAACGAGACAAAGTAGAAGATGGCATGCGGATTGGGAGAGATGTGTGGGGTACAATTGTACATATACAGATGGAAGAGAGATGAAAGTGGGAATTGCGCCCTTAGCGGTTGTATCGCATAGGAAAATGCACGACAATCAGATCTGTGTTTGCTTTGGTTTCAATATGTGCTGATGTTCCACGTGTGAGTGTCCACATGAGTCTGGTTGAGCCAATCTTGTGACTATCAGACGGAGTTGATTCGAGGCTTTGCAAGCATGTCACAATGTGGACACAGGTCTGGATCGCAATGACGGCCAGACTTGGAATAACTCGAATTCCATTCAATGCTAAATCAGTATTACAGACTCAGATGCGTTGTGAAGTTTTGGTGCGATCGTAGTACGACCAGGCAAGAGGAACGCTCTCAGAGATGCGTATCAGGCTGACCAAGATGCCGAACCATATGTTATCATTGTGACTTTCTGGACTCTTTCACTGCAGGCACAATTCATGACAGCAGCCGGATTGCCATAAAGCTGATTCCTGGGCTCCAGGATGATGTGAAAACGTCCAGGGCGTGATTGTTTCAATACAGTAAAGGCAGACTGATGGCAAGGCTGGGGTTGAGACGAACACTTCTTGTGCGTTGCGCGGGGCTTTGTTAGAACAGAGCAGACTTATACACACGATGTCCATCTTGCTACCTGTGATGAAAGCGTTATAGACAAGTTCCACTTCTTAAGCAACAGTGATCCAGGATTACACTGTACGTTGAGGATAAGCCTTACTACGTGTGTTTGCATCACGATGAAGATCCATGATTCAAGGAGTAGTAGTTGACATTGATCTGAGCATGTTGCGCGCTATCTGTCCACAGCTCTGCGAAACCTCCTTGTGCTTTTTTGACGTTTTGGTGTATAGTCCACTGGGGTTGTATAATTTCTTTCTACTAAGCTTTTGCTTGGCGTACTGACGCCGCAACTCCAAAAGTCGCTGTCGAGTCTGCTGTGCACCAGAACGCAAAGCTCAGACTGATCGAGTCTGTACCGCCAAAGTCTTCTGACGAAAAGGCTTCTGGCGGAGTGATGATCAACGGTAAATTTGAGCCGGAAGAGTAGCGCTCTGAGGGTGTAGTATCCATGAGGAGGGAGTAGAACTACAGGGCAAGTAATGTTCGCCAGCGGAAGCTGGTTGATCGGGTGTTGAGAAAAGTATGGCAGTCGTCTCGACAGCCGGGTGAAGTCAAGTCGAAAATGCAGTCAGATGACTGAAGATCGTCCAGAGAACTACAATTATCCTGTGAATGCCGAGTGTAAACGATAGTCGGACAATGAACGATGGGTGTATACGCTGTCCCACCTCTATCAAAGACGTCCGAACTTTTGAAAACCTCCACAAGCCGCCGGTGCTGTAGATTGGGGAAAGAGAGTCAAAGAAAGTGAAGCTTTAGAGAACAAGCCTCTAGATGAGTAAGCCGGCAAGACCAGCCGACCGACAGGTGAGCGCAAGATCCGGACAGACCATGGAATAATGTACAGACGGTCCAAAATCGTGAACTCCTGATGCGCCGATGGTTCGACCCGTCATATCCGAGAAAGGAGAATCAGGTATCCCATATCGAGTCGTGGCAAAGTGATAGCATATTCATAACAAAAAAACAACTCCGAGGTATGAGCATCCAAAGATCAAATGCAACCTCCTGGCCCCTGTGCATAGAGAAATCGTGAGAAGCAGATGTCAAGGTCAACGATAACTGCGCAGTCGGCCTACCGACCTCATCCCAAATGCACCTATACTGGCCCAGCAGGTGGTTGCCTCGGGTTGCGCTGCTGGGTTTGACCGTTTTGACGCTGCTGCATCTGCTGAGGAGGCTGGTTCTGTCCCTGTGAGGGCCCACGGCGCTGTCCTTGGAATTGTCCACCACCGCCACGGCCACCGCGGTAGCCTTGTCGGCCCTGGGCGCGCGCCATACTGCCGTCGCCTTCCTGAGGCTGCCTCTGCTCCTGGCCTTGAGGACGTGGCTGCGAGTTGGAAATGGGACGAGGGATCGTATCAGGGGATTCGTAAACGTAGAGGTTTTTCTCAATGACCTGGGGAATGGGCTGGATCTCGGTGCCGAGCTCTTGCTCTATCCTGTATAGGTTGAACCTATCTTCCCAGTTGATCAGGTTGATAGCCAAACCCAGGTGTCCAAAACGACCAGAGCGACCAATGCGGTGCAGATATGTCTCGGCATTCTTTGGGAAATCGAAGTTGATGACAACGTTGACAGCCTGAATATCGATTCCTCGGGTCAACAGATCGGAGCAGACAAGGTTTCGACATACACCATTTCTGAAGTCGTGGAACACGCGGTTGCGGTTGTGCTGGAGCATACGAGCGTGCGAGTAGAAGCAAGAGTATCCTAGCTCAGTAATTTTCTTCGCCAGCAACTCGACACGGTTAGTCGAGTTACAGAAGATGATCGATTGGTTGATCTGCAGCTTGTTGAAGAGGGTGTTCAAGCAGTGAACCTTCTGCTTTTCTTCAACGAAGGCGTAGTACTGAGTGATACCGCGGAGGGTCAGCTCGTCCATCAAGTTGATCTCGTAGGGTGAGTTCATGTGCTTGTCCTTGAAATCCTTAACCACAATGGGAAAGGTGGCACTGAAGAGCATCACCTGCCTGTCTTTGGGGTGGAAGCCAAGTAGCTGCTCGATGACGGGTGTGAACTCGGGAGACAAGAGCTTATCAGCTTCGTCCATGACGAATGTCTGGCAAGCTGTAAGATCGGCAACGCCCTTGCCCGCAAGATCCAAGATCCTGCCCGGCGTTCCGACAATAATGTGGACAGGCTCGCTCAGTCGAATGATATCATCCTTGAGCCCTGTTCCACCGGTACTGACCATGACGTTGACTCCCAAATGCTTCCCCAGGGTCTTGCAGACCTGCGAAGTCTGGAGAGCCAGTTCTCGGGTAGGCACAAGAATGAGCGCCTGTGTCTTCGGGTTCTTGGGGTTGACGCGTTCGAGTGTGGGAATAACGAAGGCCGCAGTCTTTCCAGTACCGTTCTTCGCGCGCGCAAGGATGTCTCGTCCGGTCAGAGCAACAGGGATGGTCTCTTCCTGGATAGGTGATGGCTTCTCAAATCCTGCCTCGAATATACCCATCATGAGCTCACGCTTGATGAAGAAGTCCTCGAACTCAAGGCCTTTCGTCGCAGTAACATCCTACACAGACATGTCAGTCCAAAGTTCCTGCTGCTTGGGTTGCTGTTGGTCGCATGCTGTCGACTCTGAACGAGCGCGACTGGTTCCCAGCCCAAATTGCGGTGCATTTACTCACCTCAGTCTGTGGTCGAGCATCTTTCACAGGGGCCGTCAGCCCCTCCTTCCAATTGGCCTCTGATGGTGCGTCATTCAGCTTAGTTGCTGCTAGCTGGTCGGTGATTTGTGAGGTCATTGTGTGAGATTCGACCCAATGTAGTGGGGTCGTTCAAGCGGTAGGTATGGCAAGTAGTGGGGAGCGCAATCGATGAGGCGCAGCAACAGCGACAGTGTTGGAGAGCGATAGTGGCGGGGATGGTCGTCCTCGAGGGCTCGTCGGAGAGGTAGTCGAGAGTGGGGTCGACGGGTAGTGGGCAGGATGCCTAGTCACTTGCGGCAGCTGCAGCGGGCGTGTTCTGTTTGTTGTATACTGTCTCACGAGTGGAGCAGCAGTATCGGCGGGGTTGCTGAGGTTGTTCGTGACCAGGAAAGGTCTTGAAAGTGATAGCCGAGTACGTGTTTCGCGCAAGAGGTGGGTGCCGCGATGTGGTTTGGGAGACGCTCGAAGAGCTCGAGGTACGTAAAATAGTGTAAGGTTTGTGCGCGGGTTGTGTTTGCAGTGAGGCCGGTGAGGTAGGTGGTTCTTTATGCAGGCTGAACTGACGAAGTGGGAGCTCCACCTCCACTCGGACCATCCTCAAATCCTCGATCGGCCACGCTTGGGTCCTGACATCGGCTTTTCTTTCACTGCAGTTGCAACAGCTGCAAGGCCACGACAACAAATTTGGGCGTATTCCTCAATCTTCAGAGACTGTTAGCTTGATCGGTCTACTCGCAGCTGATCTGGTCTCGAAGGTTCACGAAACGTCCTGGGGGTTTCGGCGAATTCATCTTGCCCATCCGTGTTTCTCGCCATCAACAACGAACGTAGTCGTCGCGAACCAGCCTCTCTAGCGGTGGCTCTAATCAGCCTCAATTACCTCAACCCTGGGTCTGAACTACTGCGACGCGTCTTTCAAGGCCCCAGAGATCATCAGTTGCAAGCTGTCAAGTGTTGCAAGCACGTACAGGCCGTCGACACTGCACGCTCCTGATATCACTTTCAGACTTCGATATGTCATCCCTTTTCCGACTTGCTGGAAAGGTTCGCCCAAGCACAGCCCTGGGGAGATCGCTCTCCGCCAGCTTCTTCAGTACAGCTTCACCAAAGAGACCACTACCCCCCAACTTCTTCAGACAGCCATCTCAGTCGCTGGTCTCCAGACTACGGCAGGCTCGCTTCTACTCCAAAGGATTTGGCCATGAGCGTCGTTATGCCGCAAATATGCTTCTCCTGAAGGGCCTCATGGGCATCAATGTCGCTGTTTACGGGTACAGCATCTACGTCACGGCACAGGCCAGACAAGGCCATATGGAGAACTTCAAGAGGTATTATCAGAACATGTCCATGAGCCTGAGGGATGTGAAGAATGGCTATTATTGGCAGACCATTTCCTGCATATTCGCGCATGAAGGTTTGCTGCACGTGGGGTTCAACATGTTCACGTTCTATTCACTTGGCGGGGCGCTTGCTGCATTACCAGTGACGCCCGGTCAATTCATGCTCATCATCTTTGGATCTGGGTTAGCAGGCTCACTTTTCTGGCTGAGCCAGGAGCAAATGAAGGAGCGGACGGGCAGACCTAGTCATCAGCGAGCACTGGGCTTCTCTGGCGCATTGGTCGGTGCCGTCACTGTGGTTGCGTGCTTCATGCCTAGGAACCAGGTCCAGCTTTTCGGCGTGGTACCTATGCCTCTTTGGCTATTGACTGTTGGATATGCAGTGTACGATGGCTATTACCTGAACGACGAAAACTCTAGGATTGGACACGCTGGACATCTTGGCGGATTGGGGTTCGGTTTGGCGTACTACTTCCTCAAGCTGAGGGGACTGCGATACCCAGGAAGCCTTTGAGGCTTCATCAGCATTCGGGCGCATACTGTACAAGTAATTATAGGATATAATAGAAAGGTAATAGATCTGTTCCACCGATATAATGACATTCAATGTGTCGCGGTGCGTGCAGCGAGAGATCTGGGTTGTGGAAGCATCTAGTCACGTGGACTTTGATCTCTTGACCATCAGTTTCGCCAAAGTCCTGTCAGCAGCATGCATCAGGTAGACGAGTAAGATCTTCCAGACGCACGAAGTTATTCGGCATAGCTGTGTAGCCCGAGAGTTGGGCGTGATGTAGCGTTGTTGTGCTATATTCGTACTAGCGCCAGCCAAGCAAACGTGGCCCACAGCCAGTGTGGGCGCTAGCAATATTGCCCTCGAACCGCAGCTTCCTCGCGACAACCCGACTCTAACCCACAGGAAGAAATTCACCAGTACGTGCAACCGCTGCCGCAGCACCCAGGACGATTACTCACAGACTCGCAGAATTCGCCCAACATGGTCAAGAAGCGAGCATCCAAGTATGCACCCAGCGCGCCCCGCGAACTCTCCAAGCTGTCGCAGCTCGCCCACGTTCTACAGCTAACAGCCTCCCAGCGGTCGTAACAAGAAGGGTCGCGGCCACGTCAAGCCCATCCGCTGCTCCAACTGCTCGCGATGCACTCCCAAGGACAAGGCGATCAAGAGATTCACCATTCGCAACATGGTTGAGTCCGCCGCCATCCGTACGTCCCACCACGATGTCCTCGACGCGATATGAACACACAATGCGTGCATCCGAGGGATCACACATACAACCCACCGTTCAGAATTCGCTCTGCGAATTGCGTCTTCAGAAGAACCTTGGAACTGACAACGGGCAGGTGACATCTCCGATGCTTCCGTCTTCCCCGAGTACACCGTTCCCAAGATGTACCTAAGACCCCTCCCTACCAGACATGGTTGAGAGGCTGACGAGTGCACTAGGTACCTGAAGCTCATGTACTGCGTCTCCTGCGCTATCCACGGAAAGATCGTGCGTGTTCGCTCCCGCGAGGGTAAGTCTTTGAACCTTTCAGAGGGAACCGTAATTGACAAAAGCTCCAGGACGCCGCAACAGGGCGCCTCCTCCTCGCGTCCGCTTCAACAAGGATGGAAAGAAGGTAATACCAACTGATGAGCCCATTGTTTGCTTCGCAAGCTAACACGTATATCAGATCGTCCCCCAGGTCGCAGCTAAGACCACCACCGCCTAAACGTTTGACAACGGTGTCTGGGAGTGAATGATCATGGCGCTTGGGTCTACGGGTCTTACGAAGCCTCACACTCTGGTACACGAGTAACATCGTATGAGACGAGGCAGGCTACATGTGACGATTTATGGTTGCAACTTTGCTCAAAAAGAATGCAAACAGCATCAGGGCTGGCCATGAGCTAGTAAACGATATCCAAGTCGATTGTATCAGTCTCGCTCGTGCGCTTGTGATGTGCGAACATATATCCTTAATCGCTACGGCGAAGCTCCTCTCTTTCAAGCTCCGGGCCACCGGTTTGAGCAAACAATCGCAGCCAGATACTCGTACTAATTTGGACATCTTGTCTGGCATTCAATGCTGTTGTAGTTAACAAACTGACGTCAAGAGCTACAAAGATCTTCGCGCAGTTTACCGGCGCTGCCTGTGTTTCAACGGTACAACAGGAGTATTATGGTTGTGGCAGGTTCTAGGAAACCCTTCGCTAACGATATGCTGGTCATTATCATCATACAATCATGTCTATGGTACACTCATTCCTCAATCACTACGCTTCTTTCCATCCTCCAAATCCTCCGGTACAGCAACAACAGTCGCCGCATTCACGCCGTTCCCAATCACAGGATCCGGGTCTGTAGTCTCCCAGTCCTCCTCGTTCTCGTCCCAGCGATCCAGCTCAACATCCACCGTCGACCTCACAACACCAGTTTCCTGACCGTCCACGCCCTCGCCCAGCTCGACGTCTAGCTCATCGTCGCCGGCAACAGCGTTGTATCCGCGTGCAGCCCGCTTGCGCTCGATCATGCGCTTGTGATACCAGTTGCATAGCGCCAAGGCGATCAAGGAGCCGGAGACGTTGGCGGCGATGTCGTAGGGATCAAATTCGCGCTGGATCTGTACAACAATCAGTGTTCTGCATGTCTCATGGTGGACTCGCAGAAGAAGTTGGCTGCGACTCTGGGGACATATTTCAGGCGCCAGAGGTTGTCTAGGAGCGAAGTGTGCGATGATGCGCGCTGAGTACGTCCACTGATTCCGAGAGAACAGCCGCAGCCAACCCTTCCTGCGTAACGCTTCTCTCTTTCTTCCTTTTGCATTTGTACGTACCGGCAGCAACCCCTGCGCAACTTCACTTGCAACGCCCAAGCCAATGGTGCACACGATGAACGTGTATTGCAGCACCTTGCGCCTGCTAGTCTCGAGGATCCAGTAGAATGCGAGCGTGAGCAGAAAGAAGGCGACGAAGTGCAGCGCTTTGTCGGACTGCTTGTATGATGGGATCGAATAGTCGGAGGGTGAGAAGCCGGCGGCAGCCGAGAGGAAGATTAGGGCGATGAAGGCGCCTGCAGATTGTCAGTATGTGAATGTTCGTGCGAGAACTCCAGCCTGAGTAGGTACAGAGCTGCGCTGGCACGGTGATAGCGAGTACAGCTGCAGCCCTGTGGATGCCTCTAAGGCTGCGTCTGACGGCCTTGCATGTGCCTATGACGTGGGCGCGTGGAATGGACGTACCGGCGAATGGCTTTCTTATGCGCATCTTGGATGTCTGAAGACGCTATAATCGAACAAGACTCATAACAAGGGTCTGCCTGTGTGCTTGTCAGGAAGAGGTGGTTGGGGATCTGCAACGTCTCGAGAGCGCGCAGGCGGTGATGCTAGAGCTGTTGGCGCTAGCTAACCGGTTATAGCAGGCCAGGTGGTGCATCTCACCCATTGACTCTTCGGGCTGCGCCCTTGGTATGCAAGTGTAGCCGGTTTACGGTTCAATGTGTAACGCGATGTCCATCCGAACTGTTCGTTTTCGATGAAGCTGAGGTTGCTCATGGGGCAGCGTCAAACTGCTCGCTCCAACCTTGTCACACAAAGGATCTGCGCAGTGTGTCAAATGCAGTGCTGATCGCCGCTGTAAGAAGTAGAACTACGAATGCCTCCAGGAATGCGCGCATCTCGTCGAATCTGAAATGTGTACAAATGTGCCGACTAGGACTATGCGCACATAGAAACGTGACTTGGGCCTGACACGCCATAGCTGCACTAGGTCAAGTCCTGGCAATTGCCTGCCTGTACATTTCGCAGAGGCCAGACATGGCTTGCCAGCACCACAAGCAAATTTACTCAACCGTCACCGCCCTCGCCAATCAGAACACCGACGCTGCAGGGCTTGAAGTGGGGACGGCTGATATTGGGGAACTGCTGGAGGTGGCCGATCCCAGCGTGCAGCCGACGCGCTAAACCAGGAAAGCAGCGCTGGTGGCAGCGACGACCAACCTACTTTCGACCACAGTCCTTCGTGGCCGTGTGCACTCGCTCATCAAGACGTGCGCGCAATACCATCTATTCCATCACAGTGCCATCGACAAGCGCCTTTACGCCCGCCTGGCTGCTTCCATGCTAGGTTTTATCGCAGTGCGACACCCGCTCGAGGCAGGACGTCGCCATCCTAGCCGGCCTTTCCTGTGAGGCCGCTCCAGCGCTGTAGCGCCAAGGCTCCCCACACCGCGAGCGACGACATGTCCCTCGCGGCATCAGCGCAGCGGCCATCCAGCAAAGACCGCCCCAACCATGCTCGCGCGTCCCTGTCTGCACCCAATGCGCCCCGCCTGCGCACCCCCAACGCGACACTGACCGACGACGCCATGACAAACGGCAATGCCGCACACGGTCTGGGGGAGGGGGCTGCCGATCCGACGGCAGAGGAGGACCCCCGGGCGGCGCGCTGGCGAGAGCACTTCCTGCGCACCGAAGCACGTCTCAACGCGGTGCTGGGTGGTACGAACGCGGCCAGCCTGCTTGATGCCTTCGATGCTGCTCCCCAACCCTCGTCCGATGATGCTGTGCCGGCGCATGACGCGCCCCCGGCCGTGACACCGAAGAAGTCCGCCCGCGTCATCGACGAAGACGACTACGGCGACGATGAGGACGACGAAGACGAAGACGACACGTGCACCTCGCCGCTACTTGCCAAGAGCGCCCTCAACCGTGTCGCTGCCACCCCTACCACGCCAAGCGTTCGCATGCCGCCTCTCCCACACAAGTCCAGCCACGACCGGACAGGCACACCGTCGTCAGAGCAGACCAAGTCTTCGGATGACGTACGCAAGCAATTGCAGGAGGACAAGCAGGCTGCCGAGGATGCAGCAAAGCACAGCTTCCACACACTATTCTATACCCTCGAGAGCGACCGCGATGCCATGCTAGAGCAGCAGAAGCTGGACGAGCTGGATCGACAGGTAGAACAGGAGACATCTGGCGCCCCAGCGAGCGTCCCCACCAATGGCACTGCCGCCGCCGCACCCCAGCAAGGCACCCTCAGCACCACGAACCTCGGCGCATCGAGTCTGACCCTGAAACACCTCATCTCCCGCATCGACGCCCAGCGAGACAGAGTACATGCCACCGACGCCCAATTGCGCAGTTTGATCAGCGAAGTCCGCAAAAACAGGAGCAAGTGGGCGAACGAGGACCGTGTCGGCCAGGAGGAGCTGTACGAGAGTGTCGAGAAGGTCCTCATGGAGCTCAAAGCTGGCGAACACGCACATCCCTTCCTCCAACGTGTCAACAAGAGAGAAGCGCCGGACTACTACAACGTGATCAAACACCCCATGGACATTGGCACGATGATGAAGAAGCTCAAGCAGCTGCAATATAAGTCGAAGAAGGATTTCGTTGATGATCTGATGCTAATCTGGTCCAACTGCCTGAAGTACAACGCCGACCCCAACCACTTTCTTAGGAAGAAAGCTTTGCATATGAAGAAGGAGACCGAGAAGCTGGTACCGCTTATTCCGGATATAACGATTCGCGACCGTGCTGAAGTGGAAGCGGAAGAACGGAGGATGCGTAACGGTGATATCGATGCTGATGGTGCTGACGACAGCGAAGACGACGCACCCATCATGGCATCTCGAGGCCGCAAAGCGCCTAGCAAAGGAGGGAAAGGAGGAAGCAATGCAAGAAAGGCCCCACCTGCAGGCTCAGAAGGCACACCGGGACCAGAGCCTAAGCCCGCCGCGCCAGCGTTGAACAGCGCTGTCTCCAACCTCAAGAACGAGTTCCAACGTGCTGATTCCGAGATGGAAGGAAGCGTGAATGGATTCTCAACACCTCCGCCCCCTGGCTCTCTGACACCCTTTGGAGCTAATGGCGTTTCGCGAAATGGCGCTCTTGGCAGCCAAGCCGATTTCTCAGAAGTGGATGGTACCGGTGCCTCTGTTAACGGTTTCGCCTTGGAAGAAGACGCCGATCTTGATGACCTGGAGTACAAAACTTGGAAGCAAGTGACCAAGAAGGATCGAGCTACAATCGCCGCCGAGCGACACCGTCTTTTTCGTGATGACATTCTTCAGTCCGAGGAACCCGCACTCCTCCGTTCCAAAGCTGGCATGCGAAGATGGCTGCGTCATCGCAAAGAGGCGGAGGCGGAGGTTGCTAAAGACGCCGTCTCTGCGCCTGATGGCAAGGATGGCGTTCAAACAGTTGCTGGTGAATCTTTGGCCGAGGGTATCCAGGACGAGGAAGAGCGACAGATCCCAGACTACTACGACCCACTTTGCGCGATACCGGATCTCAACGAGACCCTGCAGTGGGTTGAGGACGCCGAAGGGCACGTTGTCCAGCAACGCGAGGAATACATGCGCATATTTCCTAAGGGCCAGTTCACAGCACCAGACAGTGCTTTGACGGAAAGGATGGACAAAAACATGAACTCGCTACAAGAAACCAGGAAAATATGTGCCAAGATTGGTATTGTCAAGCAAATGCAGCTCCAATCCCAGCTGTATCAAAACCAGTTCCAGAAGTACGAGCCTCAGCCTTTCCACGAAGCAGACATCGAGCCAATGGTAGTGTCAGAAGAGGGACCGCCGATGGCACCCTATGTCTGCCGCGCAGCTCTGCAGCGTAGTGTGGGCAAGATCTTTTACCACGCTGGTTTCGAAGAGTTCCAACCTTCTGCTCTGGACGCTGTCACCGACATTGCAGCTAGGTTCTTCCAGAATCTGGTGCAATCCTTTGGCATCTACCACGAGACTCCGAAGATGAAGACGGACACTCCGGTTGCTATGGAAGATGGAAGCTTGACGAGCTGGGTGCCACGCTTCAGTCAAGAAGAGGCTCTTCTCCACTCATTGCACGTCAACGGTGTCGACCTTGAGTCCTTGGAGACATACGTTAAGGATGATGTCGAGAGACTCGGCACGAAGCTGGCCGGTATGCATGACCGAATGCGCGCCTACTACGCTGAGCTCCTCCGACCGGCCCTGGACAACGTCGGTGCAGATGGCGCTGGTGCTTTCAACGACGGCAGCGAGCAGTTCGTTGGCGGTGACTTTGCGGAAGATATCGGCGAAGACTTTTTCGGTTTCAAGGAACTTGGACTCGACCGCGAGTTTGGCCTTACATTCAGTGTACCACTGCACTTACTGCAGAACCGAGTACACAATGCCTACGCCAGACAAGACAATAGGTATGACTCCCCGTATGACTCTCATTTTCCCTTTACTAACCAGAACAGCAATGTTGCTACCACGGGCAACATTATGGAAGAGCCACCAAAGTTCGAGCCTGTCACCAATCAGCTCGCCGAGGGCCAGATCGGCCTCGTCCGGGACTGGCTTCTCAACAAACTACACAACAACAGCGACGGAAGTCTTGTGGAAGACGATGATCTTCCACCAAAGCAGCGCTTCCCCAAGCCTCGATTGCCACCAACGGGCAAAATCTCTAGTCCTCGCAAACGTCCTCTGCGGGAACAGCAACAGATGGCTCGCAAGAAGCGCAAGCTTGACGAGGAAAGAGAGGAGAATGGCGAACCGCCTGCGCCTGCTGGCATTCTCAAAGGCATCGGGAAACCGATCGGCAAGCTCAAGTTGGAGCCTCGCCAGGACGCACACAGCGTCCAAGAACCCGAAAAAGACGACGGTAGCGGCATGCCGAGCCCACCTGAGTCTTTTTAGAGGATCGACACAATGGTCATTGGCGGTCTCGAGAGCCCTTTTGGTCGTTAGGCGACGTAAGAGCTGCTTACATCCGCAGAGAAACCCTGAACAGTCGCTACAGTCTTACTATCACCTTCAGCATATGGCTTTGGAGAGCCCAGGACGACATTGCTCAGCTATAAAACTTTAATGCGCTTATCACGTATTGCTACTACCTCTTCTGCGCCTAGATATGGGCCATTGTCGGCGTTCATATTCGCGCCCTGCTACTGTACCAACGATGGGAATTTGGCGTTTCGCATTGTGCGGTCGTTCACCGCTTTGGGAACATGCTTTATTGTTTTGGCGATGGGATCCTTATTTGTATACCCATCAATCTCGGATGTTTGCTTTTGCGCATGACGAAATGCGGTGGTTTGGATCTAGAGGGAGAGTTGGAAGGGCTTTGTATATACTTATCCCGCTGAGCCGATATGACAGGGGTGACGATAATGTTCAATGCAGAGCTTCAAGAACGTAGCAATTCACCGGCTTACAATCTTTGATCAAAGACCCTTTTTCAAAGCTGACAGGTGACCGCCTTTGCACCTGAAAAGGCTGCATTTGCATGTGATGACAATGCTAACCCTGAACGCACACACCTTTGGTAGGAAATCCCTAAACTAGAGCTGCCAAAATATCTCGGACAGCAGTAAAGAACGACTTTGGCGCTGCACATTTTCACTTTGTGAGCGCACATAGCTCGGAGCTTGTTCTGATAAGCAATCAAGGACAAGCTGAAAGCTGCATGAAGTGAACGTTCATGCCAGCTCATGACTTTGACTGCGAATATTTTCGAACAATTGCAGTCGAGTCCTAGAGTCGTTGTGAGGAAATTGCATCGAGTCTGATGTGGATGACGAAGCCATTGTGATCGAGATGATATCACTGTCAACCTTGATCTCACAGCAACGCAGGAGACGCATTCTCGATTACATTCAATGAGACTGCCGAGAACCAAGAGCTCTTGTCTCGACTGCAAAGTACCTTTGCGAAACGTGAAACTGTGGTCGAACGAGTACGCAGGAATCGACAGGGTGGTGCCGAGCTGAAATTGGACGTTTTAGCGTCATTGTCTTTTCCCTTTCCTTGTCGCGAACGTCCCAGTTCACTTCCACAAGTATGACGTGCAACAGGAAGATCGCGTCAATTTCCGTCTAATAATTGTACTAGCGTATCGGTAAGTCATATTACATCTGCTTTCGCGAGTCTCTTCTACTTGCACCAAAGCTAACGTGCCACGAGGCATGGATCTGCTTTGAAAGGGACTTGGAACCTTCGGATTTGACAACTCGACACTTCACTCCACCGCCATTACAACAAACACATCGGCATCACACGCATCACGCCACATCGTTGCACCTAAGAGTCTCATCTAGCAGCACCTTTACTTGCGCTACGTTCTGTGATTTCAGTTGATCCCAGTCATATCTCTTTGATTGCTTCTGTTGCGTTCGTTGCTGGCCTATCGCCCTTTGAGGCATATTTCTGCAACATGGCTCTCAACGGCAGCACAAGGCGATCGTCTGATATTTGGCATGACAACAAGCCAATGCACGACTCTTTCGATGTCTGGGTGAGCAAGAACGGTAAAGATGCATATAAAGACTTCAAAAAGGCTCATCCAACAACCAAACACTCGTACGACAGCTGGCGTCAGACAGAGCAGGTCTATGGCCCATATCTGTTCTACGTAACTTCTATGATCTGGCATGAAGACGACAACTCAGTACGTCAACAACAAAGCCCTACAAGTATGATCAATTCATTGATGAAAACAGGATGATGGAAGCACAAAACGCCGTCGTATTTCGCGTGTGCCGGATGAGAATCCGAAAAAGACAGCAACCGTCAACGGAAACGGAGCGCCGCGGACTGCAGGCTCAGCAACACCAACGCCTGCAGCAAACTCAGACGAGGTCAATGCATCTGGCAAGAGGAAACGAAAGCCGCGAAAGAAGTACATGGTATGCCGGCGACTCGAGCGCAAATTTAACACACTGACGTTTGCAGTCGCAAGAGCTTGTGGCATCAGACGAAGAGCCAACAGACGAGGTCGAAGCAGCGACTCTCATCATAAAAGAAGAGACGATTACAGCGCCAGCTGTCACTATCAACGGGAGGCGCAAGTCTGCCTCCCGAAAGCCTAGGAAGAAGCCTATCGTGAGTGGTGCGCCTGAACCAGCTCACGACGTTGCTCATCAGTCCAGTCCGATGAAACCGTCTTATCCGAAGACGAGAATGATGACCGTACGATGATCGATGCTCAACCCATTGCATCGCCCCTCCCTGTTCGCTCTGGTAAGTTGTGCTCATTTTGGATCCAGCCAGTCACAACCAAACTTTGTCTCCTGCTCTCCATCACTGTCATCCCGATACACTCCGCAATTGTTATGGTAAAGACAATGATACTGACATGTGACAGCTCCCCGTGCAGCCGCCACGGCGAGACAATCAGAGTCACCGAAGAAGGCAACACCAAAGCAAGCCTACGTGAAGAAGTCAAGAAAGTCATTCCTCGTAAGATTACCCTTCCATCTTTGGGATGCCGTAAACTTAGAAGAGAAGTCCGAAGAGATGGTACTCGATGAGGATACCGATCACGGAGAAGTTTCTATCGCCGAAGTCATACGACCTGCGACAACCCCTGCTACCACACCTAAACCCGACACCAGCAACGACATTCAGACAGATACGAACGCCGATGAAGCTGCAGAGCCGGAAGAAGAAGGCACGCCTGACACGTCAGCTGCTAACACGAGGCGGGGTTTGCGCAATAGGAAACCGGCGCAACAGCGGCCGTACTATCACGATGCGCAGGTCTTCGAGGATGTCGAGACTGAAGAGGAAGATGATAGCGAGCTCGAAGCAGTGTCGCGCGAGGGGTCTCCGGAGGCTCTGTCGTCGAGCAGGCCGAAGCATTTCAAAGGCAAAGGCCGTGCTTGGAAGAAGGACGGCTCTGACGAGGACGAAGAGTTTGTCACGCCAAAAGAGAAGAAGGCTACAAAGGCTGCAAAAGCTAAGGCCCATCGAGAGAAGGCCAAGGCAGAAAAGGAGGAGAGTGAACAGCTTAGCTGGGATATCACGTTGGCGCTTTGGCAGGCTCTTGTTTCAGATGCAGATTGGAGCGCCGACCGGGACAACCCGAATCATATCAGTAACAGGTGCAAGCAGGAACAACAGGCCAATGGTTCAGCCAAGGACATATCCCAGGATATACCCGAAGAAACGTCCAAAGAGATGCCCAAGCAGAAGAAAAACCTTGGTCGGCCCAAAAAGAGTCTGTCTGAAGACACCGTCCGCGACGACTCTGACAACGACACTCCTCAAGCAACGCCGTCCCAGCCATTCAAGCGGGGTCGTGGCCGTCCACGTAAGAGCGCACTCTCTTCTGAAATCGTCCATGACGACTCCGAAGACGAAGCTCCGGCCGTAACTAAGCAAACATCGCCGCCTGCGCAAAAGGCAACATCACCAGAAGGAACATCCGATCTCATCACGCCACCCAAGACAAAGCCTACGACCCGCCCCTTCACCGCTAAAAGCACGGCCGAAGCAATAACGCCCAAGAAGCGCGGCCGCCCGCGCAAATCCTCCGCCGCCACCACGCCCGCAAAGTCCGCCTCCAAGTCCGCCAAGGACGCAGACCACTACGAGCCCCAACGATGCGGCTCCGCTGCAACCGACACCACCGAACCAAAGATATCACGGGCAAGAGCCAGCGTCTCCTCTGCTTCAGACGACTTCCCCATGCCAAACGTCAATCGCGGCGCCGCACTCATCGAGTCTCTATACCCGCGCGACCAGCACGAGCCCAGCCGCGCGAGTCCCGCGCCGACGCCTGCCCCTGAGCCGGTTTGTAGAGCTCCGCCTGCGCCGCCGATGGTCGCTGCGCCCAAGCCCGTAGAGACAGCGCAGGCTTCTGTGGAACCGCAGCCGAGCGTGGAAGAGATGATGGAAGATGAGGACACGGCTCCTGCCATCAGCGAGTCAAAGCCTGAAGCCTTTTTCGAGGCAGTAGTGGAGGACGATGAGGGCAATATGAGTGCTGCGATGAGTCTGAGTTCGGATGGCGGGCTGTAGAGGTACGTTTCTCACACACCTTTGATGCTACTGGCGATTGTTGACTGGTGTAGCATCTCACGCGGATCGACTGTGAGCTCGGTCGACATTGTTCGATAACGGAAGGACAGCAGGGGAGTGGGGAGTGGTAGTTGGTCGAGCCTTTTGGCATCAGAGTGGCATTGTTCGGGTTGAACGATGGAAACGATGCCCTTCGTGGCGCATCACGTATGTTTGAGGAGTAGCAATAATCAATAATTAACAACATGAGCTGTGAAACACTTCACACACACGCCACGGCAAAAGACTCAGCGTATTAAAAACTTATGATATGCGAATAAACGATCCAGCAATCTATGGAATAAACGATCCAGCAATCTATGGATATCAAAACTCAACGCAAAAACCGGCTGATGGTACAAACTTCCAGGGAAATCTACACAATCACCACTTCCATCCCTGCTTACCGGCTAGATCCAGACGCGCGCCCAATAGTAAACACAACCACGATGACAACAGCGAGCAAACCAATTGCACCAGGCAACAACAAGTCGTTGGGTACACCGGGAACGACCTCGGGCGCCTGCTGAGGCGCAGCCTGGGCCCTCCTGCTCTTGGGCGCATCCTCCTCCTCCTCGTCGTCGAAGAACTGCTTGCGCTCCCTGAGCACACTCTCGGGGGGCGAAACGGGCCTGGCGAGCGCGGGTTGGGGGTTGACTTCAGCGGGCATGGGCGGCTTCTCTGGATCGTGGACGAATAGATCGACTTTCTCGCGGTGCGCGTGGCGGGAAAGGCTGATTGCTTCGACAAGATCGTCGTAGGTGGTGATGCTTACTGTATCGCCCTCGTTGTCAAGGTAGCTCAGCGCAAAGCCGGCCTTGGAGATTGCGCCGTCTTCGAACGTGGGTGTGCCGCCGATCGAGTCGACCTCCGATCCCAGCTTGCCGGCTACGTGCGCTACGAGCGCTTCGATGCCAGCCGAGGCTGTGACCTGCAGGCGGTGCACGCGTCCGCTGGGAGCCTTGAACTTGAACGGGAACGGGATGTCTTCTACGGCAGTAGGGTGTGCGCTGGCGACTGCTGACGGAGGTGGAGATTCGCCGTGGTGCGAGGCGGATTCGTTGGGGAGGACACTGTCGCCGCGGTCCATCATATGCGGGCGATCGTTATGAGACATCATCGATCGCGCGTCCGGCGTGCCCGGCATGCGACTCGAGCCGTCGCCGGACATCATCGACTCCGTGTCGTTGTCAAGCGACAACCAGAACTTGTTCCATGCCGGACCTTCGCTGTCTCCTGTGTTGATGTTGTTGATCTGCGTCAAATTAGCATACGATTTCTCTCACGCATGGAAGCGTCGTACCTGATCAAGTGTAGCGTAAGTGAGCTTCAGGACGTCGACCATACCAACAATCTCGCCCGCCTCGCTCATAACAGGCAAATTCAGGTAGTGACCATCGTGCATCTTGCGAAGAGCCGCCTGGATGCTCATATCCATGGGCGCAAAGTCGGGGTGAGGTGTCATAACCCTTACGACACTGCATGTCACTGGGTCGAGACCGGCGGCAATGACACGGAGGACGACATCCTTGCTGGTGAAGATACCAGTGATTGAACCCTGATCTTGGACAAGAACGGCGGTTGTGTGGTTCTCCTTCATGAGCTCTGCGGCCTCCTTGACCGATGTCCTGACAGACACAGTTGTAGGTGGCAGTCCGTTGAGGACTGATTCCAGCGTAGGACCAGACATCTTTTGGCGAATAGCCTCGACGTACTGGATGATCTGCTGGGGCTGGCTCGAGCCCATCTCGGCTTGTACACCCTCCAAAGCATCGTAGAGCTTGCGAGAAGAGCTGTATGCGCGCTCGAGCTTCTCCATAGCGTCGTAGAAGCACTTTGTGATGTCGAGGATTCCAGCGATGTCGTGGTTCTCGTCCATGACCGGCAAGTGACGGAAGCCCTTGCGGACCATAAGGTCGAGCGCATCCGTTGCGCTGGTATCTGTCTTTGCGCAAAGAGGGTTCTTGGTCATGATCTCAGCAATTGTAACGCTCTGCGCCTTCTTGCCTGCGCCAACGACACGAAAAGCCAGATCTTTGGCAGTGAAGATACCGGCGACATGGTCGTCTTCGTCTGTTACAAGCACGCAGTCTTCCCTCTTCGCGGCCATGAGCTGTGCGGCCTCTGCGACAGTCGTCGAAGCCTGGATCTGGAGAGCTGGGCTAGGCTTCAGGGCCAGGACTGTGCCCGGAGGGGCTTTGCGTGTTGGGCGCACCCGGCCGCCAGGGTTCTTCTTCTTGTTCAGATCCGTCTCGATCTTGCGGCGGATGGCCTACAGATTGAGCGGTGAGCAGCCGTCCGTGGAGTGACAAATGATAGTATTTACCTCGTCCCTTTTGGACTGCTTTGCACGGCTGGCGCTGAGTGTGGAGAGGCCAGCATCGCTGCCAGCGACGTGTGAGGCGTGGGTCTCGAGGGCCGGACGGGGGATGCCAGACGGGCTGTCGACGAACTGGGCTCGTGCAGGCTGATTGCGGTTCTTAGGGGTACCGCGCATGGTACCGGTGTGCGACATGACGGCGGTGGTCTCTGCTGCTTCGCTGGCAGATCAGATGGATGCTGTGCGTGGCTGAGCCAGTAGCAGCGGAGTGTAATGCTGGCAGTGTGTTGCGGAGAGGGTGGAAGGATAAACAACGCGTTGCCGAGCGCTAGTCACGGGCTCGAGCAAAGGGTCTGAGGGTCTGAGGGTCTGCAACGGGTGAACTGTGCATGCAGATAGGGGATGGGGTGCGTATATGAGGCTTTCACTTGGTCGTGGTCTGGATGCAGGCATCGTGCATAGCTGCATCTGTTGTTGCTAGCCTCTGCGGCTGCTGTGCATCTGTTCCAAAATCGTATGCAGCGAGGTGCTGCCCATGATATCGCTGGGTGCACTTGTTTGACGTGTAGCCTGCAAGGGACCCTCAAGGCAGTACACTCTGTTCGGATTCACGAGGCATCACCGCAGGTCTATGTCAAACTCTTGCGTCGATTGCTGCAGGATGCTCATTGTCAAGCCAATTCACTGGCCAGGGGACAAAGCATCAACTGGTGGTCAAAGCCAGCCGAAGCCAGCAGCCAATCAGCCCGGCGTCGCAGCTGTTGCTGTCAACACGGATCCCTGTCTCGCATTTTTGTGTTTTGGCGGGGGCAGCGGCCGCGCCTTTGCTCTTCCAAGAAATTTCCACAGCAACCGTACAATAGTCGCAGCCTGGAAGTGCCCTCGTACGGCTTCTCCTCCACGCACACTTCAACGAGCTTCGCCGTCCGCGCAGAAGCACCGCTTTCAACAGGAAGGCGCTGACGACCACGCGCGCACCCACCCCACCATCGCCGCCGAATCCCTTGCCTTCTGCTGCACCCAACGCTCATTGCCACCACTACCACGGGCGCCGCCCGCAATACCCACGAACCTCATACACCATGTCGGTCCTCCCGGCCGAAGTACACACCGCCCTTGCGAATCTGCTGCGAGGCCTCCAGTCGCCCGACAACGTGCAGCGCACCACGGCCGAGCAGCAGCTGAACGAGGAATGGGTCGCCCAAAGACCAGAGGTCCTCCTCATGGGCCTGTCAGAGCAGATTGAGCTGGCACAAGAGACCGCCGTACGTCGTGGAAAGACAAGGCAGCTCCGTCTTGGTTACTGACCAGCTTACAGACCCGTACATTCGCCGCTGTTATCTTCCGGCGCCAATCATCCAAGCCTCGCAAGACCCAGTCAGGCCAGACCGCAGACCTGTTCTTGACTCTCCAGGCACCTGAGCGCGAGGCTATCCGCGCAAAGCTGCTGCAATGCCTGGCCAACGAGGCCGACAACTCAGTCAGATCCAAAGTTGGCGACGCAGTTGCTGAGCTCGCACGACAGCACACAGACGAAGGTAGACTTGATTCGCCACACTACACCATAACTATCCTGACAGAATCGTGTAGGTGTTGCATGGCCCGAGCTGCTGGGCGCATTGTTCCAGGCCAGCCAGTCGTCCGTTCCTGCTCAGCGTGAGAACGCATTCAGGATATTTTCCACAACCCCTCAGATCATCGAAAAACAGCACGAGGACGTCGTCATGAGCGCCTTCAAGGGCGGATTTGCGGACAGCGAGACCTCCGTACGAATCTCCGCAGTCGAGGCATTCGCTTCTTTCTTCCGCTCAATCACGAAGAAGGCCCAGTCCAAGTACTTTGGCCTTGTACCCGAGATCTTGAACATCCTCCCACCGATCAAGGACTCCAGGGATGCAGAGCTACTCACCAAGGCACTCATCTCCCTCATCGACCTCGCTGAGGTGGCACCCAAGATGTTCAAGCCGCTGTTCAACAGTCTTGTACACTTCAGCATCTCCGTTATTCAGGACAAGGAGCTTGGTGAGACCGCTCGCCAGAACGCTCTGGAGCTCATGGCCACTTTCGCAGACAATGCACCGCAGATGTGCAAGAAGGACCCGAACTTTACCAATGACATGGTCACACAATGTTTGTCGCTGATGACTGATGTCGGCGCGGACGACGATGATGCTGAGGAGTGGAACGTCTCTGAGGATCTTGACGAGGAGAGTGACTCCAACCACGTTGCTGGAGAGCAGTGCATGGATCGTCTGGCCAACAAGCTCGGGGGACAGGCTATCCTGCCTCCCACATTCAATTGGCTGCCTCGCATGATGACTTCATCGGCATGGAGAGACAGGCATGCGGCTTTGATGGCCATCTCTGCTATCTCGGAGGGCTGCCGTGAACTGATGATCGGGGAGCTTGACAAGGTCTTGGATCTTGTCATCCCTGCTCTGCGCGATCCTCACCCTCGTGTGCGTTGGGCCGGCTGCAACGCTGTCGGTCAGATGAGCACTGACTTCGCAGGAACCATGCAGGGCCAGTACCACCAGATCGTCCTGCCTAACATTATCCCAGTTCTCGAGTCTTCGGAGCCTCGTGTGCAGGCGCACGCTGCTGCCGCCCTTGTCAACTTCTGCGAGGAGGCCGAAAAGGACATCCTTGCGCCATACCTGGACCAGCTTCTCAACCATCTCCTCATGCTACTGCAGAGCCCTAAGCGCTTTGTCCAGGAGCAAGCACTTTCGACCATCGCGACCGTCGCCGATTCCGCCGAGACTGCCTTCGGAACCTACTACAACACCCTTATGCCTCTTCTCTTCAACGTCCTGCAAGAAGAGCAGTCTAAGGAGTATCGTCTTCTGCGTGCGAAGGCTATGGAGTGCGCAACACTCATTGCGCTCGCTGTTGGAAAGGAAAGGATGGGGCAGGACGCTCTCAACCTGGTGCAGCTTCTTGGTCGCATTCAGAACAGTGTTACTGAGTCCGACGATCCACAGGCATCTTACTTGCTCCACTGCTGGGGTCGCATGTGCCGTGTGATGGGTCGCGAGTTTGTGCCCTTCCTGGCCGGCGTCATCCCTCCTCTGACCGAGCTTGCCGGTGCCAAGGCCGACATCCAGCTACTCGACGATGAGGACCAGGTTGCTCAGATCCAGGATGAGGAGGGCTGGGAGCTTGTCCCCTTGAAGGGCAAGGTCATTGGTATTAAGACCAGCATTCTCGACGACAAGCACATGGCTATTGAGCTCATCGTCATCTACGCCCAGGTCCTGGAAGACGCTTTCGAGCCATACGTCAACGACATCATGGACAAGATTGCTCTGCCCGGTCTGGCATTCTTCTTCCATGACCCTGTTCGTGTCGCATCCGCAAAGTGTGTTCCCGCTCTCCTGAACGCCTACAAGAAAGCGCACGGCCCAGAGTCGACACAGCTTGGTCAGCTTTGGGAGCGCACTGTTGAGCGCGTTCTCGAGGTTCTCAGCACCGAGCCCGCAATTGACACTCTTGCAGAGATGTACCAGTGCTTCTACGAGTGCTTGGAGTGCATTGGCAAGAACTGTCTGACCCAGACTCATATGGGCGCGTTCATCGAAAGTGCCCGCACTGTCTTGGTCGACTACCAGGAGCGCGTGAAGGACCGCCTTGAGGAGCAGGCTGAGAACGAGGATGGCGAGGAGGCTTCTGAGGAGATGTTGTTTGCCATTGAGGATGACCAGAACCTCCTGTCCGATATGAACAAGGTGAGTGCTTGCAATGCTTTCGCTGCTGATATCATCTGACTGACACGTGCAGGCCTTCCACACCATCTTCAAGAACATGGGCACACAGTTCCTGCCCCACTGGGAGAAGCTGATGGAGTTCTACTCAAGCGCTATCGTCAACCCTGATCCCACACAGCGCCAGTGGGCTATCTGTATCTTCGATGATGTTCTTGAGTTTGCCGGGCCCGAATCATGGAAGTACAACCAGCAGATCATCCAGCCGCTCATTGCTGGTATGCAGGACGAGGTACCCGCCAACCGACAGGCTGCTGTCTACGGCGTTGGTGTCGCTGCGCATAAGGGTGGTGAGGCTTGGTCAGACTTCGCCGCTGCCTCTCTCCCTACACTTTTCCAGGTCTGCCAACGACCCAATGCCCGTGACGACGACGATGTCTTCGCCACAGAAAACGCGTCCGCAGCCATTGCTAAGATCCTACTTCACAATACCGCCAAGGTGCAGAACTGGCAAGACGTTGCTACCGCTTGGGTCGACACTCTCCCCATTGTCAACGACGAGGAGGCAGCACCTTTCTCATACAGCTTCCTTGCCAAGCTCATCGAGCAGCAGAACCAGGCTGTATTCTCTCAGCCAGCCAAGGTTTTCACATTCACCGTGCAGGCTCTCGAGGCCGAGACACTACAGGGCACCACTGCCACACATGTTGTCAACGCGGTCAAGAGCCTCATCCAGGCCACCAGCACAAATCTCGGTCAGGTCGCCGGCAGCCTTACCCCCGAGCAGCAGCGTACAGCACAGGCCTACTTCAGCTAGGAGCTGAACGGGTACAAGGTCGCACAACCGAAATGGCCGAGTAGAAATTAGGGATCGAAGGCCCGATAGCCGGAAATTCGCGCCACCAAAACCTGGACATGTCGCGGGTGTTCTTCAAAGCGTCAGAGGAGGAAGTAAAGGCATAGGGCGGCGTTTGCGTTCATGTTATGAATGATGGAGATGACGGAAGGGTGTACTTGGTTAGACTATTTTATCACAGATTCCCCCGTTCCCCCAAGGACTATGGTCCAACATATGTAGAAAAGTGCATAAGATTTTACAAAGTTCAAAGCTCTTGCTGCTCACGATGTTCTCCAATGGTACGAATAACATTGCCGCATTTGAAGTTCGTGCATTGGTCTTCACAGACGAAACTCGAATCCGCAGTCCGCCATTTGTGCTCTCAGCTCGGCCGTACCAACTGCTGTGTCAACCAATCCTCGAGCCTCCCCTTCGCTGCCTCGATCAACATGACAAACTTCACGGGACCACGCTTGATCTATCCCCCCTGCTCCACCAGCGGCTCGTCCAGCCCGACTTCACACACCTTCTGCGGCGACCTCAAGAACCCTCTCAACCGGAAGAGAAGGACTAGACCGCCGTCGGAGTGGGGGACGGAGGCATGTTGGCTGTGGAACACGGATTTGAGTTGCAGACTGTGTTTGTACGACTCGCGGTCGTGGCCTGCTGCTTCTTCCTCGGTCCCGATGAGCTCCCAGTGGTCATCTGAGATGCGCTCACGAGTCACTGTCATGTAAGAGTCAGATCCAAGTCCTGGGAGGTACGTAGTGTTGTGATCGTATTGTACGGGCTTACCATCGCCTCGCTGAGCTCAAAGAGCTGGACAGGCCTCCTGGTCGGAGTGTCCGGACAATTTCTGCCATCTTTCGATCGTCTCATCGGATGGGTACTCGGAGGCAAGCTGTGCGTCAGCGGCGAGAGCGAGTCGCTCGAATTCCCTCCCAGCGCTCGTCATCTTCCATATTGTTGATGATACGCAGCTGTTTGACGACAAAGTTCTGAGGATTAGGCTGATGAACGAAGGCGACCTTACTGTAGTGCGTGGGTGAGTCAATGGTGAGTCGTACTTCCAACGGTACGAACTTTCGTGCTGAAGCTGGCCATTTTGTACCCAATAAGAGTCAGGAGCCATGGATGGATGGTGTTGCCTTGCAGGTATGACGTAGCGTGGGCAGGTACAATCCAGTCATCGGGCAGGTGAGGTCGCGTGGGATAGTGCCGCGTATCAAACAGCTTCTCTGCAATGAGCTGTGTTACTGCCACTGCTCTCACTACAAAGCTTCGTATCCGTAAATATGCAGTAAACATGCAGTAAACATGCACGAACATGAGTGAATTGCTGGCTAGCCATAGTGTTGAATCGAAATGGGTATCTTATTTTGCTTCCCGCTTGCTTTTGTCGCAATATATGTCTATGCTGCAGCTTGCGCTTGTTGTTGCTGTTGCTGGGCGGCGTTCTGTATCTGGATAATCTGTACGAGGGGTGAGTACAGGACGTTGCTCTGCACGAGTGCACATGGCATACCTCAACCTTGAGCTTCTCGCTCTTATCCTGGATGCCCGTGATCTGTGTCTCAAATCGCCTGATCTCCTTCTCGATGAACTCTAGACGGCCGTTCACCGACATGAGCGCCTCTGTCTTGTCTTGCTTCAGAAGTACGGGGCCAATCTGCTTGTAGATATTCGCCTCATCGTCAAGGAGGTCAAATTCCTGCACACCGATCTTAGTCCCAATACTCGCCACTACATACTAGGTGGCACACCTTCTTGACAGTCGTATTCTCCTGCTGCTGCGACTCGAGTTTCTGGCGTGCCTCTACAGCCGTTCCGAGCTCTGCATTGCGATCAGTGGATGCTCGCTTCCAAACTCTGCCTTCTCTTACCTGCCTGCAGGCTCTGGTAGCTCTCGGACAGCTCCTGGAGCTTCTTCTGGACCTCTGACATGATTTGTGGTTGCTGAGTAACAGCTTGCCAAAAGTTTCCACTTGTTAGTCCGCGCGGAGCACGCGAAGGTGGGATGTCGGGCCAACTGCACTGGGCCTAGCGAACCGCGGGGCTGGAGTCGCGCCTTGGCCGAGTGTATGGAGGCCGTGGTAAAGACTCCCACACTTCCCTGCACTCCGATAAAGCTCGTCCTGCCTCCTGCCAGACCTTCCACTGCTGAAGGGAGAGCCAGTACGCTGCGTTGTGCGTTGCCTAGGAGCCGGAAGCAACAGTGACGAGCAAGCAACAACTTGCCCCACCGAACGCATCGAACGCCGTCAGAGCACCAGCTCGCACTCGCCCGCCAACGCGACGCACATCCGCATATAATACATTTCTGGAGGTGACTGCGGTACACAGCCCAGCAGAAGCGCGAAAATGAGCCAGGCAGACTTCCTGGGGCGTGCCATTGAGCAGGTCAAGAAGGCTATCGAGACCGACACGGCAGGCGACTATGAGGCAGCGTACCAGCAGTACTACAGCGCGTGTGCGTAGCCAGCCTCCTCCCAAAACGTGCCAAATAAATGCTGACATTCTACAGTGGAGTTGTTCATGCTCGCCCTGAAATGTGAGCTGCACCCAACCTCGGTTCCATGGCAGTAACTATATGTCGAAAGCAGCACACTAATGTTGGGCAGGGGAGAAGAACCAGAAGTCAAAGGATATGATTCGTGGCAAGGTCGCTGAGTACATGGAGCGCGCCGAGAAGCTCAAGCAGCACTTGAACCAAAACGACCCTGCGAATCGCAAGAAGCCTTCCGCCATGGGCGCAAACGGCAAGTCGGCTGGCGGCAGCGGAAAGGCTGGCAAGTACGTGAAGACCAGTTACGCCATGTACACGGATGTCTAATGCTGACGTGACATCTCAGGGATGAAGAAGACGGCGAACAGGACGCCGACTCGAAGAAACTCCGCGGAGCGCTCTCCGGCGCCATCCTCACAGAGAAGCCCAATATCCGGTGGGAGGACGTCGCAGGCCTGGAGGGAGCTAAAGAGGCGCTGAAAGAGGCTGTCATATTGCCCATAAAGTTCCCCCACCTGTTCACCGGCAAGCGACAACCGTGGAAGGGTATCTTGCTATACGGGCCGCCTGGTACTGGTAAGAGTTATCTCGCGAAGGCGGTCGCTACAGAGGCGAACAGCACGTTCTTCAGTGTTTCGAGTTCCGACCTGGTCAGCAAATGGATGGGAGAATCAGAACGGTGCGCCAGCCAACAAGTATACCATGGACTTCACTAAATCTTCGCAGACTCGTCAAGCAGCTTTTCGGCATGGCCCGCGAGAACAAACCCTCCATCATCTTCATCGACGAAATCGACGCCCTCTGCGGCCCCCGCGGCGAAGGCGAATCCGAAGCCTCGCGACGTATCAAAACGGAGCTGCTCGTACAAATGGACGGAGTGGGCAAGGACTCAAAGGGCGTGCTGATCCTCGGCGCAACAAACATCCCCTGGCAACTCGACTCGGCCATCCGCCGCCGCTTCCAAAGACGCGTACACATCAGCTTGCCCGACACACCGGCGCGCATGAGGATGTTCGAGCTGGCAGTGGGCAACACACCGTGCGAGCTCAGCCAGGCCGATTATCGACAACTTGCAGACCTGTCAGAAGGCTACTCGGGCTCGGATATAAGTATTGCGGTGCAAGACGCGCTGATGCAACCTGTTCGTTTAATTCAGACAGCGACACATTACAAGCCTGTAGGTTTACTTCTCGTATAACGTCCCACAAGTAGCGGCTGATTAATGGGTTGAACAGGTACAAGTCGACGGCGCCCAGAAATGGACTCCCTGCTCACCCGGCGACCCACAAGCAGTCGAGAAGTCGTGGACAGAACTCGACGGCGATGAGCTCCTTGAGCCGCCTCTCAAGGTCCGCGATTTTGTGAAGGCGATCAAGAGCAGCAGACCGACGGTCAGTGGAGAGGATCTGTCAAAGAACGCCGATTGGACAAAGGAGTTTGGAAGTGAGGGAGCGTAAACGTGGCGCTTTTGGAGGCGTGGTGAGAGATAAGATGGTTCTTGCAATTCAAATGATTGACTTGGGGCATGTGTAGCGTGTCTATTCTATACCGCAAGGGCGGCATGGCGTTTTGAGAAGAGACATCCATGGTTGGCGCATAAACAAATGAACATCATGATGAACCACCTACTTAGTTGTATGGAATAGCCGTACTTCTTTAACGTACAGCACAGTGTAAGCACATGGGTTTGGCTTTCAAAGCACGTCGTGGCAGAATCTCGAGCAACAGTGAGGATGAAGTCGCAAAGACGTAGAGCCAAAGTCATATTAACCAATATTCATTCATGGCCTTGAGGCTCAGTATCGTAGAATTACAGGTCGACAGTCAAGACTGTCCAAGGGTATCATATCACCATCCTCTCGCCACAAAGACGAAACATCTAGTGCTGAGCACCTAGTGCTTTCCAAGACCGAGCGCGCCCTTGACTTTGTCGCCAACAGATTCGTGGGTGGAGCCGTGGGCGCTGTTGTCCTTGGTGCGGCCGACCTTGTCGCCGAGGGACTGAGCGGTGGTCTTCTCGGAATCTAGGAGAGTGTTAGTAGAAGGTCTTCACGCAGGACACGAGGTGGGGAGAGGCGTACCAGGCTGGACCTCACGAGCCGTCTTGTCGGCGGCGCCGGTGATGCTCTCCTTGGTCTTGTCGAGGGTGGACTTAGAGGAGTCGGGGGTGAGCTTCTCGCCGGCCTTGGTGTGGAAATCCTTGCGTGCTGCCTCAGACATGTTGATGGTTGTTTGGTGGTTGGCTTTGTTGAAGTGTAGGTGTAGGTTTAACTTGTAGTAATGGAGTTGTGAGGTTGTTGATGAATGCTATTCCTGCGTCAAAGGCACTGTTTATATGTGCTTCGTGGAGGCAAGACGTATCCAGCTACGTCATGTCCACAGCCACACTTTCCACCCTTCCATGTCATGGTAAACGTGGGCAGTTGCAAAGCAAGCACGTGTTCGACGATCATCCAGTCGCGGCTTCACGATCTGCCTGTGAGCAGGCACGCTGCAAGACGTCATACGTCGGCTGACAGGCACTGCGATACCAATCGCAGATTCGACTGGTGGGATTCATTTGCTTGCTTATGAATGCGATTCAGTGTGACAGGGGTTTCGGAAGCATGAGCGACACATTCGAACCATGTTTGCTGCTGAGTATTCTTGTGACCCTGTGAGGTCATGGCATCATCTTGATGCTCAGGACAGGCCTCCATGATGGCAATGTGGCCTTGGAATATCCGCCTGGCAGAATTTGATCGTTGCTCAAGTCGTGGCCTGAAGCTTTCGAAGCTTGGAGGCTTATGCGAGATTGAGGGCGGGCCGTTGCGTTTGGCAGGCGCGCCCCACATGGCAGTGACGTCATACAGAGTCGAAGGATTGGAAGATGAAGTCTCTTACGGGCGCGTAGTAGGCAATCCTGTTTGTACAGGCGAGTCCAACTCTTTGTTTTTCTATATGTTCATAATGGCAGCTTCATGCATCTGGGCCTTGGCCGTGTACTGTCTTTTCCTGAGAGATTTGGACAGCCGGTGCTGGTGACCTGGAACCTACAACCTTGCATGCTCAGTCTCCAATGCAAGTTTGAAAAACGACCGTCGTCCCTGAGCAGCTTCTGTGTAGATTTAGCTCTAGTGACTGTCTGTATGAAGGCATTCAAAACAGAATCTTCAAAAGAACGGTGTGGGATAGACAGCAATCAACATCAGGTTCTCAGAATAAAGTCCAACCATTCTCAGCCCTATCGGGATTGCGTCCGGCATTTCAACTACGTTATCGTCGGTTGTCCTATTCCTGAACTTCAGCGTTCGATCCAATTGGTCTCGGAGCTTGACCCTGCATCGGGTCTTGACATTCGAGTAACGTAGCTTATCCGCTGAAGCCACAGCTACTAAAGCACGAATCCAACTATACCACAACACGTATTCGTGTCTGGGACCAGTCGAGAGATAGTGGCCTTGGACGTTCTCGAGACCATGGCTTTAAACTACATTCACATGGCCGCCGGATCTCTCTGGTGCTCGTGGAGCGACTAAGCGAAGGATGCGGTAAAGGATGTGGCGACGGATCTATAAAACTTCACGAACAGTCAAAGCCAGTGAGCAGTGCCATACGGCAATGAAGAATGATTTTGTACTTTTATGAGCAGCGACAGTGGTTACTGACTACTCTACTCCCACATCCAATTTCTACATATCGATGTAGGGCCGAGGACCCAATGGCAGAACTGGAGGGGCTTCCACCCTGGTGTACCTCTTGGGTGACGGAGTCCGACTCTCTGGCAGTCCTGAGCGCATCCAGATGGTCTCAATGGCCGCCCAATTGAGCCTGGGCTCCAAGAGATGCTAACCCGTGAACCCAAGCCCAGAGAGCTCTTTGCGGATGGACTCCTCGGTACCAATCTTCTTGATCTGGGTGTCCTCCAACTTCTCACCACCAGCTTGCCTCATCTTGAGCTCGTCGATGGCGCGAACCTTCTTAAGCAGACCACGGATCTTCTTGTCCTGAAGTCCTCCACCTTCACCAGGGCTAGTAACAGTGAGGTCAGGGGCAGGTACGTTCGAAGTCTGCACAGAAGGAGAGTTGCGAGCATCCTGACTACGCTGCTGCTGCTGGCTACCATTCTGGCGGGGTTGGCCTTGCGCACGGCGATCCGGGCTGTTTCCGAACGGACGCTGCTGGCTGGAGCTCCTGCCGTTTCCGTTCTTGCTGAGGCTTCGCTGACGACCATCGCGGCTCTCGGGACTACGAGCGGCGGGTCCTGTCGGCGCATCGGCACTGAGACCTGCAGCTTTGTCCGCGGCCTCACGAGCTTTCTTCGCTTCACGCTTCTTCTTGTTCTTTTGAGCCGCCTTCGACAACTCCTGGTCCTCTCCGGTGCCAGAGAGACTAACACCGCCACCAGGAGCGGCACCAGGAGGCAGGTTCTGGACGGGCTCAGCACCAGGTACCTGACGGCGCCCGCCTCGTCCGAATCCGTTTTGGAAACCAACGTTAGTGGAAGACACGCCAGTGTTGGTGTAAGCAGCACCACCTTCGTCCTCGCGCTTAAACATGAGGGGAGTAGCGGTTCCACGGGCGCCAGGGGGACGGTAAGCACCAACGGGCTTGGAGGGAGTCTTCTGGGTGGCAGTGAAAGACGCCGCAGATGGGTGGGGTGCAGGTGCAGTCAACACGTTATCCAAGGGGTGCTGCTGAGGCGACTGCGGGCGCCAAGTGACGTGGTACAGCTCGTTGATATCCTGGTTATACATAAGGGGTCCAGTAATATGGTAGATACGGATACCGTTGTCGACGCGGAGACGCGGGCTAGTAGTCGCGGTAAGAATGTGCCTGCCATCAGGGCTCCACTCGCAATAGGTGCAGTTGGCGGCCTTGATGGTGCAGACCTTGTGGTAGTTCCTTTCCAAATCGTAGATGTCAACATCTCCTGCCAGGTTACCAAACCCGCCGACAAGTACGAAACGGCCGTGGGGTGAGAAGTTGATGGTGTTCCTCGGGCCTAGATCGAAGCTGTGCTGAGGGATAGCTCGAGCGTTGAAGATAGTGGTTTTTGCAGGCATATAGCCATACACGACGCCGAACTCTTTCGAGTTGGGCGACCAAGATACATCGTGGATAGGTCCTTCCTTATCAAGCTGGATGCGCGAGTCGAAAGAGCCGTTGGCGCTCAGGATGTACATGTTCGTCTCGCCGTAGTAGCTTTTGTTGGTCTTGTCGACGTCGGTCTGGGCCAGTACAATAACATTGGTACCAAGATCGTTCCACTTCAGCTGGACCTTGTCGCTCTTGAAGAAAGTCTTCTGAGACACGGGCGAGGTGAATTGAGGCACTTGGTAGACCTTGACGGATGCGGGCATTCCCTAGGTTTTGTCAGTCCGTACAATCAGTTTATGAGTGTCCATGCCTACCTTGCGCTCCGGAACAAAAACTGCAACTGAATGGTTCTTGCCGGGCGACAGGGCGAAATCAGTCACGCCTTCCTCGCGAAGCTTGTTCCATGGGTTGCGCAGATCTTCAGACTGGAAAATCTGAACCTCGTTGGTCACACAGCGGGCGCAGAACTTCTCGTCGGGAGAGTACTGCAGATTCCAGCCGGTCTGGGACTTCTGCACGTATTCGCCGACCACTACGCGCTCGGCACCCTCAGCCTCATCAGGCAGTGTCTTCCAGACCTTCAAGTTCTTCTTGGCGTTGCCCTCCTCGTCCTTCGAAGGCAGCTGCCATGTGATGATGTATGTGCCCAGCGGGGAGAAACCGAGCTGGAAGACGTTGACAGCGGGCACGGTCGAAACAAGGTTGCCATTGGAGGCGTCGATGACCGAAACCCTTTGATCATGTCAGTGAACTGTGGCGCAAAGTGACACTTGATGACCGTACTGTTCAGGCGACGCCCAGGCGAAGTACCTGCTATCAGGCGAGTAACATTTACAACGAAGGTTGCCCTCAGGCCTGCAGACTGTGTCAGCAAATTGGCCTCCCGGCACGTGATCGTCATGCTCACGGTGTGAATCCAGGAAGAGCCTCGTATGCGGGTGCCGCATTGAGGACCCCGATGCCCTTGGAGGTACGATCTGGCAGATGCATTAGTGCGAATCAAGCCCATCGCCCGCCTGCAACGTACAAGCCAACTGTGTGGGAGCCGCCATGACTAGTGAAAGTCACAGTAGTTGGTACAGAGGTGGTAGTGGGCAAGGTGCTGGTGGTCGCGAGTCTGGTATGCAGCTGAGGCGTTGCGCTGGCGGTGAGAAAGGCTAAGTAAGACTGAGACACGTTCGCGATGCGCGAGTGACGTATTTCGGAGGCTTGCTAGTTTGCTTCTTTTTTCTTTGGGCAGCCAAGGACAGACAAGAGCGACGACCACGCAACGGCAAAGGGGTGCTGAGCTTGTCGACGTCGCAGCGGAGGTCGTGGGAGATGTTCGTGACAGACACCAAAATGTGAATGGAAACAATTGCAGGCACGAGGCAGGGCGCGCGCTAGCGGTAAAGCGTCGGGCCGTCACGCCTTGTACTCCCCGGCCAGCATGTGAAGTGGTCGACTACTTAGTCATGGTCCGTCAAACGTCAAGCATGCCGAACAATCGCTCTGAGATCCTTCAATTCAAGACAATGTAACGGCCAAAAGACCAGATGACTTGGTTTTCATCTCGAAAATCATCCCGCTATCGCTATCTTAGCGCGTCGGTTGCACCGGCCACTGATGCTATCACAAGCTCCCGAGCTCCATCTTCCCCAGCCCCATCGCGTGCCTCTCCATTCTTTCCACCTCTGACGTGAACCACCACTGTACAGCGACCATGCCGACCTCAATGCCATGTCCCTCCATAAGAATACCCATGGAGCTTCTGACGCCCACTGCCTTTTCGCAGTTTGGCACTGTGATTGAAAACCCCGCAACTTCTCCCAGCTCCAGACTCGCGATACCGGACCGTGTGCCTCCGCCTGAACATGTCCAGGCCAACCAGGGATTCGCAACAAAGTACCTGGACGTCACACATATGTCGAACCTTTATAACCTAGCGCCCTCGAAGAAGCCTGCAAAAGCAGTGATGAACATGTTTGCATGCTTACCGCGGAATCTAAGAAACAATGAACCGAGCGAGAGCATGCCCAGCTCTTGGGGCGATTTGGACTTGGAAGAAGACGAAGACAGCAACGGGAACTACGACAAGCAGCTTCTGGACGTAAAGATCCTGGAACGCCACCCTTTCACTACTCAAACGTTCATCCCAATGGGTCTTTCAGCGCAAGACAAGCACACTCAGTACCTGGTCATTGTTGCGCCAACGCTGCCCGCCAGCGCCTCGAAACGCCACATCGGTCGCCCGCCGCCATATCCCACACCCATGGTGGAAAGGAAGAAAAGCTTTAGAGACATCTTCGCAAGAGCACGGCCTGCGCCCTATTCGACTGAATCCATACCGCCTTCACCTCAATTTGCTAAGCTGCACCCATCTGCGCGACCAAAGGGACCTGGACTCCCAGATTTGAAGAACCTGCGTGCGTTCGTAGCTAGAGGTGACCAGGCTGTGACTTACGGTGCTGGGACCTGGCACGCACCCATGATTGTGATTGGCGATCGGCCAATCGACTTTGTTGTTGTGCAGTTTGCGAATGAGGTGGGGATGGAAGACTGTCAGGAGGTGGAACTGAAGACTGGCAAGGGCGCACAAGAGGGCGTTGTCGTTATGGTTGACACAGATGGGGCTGGAAAAGTGCAGGTCAAGGCCGGTGTTGGATCGATAAAGGCAAAGCTGTAAGACTAAATGAATATGTGATGTTTGCGACTTTCTCGAACGCGTCGCACGCTTGCCAGGACCGCCTCACGCAATGCCTACGGTCGATCAAACCCTACAGACCATCTTAATCAGTCTCTGCTGGCATCGTCGCGGCGGAAGCGTTCCATTCATCGTCACAATATGCGCGCCCCATGCGTTCCTTGCTATACATAAGCTTGCCTCCAAGCTTAACAAGAGGAGTGACCCACGACTTCTTGCCATCTGGGCCGATTACTTCCTTAGTCGTTGCACCAAGACCTTAATCGAGAACTTTAGCATGGAAGTCAGTCGTTCACATTATCCAGGGACACTCACCGACAGGCGGGTAATTCACATAAATGCCCTCCCAGCTCTTCTTCGGACACGCGAAGACCTCGTGCATAATTCCCACGTGAGGGATCTCCTTCTCAACCTCCCTCCACCACTGCATAGTCTGCGTATGCATTGGTCCATGGGCATACCCGTGCAGGTAGTGCTCATTCTGGAAGTACAAGATAGTCATGAACTCGTTCGAGGTGGTGTTGTCAGATGCGTTGAGCCATGCGGAATGCCCGAGGTATCCGTATTTCGTGGCGTCATTCGACATCTGCTTGACCATCGCATCGAAGCGATCGCCGACGCCCCTGAAACCTGGTCCCAGCATGCCAAGTGGGTGGTTTGATACAACACCGAGGATAATGGCACACATTTCGGTATTGGCAGCCTTATCCTGAACGCCCTTCTCGTCAGGGTAGATGATACCTGTGCGGTACCGGATGACATCCTTCATCCTAGAATTTGCGAGGAGTCCGGTCGCAACACACGCTGTATAGGAGATTTTGTAGGCGAGGAAGAGCACGACTGGGAGAATTGTGACGATATTACGGTACGGTAGCAAAGTGTACGCAGCGGCTTGTATGACTGCACCAATGGAGAGCCAGGTCGCAATGCTGAATTGATCGCGAATTATCTGTCATCCTCGTCAGTCTGGAGGGTCTACAGGGATTTGGTCTGCGAGAAGTACTGACCGTATGTACCAGATTCAACGCGTTCTTGTTTGCTTGGTCTTTCGGCCTCGAGGCGAACGCATCGTAGACTGGTTTGACTGCCATGGCGGACGATTGTTAGAGTGTCTTAGAGTCTCTCCCTATCAGCTTCCTCTAGATGAAGATGTTGCGCAAATCCACCGGTGTCTTAAGAGCCTATTCAAGTGGATTCAAGGCACCTCTGTCTTCTTTTTCCGGGTTCCACACGAAGTTATGGATACTGGGGCTTATATCTCAAGACCACATATAGTGATAGTTGCTGTGAAGTTGCGCCTGCGGCTGGTGTACCGTCGGAGGTGGGCCAATGACGACGATCATCGGAAAGCTCTTCACCGACGAACATTGCGCAGACCACACGCTTGCATCGCGGCAGAGGTCAGCCAACATGCATAGGTTGTCTAGACGCTTCCCATACCTTTTGCTCATCGGGGGTCGATTTAACAACAGCCCACAAGTCAAGCCTTCCACAAACTCTGCGCAGGTACCTTCGATGAGGCTCTCTCCGATTCAGATTCACATAGTTATCGATCTTCTTCACAGATAATTCAGGTAGTTTCTCGAGCATGATCAGCGTCCATAGGAACCACATAGTCCTCCCGTAACAGCGTCTCAAAAAGAGCGGCCCTTCACCTCTTTGTCAAGGACAAACCTCTCCGCAAAGGTTGTGTTTGGGGCCTCTTCTTCTTGAGCATCAGAACAACGCAGAGAGACTCCTTGCACGTGCATTGATTAAACGTACTTCTCGAAAATGGCTAGGTCGCATTCGATCTTGGGTATCGGTTGGCCTTCAGCAATTGCAACTTGTAACAAGATTTCTGAATCGCAAAACACCTGATCTTGCACGTAGGATGTGGTTTTTCTACTACTTGGCACGAGCGACGTAGCACTATCTTGCAATTCCATCTTGAAATCTACGGCTTATGCGTGCATATTGAGACCGTGGTTAAGTTGTGCGCAAATGATCTATAAATTCAGGCATCGCATCAATGCTGACCGAAAACCAAGGCCCTTGTAGAGAGGAAAATACAGCCTCATCGAGGCATGCGACTCCTTTCCGTCGGCCGCAACAGCGTCAACCGCGTCTGTGCGTTGAGCACGCAATCGTCATTGGTGAATTTCGATAGTTTCCCGCACATCGCATCTTCAAACATCACGGGCGCATATCTCGACGACATCAACTGTTGATCTCGAAGAAAAGCTCAATTGCAGTCTTGAGTCGCAATTGCAAGGTCTGAAAGACAAGGTCGATTGAGGCGAACCTGCCGGGCTAGTGTGCGATTTAATAAGAGTTGGAATCCCGGAGCGATAGCGGAGCAAAGACACTGAGAAGTTGGCCGTTCCCAAACAGCCGTCAATATGGTTTCCAAGGTCGATCAAGAGATAGAACACCCCGATTCCGGGTCAGGCACGGTAGTAAAGGATCTGTTCGCCGGCGCGGTAGGAGGAGTAGCACAAGTTCTGCTCGGTCAGCCCTTCGACATCGTCAAGGTCCGGTTACAAACCACAACACAATACTCCGGCGCCCTGAATGCCGCAACAAGCATCTACAAGAACGAAGGCGCCCTTGCTTTCTACAAGGGAACACTGACGCCGTTGATTGGAATCGGTGCCTGCGTGTCCGTCCAGTTCGGTGGCTTCAACTTTGCGCGCCGCTACTTCGAAGCCCAGAACACAGCGAAGACCGGCAACGGCGCGCTGTCTTACTCGCAATACTACACCGCTGGCGCTTTTGCTGGTATCGCAAACACTGCGCTTTCTTCGCCCATCGAGCACATTCGTATCCGTCTTCAGACGCAGCCCAGCGGAGCTGCACGGCTGTACAACGGCCCCATCGACTGCGTGCGTAAGCTCTCGGCACACCAAGGAGTGCTTGGCGGTGTCTACCGCGGAACAGCTGTGACTTTCCTTCGAGAAGCGCAGGCGTACGGTGTCTGGTTCACCACCTTCGAGTACCTGATGAACTCGGATGCGGCGCGCAACAACATCAGGCGCGAGGACATCTCGACACTGAAAGTTGCCGCATATGGCGGTCTTGCGGGAGAGATGTTGTGGCTCAGCAGTTACCCCTTCGATGTTATCAAGAGCAAGATGCAGAGTGATGGCTTCGGCAAGGATCAGAAGTACAAGAGCATGCGCGATTGCTTCTCTAAGGTGTGGGCGCAGGAGGGTGCAAGAGGTTTCTGGAAGGGTATTGGGCCGACACTGCTGAGGGCTATGCCGGTCAGTGCTGGAACATTCGCTACCGTCGAGGTTACCATGCGTTTGATCAGCTAGACGGGAAATTGTACAAACTCGGGAGACACTAGGATGTAACCGGGGATTTCAACATCTTACGAGGACACGAGTCTTTGGCATATGGGGATTGCATAGATTCGACCACGATCGGGGGGGTTAGACCACAGCCGGTTAGGAAGCTGGCTCGCGCCGAAGAGGCTTGAAGCGCAAATAGAGTTATCGTTTGAATCTAACGAGACGCTCAAGGTGCACACATCAACTGCACGCCTCACAAACAGCACTCTGGATGACCACTGCCTTGTACTCAACAATCGTCGTAGATACAAAACGCTCAAGTGTGCAATTTTGGACACTCCTGCGTACAACACGACGCTCTGGTATCGTGTCCAGCCACAGGATTCACTTCTAGTGACCTGAATTCCTATCGATGTACAAAAGAGAAGCTCAAAGAGTGCGTCCACCGGGTATAGTACAAAATCCACAACCGCAGCCAACCCAACCTATCCAAACAACCTAGCCTGCCCTGCATCATCGACACATGCTCTCTACCAGCACTTCAGCTTACTCCAAAAGCTCTGCTTCTCCTCGTCGTCCTCTGCGTGCTGCTGCCGTGCAGCCTTCTCTCCTGTAGACGGTAGCTTTGGTGTCTGAGGGTACGACATGGCTCCCGCACCTCCTCTCCCAGCATTCGCCCTCGCCTCAACGACCCTCCTAACAAGCAGTGCAAAAGTCTCCTCGATATTCACCATCTCCCTCGCACTCGTCTCCATAAACCCACACCCGTGCTTCCGCGCCCATTCCAACCCCTTCTTCGCCTCAATCGCCCGCATGCCCTGCAAATCGCACTTGTTCCCCGCCACGATCTTGACAGGCGGGACTTTGCCGTTGTCCAGCCGGTTCTCCGTCTCCATATCGATCATCTCCATGAAGTATTCCAGTGCGTCGAGAGAGTTGGGCGATGTGATATCGTACACGAGCAGGAAGGCGTCGGACTGCAGGTTCGAGGCGGCCCAGAGTCCGCGGTATTCTTCCTGGCCCGCGGTGTCGGTGAGCATCAGGTAGTATGAGTGGCCGTCGACGGCGCGGGTGACGGAGTACGAGTCTTCGATTGTGGGGTCGTAGCTGGGCGTGTCAACGGTGCGCCGTGTAAGATGGGGATGGATACGTACTCTGATGTCCATTCCGAGCGGACCAGACGTAGTGTTATTGAGCTCTTTCCTGGGCGCGTGTGAGTGTGTGGTGTGAGCGAGGACCAGGATTGGGCGTACCACATCCGCCGTCACCGCAGATGGTTATCGTGATGCGGTCTTGTTCTTCCATTGCGGTGTCTCTGCTATCGCAATTGCGCACTCCGAACGTTCCAATGTGCAGTCCAAGCTGGTGGTTTCTGTGCGGCGTACTCTGAGGGCTCGTCGTCACGCGTTCGTGCGGCTGGCTGTCTTCACAACTATCTCAGCTACCTCAGCTCGGTGTCGCAGCAGTGTCGTGGTGTGTCTCGCAAAAAAAACAAAAGAAAGGAGACGTTGTGGTCGGCTTGAGCAGAAACAAGGAACGAGGGTGTGCCTGGACATCAGTCGCCAGCGGGTCAGATTTGCGAAAGGAGAGTGAATCCCAGGTCACGATGCCTGACGGCGATCAGTTCGTATGCGCATCGAGGCCCAGCTGCACCCTTGCAACAGGATGCCGGCATGGTTTCCGCGAAGATTTGAAGCTCGGGCGTCAACGGCGTGCCGAACCTGTCCAAAGATGACGCTGGTCATAAGGCGTGACAATTGGACACATGAAGATGTACAGCGTGAGGAGTTTGCGTGAGCGGCTCGTATAGTTTCTTTGTTGCTGTGCAGCGTGCGTCGGGTACCTGCAACCTCGCGCCGATTCGTGCTCGCAAGGATGTTGCAGGTAATTTGTGGAACGCAATGCTGCGCCGCATTCCTTCGATCAGCCCTGCTCGGACACGGCCGTCCGTGTTCAAGATTAGCCTGGCTAATTTTCGGTGACAGCCCTAAACAGCGTGCTTTGCAACTGTCATCGACGATGAAGTGACGAGTTGTTTGATGACAGTATGGTCAAAGTGTAACTCAGTCACAATCAGGTTACGAATTACAAGCACGGCCAGGAAACAGACAACAGACAACATGCACGGAGGTTCTTGATGGAGAACCAGACGGCGCCCTTTGTCCTCGTGTGTGCTTTACCATACCTACAAAACCGACCAAGGAGGCTTATCCGCCTCACTACATGCGCGCGTGGGGAACCTCTGCGCTTCTTTTTCCTAATCCTCACCACCCCATCACGCTCCATTGCAGCGTGCTTCTTTTCACTCGGCTCAAGAGATAAACAACCGCTCATCGCTTTACCATCCCACTTCTACAGCCTCGGCCTACTTATCCACAGATCCCACATCCATGCTTCTAGCTGGCAAGTTTTCCGTCAAATTTTGCCCGTTGCTCAAGCGCCCAACGGCGTTCCGAAACCTTGAAGGGAGATTGGACGCGACTATGCAAGTCATTGAGTCTGCAAAGCTACTCTGCGACAAATAACGGAAACCTGCTCGTAATTGAGGTTTGAGTTTGCGTTGGTGCTGGTGCTGGTGCTGTCTGCTCAGCGCTTCTGGCAAGCATGTTGAGTGTGCGCTTGCAAGGATGATGCAGGCACTGCGGGTACAGTCTAATCTCATGTGGCGTAACAGCCTTGCCAAAGGCAGCATGCCTGCACGTTAGCTCGTGCTGGATTTCTCGTGGAAAGTACCAAACGGACACGCAAAGGATTGCAAAAGATTCCCTCAACACCAGGGGATATCTACAACGAGCGGACAACGGCACATCATTGCCGATTGACGATAGATCACCAGGTGATCATGATCTGAGCGTTGCTGCACTGGGTCCAGGGTAAGCTTTTACGAGTGCATTCACGATCTTAGATAGGAGCGCGCTGACTGTGCGCGTTCAGTGGAGTCAAGTGGGTTCGATTGCTAGATATCGCTCGTTCATTTGATTGATCTGATACGCTCAGACCCTGCCCCTAAGATATATATGTACACTTTCGCTGTCGCTGGAAGACATGACATCTACATAAATGTCGCCCAACATAGTCCTAATCCGGTCGAGAAGCTGTGAAAATGACCACTCGCTTGTCTAGAATACCAGTAACGTCGTAAGTAGAGTGAAGGCTCGCTAAGATGATAGTAGCACGGAAGCCGCTTGATTGTGTAAAAGATGGCGAAGAGAAGTGTTGGGGTATCGTCAAGATCAGAAAACAACCGGGCCCAAAGGAAAAAAAAGGAAGCAGCAAGGTGAAGAAGGGTGTTGATGCGTTTACTCCTCGTCAATCTTCGGTGGTGGGACGAAACCCTGTGAAACCGCGACCTCAGCACGCGCATGCTTGGCAGCATGGTGATCGTCGATCTCCGCGTTTCCAGGCGTGCGCTTCGAGGATGGTGTGAGTGTCGTTTTGACAGAGAACGGCTGACCGGTCTCGGGAATGGTGTGAGGCATGATGGACTGGACGTTCTGCATGTGTCGGGGCGAAGTATTGCTCTTCTTGCTCTTGTCACTCGCCGCGGAGGATGTACGGGGTGACACACGGCCTTGCTAAAGAGGGATTAGTTATACGCGTCCAAGCCATGTAACCTGGGGAACAAACCTGCTTGGCCCACCGCAGTCCACATGAGTTACACAAGTCTCGGTTACCAGATGGTCCTCTCCGCCACTCGGGTGTTGTCCTCGTGTGGCAGTTGGCACAGTCTTTCTGCATTTGTCCAGCACCCTTTCTACACTTCCTCTTCTTCTTCGCTGCCAACAGGCTCTGCACCTCTTCAGCCAGATACCTGTTGCGCTTCTCCATTTGACGAAGTTCATATTGCCAGCTGGTGCTTCGTGTGGTCTTCAACTCGTCGAATACATTGTCGTCTGACGCCAAGCTCTGATCCTGGTGACCGATTGTCAGCCCATTGTGACCGGCAAATGTAGTGCCGTGTGCCTCTGTAGTGTTAAAGTGTGGGTTCGGTGATGCGACCATGGAGCCGGCACCAGATATGGAACCAGGCATAGATGAGGCGCTGCTGAGCCGCGGCTGTACCGAGCTTTGCAAATTCTGCTCCTTCGTCTGGTAGATCGAAGGTCGCTGACCGTTGCTGTTCCTCGAATATTTCAAGAGTCGAGTCTGCCCAACAATAAATGTTGGTTTGTGACCTTCCGTAGCATCTCCGGGGTACATTGTGGTAAAAGCCTGCAGCACCTGCCCCCTCTTGTTGATCATCTCATGCTTGACCTCTCCTTTCCTTCCACCTCTTACGAGCTCCAGTATTCGACCGAAGTTCATCTTAGAATCCTGGCGCATGAGTGACTGCATGCTCATCCCCACAAGTTCCTCTGGCTGTCGGTCCAATAATTGGCGCACGTTCGATGAGACGAACAGGAACATTCCGGAGGTTGACATCTTTGTCCACAGCTCGTTGTCACCAATGCCGCCAGATTCGCGGACGATACTCTTGCTCAATGTGTAGACTGGACGTTCGCGACCAACCAGGATGATACATTTGCGGCCCTTGCCCTGCTCGGTGTGCAATGAGCCGTGGCCCTCGAACCACATGTATCCGCTTTTCTTTCTTCGGATGCGGAATACTACGTTGACGGAACCGCCGTTTGTAGTCTCCTTGAGTTCTCTTGTGACCGGCACGATGTCGCTAGGATGGCATACAGAAGAAAGGGCGGTTCCGACGAGCTCACTTGGGTCGTACTCCAGGATTCGGTTGCTCGATGGTGACAAGTACATAAACAGACCTTTGAGTGATAAAACGTGTACGACATCATCCGTGTTCTCAAGAAGGACCTTGTCCCATATGCGTCGGGTGATTTCAGAATCCCCTGAACCACTGTAGGATGCTAATACGTTCGACACTTCATCCTTGGAAATGGTCTGCCCCTGTTCTGGTTGGGGTTTCGAAGCGTCGTTGAAGACATAGCTAGGCATACCCATGCCACGTTGGTAGTTGACTCTGTACGATCCATCTTGTCAAAGTTAGTTTCCGATTCGACCAAAGACAACGATAAATCTTACCTGAGTTCTTGTTCGTCATTGCACCAGGTTGCTCGACGAGATCGACCTGGAAGCCAACGAAGAACTTGACCTTTCCACCGGGCTCCCATGATATTGGGATCATGGTGAGAAGGTTCATGAACGGCTGCCCTCCTCTTCTGTAGTTGATCAAACTGATCTGTGCTTCGGTCACCGCGCTGATAGTGTTCTTGAGATAAAGTACCGAATCGTCGTCGACGTAGTTGCGCTTGATGCCAGCCTCGACTTTGCCATCAGGTGACTGCAGAAATCGACAATTCCTGCCAAGGATCATGTGCCTTGTGTAACCCGTAAGACGTTCGAAGTTCTCCGAGCAGTAAACGATTGGAATGTCGTCCATGTCAGCGTCACACACGACAAAAGCACACGACAAGTCCACGGAGCCAATGTCGATTTGCGGGTTCGGTCTCGTGGCTACTCGCATGAGAACGCCAAGCATGTCGAACCCAGACGAGGAGTAAGCATTCTTGAACTGTATCTCCGTGTGAGGTTTGGGGTGCATTAACGACGGGAATCCGCCGGGCCCCTCTTGCCACGGTAGTTTCTTGTTCTTGATGTGCTCCAGATTGTCGTGGGATATGTTTTCTGTAGGGTCCTGTGCTATTGGCCGCTGATTTTCGAGCGAGCTCAGACTCAGTTGAGTGGCGCTATTTGCGTTGCTGGTATCGGGACGTTGACCGTGCTGACTTTGCTCCCTGCTAGATCTGCTCTGGTCTTGCTGGCCATGGCTATTCTGACGGCTGGGAAGAGATGGACCAGATCGGCCGTCTGGCGTATTGCTCATAGAAGGGCTCTTGAAGTGGCCGCAGTTCTGGTTCTGGTTCTGGTTCTGGTTCTGGTTCTGGTTCTGATTCTGATTATGACCCTGTGCCATATCCCCGAACTGGTGCTGTCCAACCATGTTAGACGCTCGCCGAGGTGCAGGCAAGGGTCCAATGAAATCAGTACCCGGGTTGATAGGTGTGGGGTTTATGTTGACAGGAGAGTCCATCATCTGGGGATTGAAGTGGTTGTTGCCGAACATGTTCATGTCTGACTGCATCATGCTGTTGAGCGAGTCGTCCATGTCCAGCGACATGTTCATACCGTTGGGGTAGGGGCTCATTCCCATGTCGAGATCTGCGGACGCGTGGATGGGCGAGGCGTAATTGGAGCCAGGCGCGGCCATGGTGGAGAAGGGCGAGGCGGCGTTGCTGAACTGGGTCTTGACGGCGAGATCGGCGCCGGGCTGCATATCAGCGGTGGGTCTGGGGAACGTGTTGCTGCGCATCATTTGCTCCATGCCCGACGCAGACATGTCGAAGGCGAAGTCGTCCAGGGAGCCGCCGTTTGGATCGCCAAAATTCATTATGGACAGGCTGCGCGTCGGGCTGGTCATCTGGATGATCGGCTGCTGGTGCGGCTGCTGGTGCGGTTGCTGGGGCTGTCGCGCGTACACGGGCATGCTCCGTCGGCGGTTCACGCTGTCGTTCTGCGAGACGATGTCATCGAGCGACTGCCCCTCGATGCTGCCAGGGCCGTAGGCACTCATGTCGCCGCCGCCGAGATCCATCAGGCCGCCGCCGTTGCTCGTCCCATCCGCGTAGGGCTGGGACGAGTAGGGGTAGCCGTTCATGCTGGGCTGGCACCCAGAGGCTCAGTGTGTGCGACGGTAGCTAGCAGCGCCGGATCGCGGTCATCGATGGGCGGGTGACGGGGGCCGCAGCCGTCGAGGCGGGCGCGTATGGGGGACTGTGGGCAGCAGCGGGGTGTGTGGTGGAGGTGAAGAGCGCAGCAGGCGACATGCAAGGCGAGAGCGCGCGGCGGCACCCTGCAGACAGGCCGGAGCTGGTCGTGGGCGGCGGTCCTAGGCTTTGAGCTAAGAGATCTTGCCTCGACGCAGACGCGGACGCCACTAGACACGGGCAGGGCGAAAAGAAAGAATACCCGTGACCGTGGGGCAGCACCCGCAACACCGCAGCCGCAGACACGCGGGCGCGCCAGAGAAAGCTCACGGTGGGCAGGGTGGGGACGTGTTTGCTAGCTAGGCCCGGAGTGCGCGAGTGCGCGAGTGCATGCGGAATGCAGATTGCCATGCTGCTCGGGGAGGGCGGGAGCGCAGCCAGCGCCGCCAGACAGACATCAGCTCACTGTTGCGTGCCCAGCCCAGCTGCGTCCCGAGCGTGGGAGCCTGTGAGGCGCCTGTGGCCCAGTGGGCGACGCGCCTCAGGAAAAGCACCCGTGACGGCCATCAGTGTGGCTGCCAGGTGCGTGGAACCGCTGGGACCGCTGAGAGTCTGGGACTGCGGGACCCGTGTCTTCCGCGGAGCGCACGTCGCGCCTGCCCTGCGAAAACGCCAAGCAACGCCCCGAACTTTTGCAGCAGGCACGACGGAGCAGCACAAACAATGGCGGCCAGCAGCACCATGCTCATACGGCATCTTGTCGCGCGGAGGGGTATGTTGATGGCACTGTCGTGATGATGCTCGACTGGCTAATTGGACGCACAGCGCCCGCCCTCGCACGCAGGTCGCTGCAGCGACGATGCTATTCCACACATACGCCTGATACCGGCGAGGACCTTCCACAGACGTTCGCGCAGAAGTGGCAGCGCGAGTGGGCTTCCGGAGTAGGTCTCGACAGCCCTGTCGCTGCCACAGAAGCCCCCGCGACCGCGCCCTCGCCTGCAGGCCTCGCAGAGCAGTATCACGCGCACAAGCAGCAGTCGCAGCGCCTCAACAGCCTGGGCGCCGTCGTCGAGCCTCACTACCAACCGCACACCCTCCTCACCAACCCTCCCTCGCCCGCCGACGTCACGCTCGAGCTCCTCCTCGCCTCTGAAGCCCACCAGGGTCACGCCACGTCTCTCTGGAATCCCGCCAACGCGCGCTACATCCACGGCATTCGTCAGGGCATCCATGTCATCTCGCTCGAAGTCACAGCCGCCCATCTCCGCCGCGCAGCCAAGGTGGTTCAGGAGGTGTCGAGAAGAGGAGGCATCGTCCTGTTCGTGGGCACCCGTGACGGCCAAGACCGCGCTGTGTCTCGCGCCGCCGAGCTGGCCAAGGGCTACCATCTGTTCGAGCGCTGGATCCCCGGAAGCATCACAAACGGCCAGCAGATCCTGGGCCGTTGCAAGACCAAGGTCGTCAACGAGCACGACAAACATGTCTCGGGCTTCGAGGAGCAGCTGTACGACCGCCCGGTCCTGCGTCCAGACCTCGTCGTGTGCTTGAACCCCCTCGAGAACTACGTCCTGCTGCACGAGTGCGCGCTCAACAACATCCCCACCATTGGTGTCATTGACACAAATGCTGATCCTACATGGGTTACCTACCCGGTTCCGGCGAACGACGACAGGTGAGACATGTCCCAGCTCGTCTCCGAACACAACTAACACGTACTAGTCTGCGCTGTATCCAAGTCATCGCTGGCGTTCTCGGCCGCGCAGGTGAAGCAGGTCAGAAACAACGCCTCGCCGCCGCTGCGAGAGGGCGCATTACCTACCGTCCCGCCCAGGGTCTGATGGTGTTCGAGACAGAAGATGGTGACAGGGAAGTCGCGCAGGCCAAGTCTGAGGCTGAGGCTGTCGTGGCTGCAAGGATGCCTGAGGTCGTCAGCGGGGCTGAGGTTGATGCTGACGCTGAGTTCTCCAGGCATCTGGACGAAGTACGCGACCGTGAGGACCACAGGCAGAAGGGTGGAAGGAGAATCAAGTTCAGCGACTAGAGGAGCTATATTGTACGAGTAGGATAGCATTTGGGACGGTGTGTTATTAGATGTGCATCTACATCAATGTACAACAAGAGCAAGATACTACCGCTTGCATCTACATTGGAAAAGCATACTCTACATCCACAACTACTTGCCACCTAGGATGAGCGCATGCTGCGCCTCAAGGTCTCTATCTCTTCACGCGCATAGACCATGGCTCTCCTTCCTGCAACACGTCGAGCCGAATGCGACGCATCTACCATCCCAGTAGCCCAATGTCACCGACCCTCTCATCTGTGAAGCCACTTGAAAGTTAAAACCCGCTCCCAGGCCACCACCATCCGTCGCTGTCCTCGTGCTTGAAACGCCCACACACACACTAACTTCGCGCAGTAACAGATAGGGTTGCCCAGTGAAACCAGCCTTCTCGACCAAGCCAGAATTGACGCTCGTGGTGACTGGTAGCGCATCGTGGCTACAGTAGTGCATCGTGAGATCGACGACGTCATCGGGTAAACCTGCCGTGCCGCGCCACCAAGAGAGCACCCAAGGGCCGACTTGGACACGGTCATTGCTTCAGATTTCCCATACGTATAATGTTCTCAGGTCCTGCGCGTCCGATGTCGTTCGGGAGAATCTTTTATTCATGCGTCGAGCAAAGCGCATTCTATGCATCGGGAGGACCGATAGTGGGGACACGATGTGGAGTGAGGCCGCAGGAAATCTGCCGACTGGCCGCTGCGACCGTGATGGTAATGTTCAAATTCCATGAAGAATCTTCATGGCGTTTCGCATTAGATATGTTGGATATGTGTGAAAGGGAGTGCGTAGGTATTAGGTGCTATGTACTCATATGATGATAACAACAACGGTTATCTGGACCGATCGAGACGCGATGCCGTATGTAAGAATTACCATGAAGAATCATCATGGGAATCACCAACAGCATACGACATTCGCATGTGAAAACGGCAATCTTCTGCCGAGCGAACCATCGTGAGCTGAACGCGAAGAAACACCCGAGTCATGGACGATTGTTCTTCTTCTTCTGGCAGACTGCAGGCGGGGGTGATAGGGAGATTTGTCCAGACATGTCGCGCAACTCAGCCTGGCCTCCTTTGCTCATCCAAGCGCAAAGGACTACTGGTGGGTCCTCGATGTGCATAATCCCATTCCCGTCCCTGAACAGGTCCAGTTCAGGTAGCAGGCGCCGCGCAGTGGCTTCAGGCGCCTAGTCCAAATCATCTGCGCTTGTGGACACCCGTCCGGGGGCTGTCGTCGTTGTGGCCGCTGGTGCCGCCGCAGCCGCAGCCTTGGAATAGAAAGCGAGCTGGCCGGACTGGCTGATAACGCCCATGCGGTCGTATAGCGTCCTGGCACGGACATATGGGTCGAGCTTCCAGTAGTTTTGCCTCAAGTCTTCGGCGACGGTATCGCGCTCTTTCCTCCTTTGTTCGATAGTCTCCGTCTGTGTCCCAGTTCGAATCCACTCCAGTATTGTCGACTCGTAACGCTTTACGATCTGCGAGCGGTCTGCCTCGATCGCGTTTCTGGTGGCTTCATCTTTCATTGTGTCGTTCTCCCCTGGTACTGGTTCAGGGTATTTGTACACCCAGTCTTCGGCGCCTCCGAGTTCCTTGGGAATCTGATCTTTCGGCACGAATTTCTGGAGCTCATCGACGTTCTTGATGAAGGAGACCTTGCCTGCAACAACGGGGTCCAGCCAGCCACGTACAATAGACCAGACGGCATTGAACACCCAAGGTGCTTTGTAGACGAGCACTGTGCCGAGGGATTCAGGGTAGTTGGCCTCGAAGCACTTGATCATAAATTTGACAGGCGTATAGTCCATGTTGGCCATGGAGAAGTCGGTCATGTCGAATACAATGGTCTATCCTTATCAGCGCTGTTATCAAATATGAATGGTAAGGATTTAGGAGCTTACTGCAGTGTCGATCGGCGGCCTGAGGAGCAAGCGTGCTGTCTCGATTGTGTAGACGGTGAATCTCTCGAGAGACTCTTCTGTCTGCTCACCAGCCTTGTGCAGCCGCGCGCGTACAATGCACATCGGCCGCCCTGTGCTGTCCAAGCCATGCAGATAGCTCTTGCCCATGCGAAGCTGGACCAAGAAATCCTCGTCATTCTTCTTCGCCTTAGCGTCACTGCTTTTAGCAGCCTCTTCCAATGCGCCCAGCTCGCCATTCTTGACGATCCTATCGTCTACGTGCATCTCGCCCATTCTCCACTGCATTGTTGAGATCATCATGACCAGTGCCTTTTCGACGTCCCATTTCCTAGCGCGAAGGAAGCGCAGAAGAAGCGCATCGGGGTGATCGTGCTTGACCATGCTCCAGAAAGCGTTGCGCAGATCCTCTGGTGGAATGTTCGCGATCGCAGCCTTGAACTCTGCCGTCTGGCCAAACTTGTCATCGTCGGTCGAGAGTGACAGTCGCCCAATGTCAGGCGTCGATGTTCCTGAGATCGCCGTCGTCTCAACTTCCGCACTCTTGTCGGTCTTGTCCTTCTTGTGCCTCGAGAAAACGTTCAATTTGCTCTTCTTCTTCTCCTTGTCAGCTACTGGTGCGGCCCCAGGTATGGCGGCAGGCGCAGCTGCTGGTGTTGCGACACCGTTGCTCGCTTCTCCATATACACCGAACACCTTCATCGTAAGCACCCATAGCTCGCGAAGCTTCTCTTCTTCTTGCGGCGTAAGCGTACCGGGGCGACCGGCGGGCGTGTTGGAGGTCATGATGAGGAAAGAGTCGGTAGTATTGGAGGGGTCGAAGCTCAAGGTGGTGAGTTCTTCGGTATTTTGAGCGAGAGTGCTACTGAAGATTGGAACCAGTAGTGCGCCGCCAATTGCAAGACCAGCTACTATCGAGACAGTCCAAAGTCCTGAGCCGCTTTGCTTAGGGTAAGCTGGAGAGAATCTTCCTTCGCGAAAAGCGCGTGTCTGAGCGCGGGGGAGCGGGGCAATGTAGTTTCGAAGTGCCCTCGAATGTGCCAATGATTTGTATATTGGTCTCGCAGAGGATACGTATGACAGTCTCTTCAGTGTGTGAGCGCGAAGTGACATGAATATGGGGTGGCGGAGCAAGTCAGACGGCGCAAGTGCCGTATGCTGTAATTCCACGCTTGGTCCGGCTATGTCGGATCGCCTGGAAGACGGGCTGCGAGTTGTCCGGACGAATGTTGATGTCCGCAGCGCTGAGTGACGTACGAGCAGCTCGTAGAGAATTGCGATGAATGCAAGTACGCGAAGGACAAGCAAGAAGGGACGAGCAGAGCTCAAGACTCGGCGGCACGGCGTCATCGTGCTGCGATGCGATTTTAGCGTTCCCCTCCAGCCGGCAAGCCACAACACCATGCAGGGGACCTTGTAAACACCCCACGACTTGATGTTGATTTCAAAAACACGACTCGAAGACATTGACACAGCCACGCGAATTCTCTCACAGTAATCACTGACGTGTAAAACGTTTATTCCGTGTTCGACTCGCACAGAAAGTGAACAAACAAACAACGCACCCTACGACCGCATCGAGTCTGTACCCACAAACAAAGCACAATGTCATCGACAACACCCACGCAAGAGCCGCCTTCCTCGCGCTCCCAACGCCTGCGCTCTCGCTCTCCCCGCTCTCGCCCAACGACACCATTGCGCCCGTCATCACGAAGCTCTCTCCGCGACAGCGCGCAACGCTCGCGCAACGCCGCTGCCGGCTCCAATGCTCTCGAAGGCTTGCAAGACGGGTTCGCAGAGCTCTCTGACGCCATGGCCGATCTGGAGCAGAACTTTGTACAGCTGCAGCTGATGCACGAGAGTCTTGCGCGGTTCAGCGAGAGTTTCGCAGGATTTCTGTACGGCTTGAACATGAACGCGTTTTGTGTGGATTTCCCTGAGGTGCGCAAACCGTGCTCGAGCCTACAGATTGACGACAATTCTGGGGGGCATGCGGAAGAGAAGAAGCTAATGTGACACCCAGACCCCAGTACCAGACTCCTTCAAGCGCCCACAAAACCACCCTTCGCTCAATCCCTCTGCAAACCTGCCCAATTGCCGCGCGTCAGGCTTTGAGGACGTGGATGCTACGTTTCTCACGACTGACACATCATTCGTTGACAACCCGCCGAGCTCGAAGGCAGCAAACAAGTTCAAGAACGCCCAAAGCCCGGTGCCGCGCACACCCAAGAAGACGACACCAGCCGCTGCCGGAAGGGGGAGAGGTATCCCGACGGCACGAGGAAAAGGAGGGATACCTACACGAGGTGGTACGGTAAGAGGCGCAGCAAGAGGAAGTGGTATTGCGAGGGGGTCTGCAAGAGGACGAGGAAGGGGTGCAGCGTAAAGCGTCGGTTAAGAGGTGCGGAAGTCACTTATTGGACATGTATAGACGCAAGCGTAAGTAATATACCACTGATTCATCACTGCTATACAACTACCAGGCTCCCCAACCCTTCTCCTCTTGAAAATCCTCAGGTCTATCGTTAGTCATCATTATCAATACCGGCTCAGCTGAAAGGGAGGTGTAAATGGAGTCGTCCAGACGGTTTGCCGACTCCAGCAAAGGGGTATCCTGCAATGGTATCGTAAATTCAAAACGATGTAAAGTCGTGTAATCAAGGGAGACAGTTCGAGGTCGCTTAGACCAGATCAGATGACAACCAGTCATGCTTAGGCCAGTACATCAGCCCGGCCCTTCGCGTGCTGTTGGCTTCTTCCTTTGACACTGAGGGCCCAACCCTTGATCGCAATCACGACTGTAGTCCAGGCCAGCAGGAGCGCCGTCAGACCCATCGTTACTGTGAACATGAACATGGCATCAAGACCATACGACTCCAGCGCCGCAATAGTATCCTTATTGCTGACCATGAAGGTGATGCCTCCAGCGACCAGGCAGAAGGAAGTTATGATCTCGGTTGGCGGGCGAGACGGCAGGTAGGAAGTGGGCGGCGCAATGTACATTATGACGTACGTGAGGCACCGAGCCAGCGCGAAGCCCATGAACATGCTGCCCCACTGGCTGTGGATCATGGTTGACAGCATGGATGCCTGATGATGCGAGCTCATCATCTTGCCGAGCAGCAGAATGACAAGTGCAGGCATGGGGTTCATGGAGAAGTTGTATGTGCGTGGCTCCTGCCACGAATCGTCTTCGACATACGAGGACGTCGCAACGGAGCTGTTGAGAAGTTCGCGCATTTTGGTCGATTCGATGATCATGCCCAGCTAAGGTACGTAAGTATGTGCGCTAGTTGGTGAAGGATTGCGGGGGACTTACCAAACCACCACCGAAGAACAACACCGATATCGAAACATGTTCCAGATCCTGCGATGTCCATGCATCGCCCCAGGCTGCGAGGTGCTCGAGGAAGACATTTGTGCAACCGTACAGGAAAATCACGAACGACTCGGTGAACTCGGCAGAGGGTATGCTGCGCCTGCGGCGACCAACGACTTCCTTCGAGGGCTTAATGTTCCACGCCCAACCCAGATCAGCAAATGCGCCCATCCAGCGTCCGAGTGTGAGGAAGCCGTACAGGAAGAAGATGCCACCCTTGACGTAATGGGCCAAGACGTTGAAGACTGCACCTCCATGCGCGATACCGCCGTACACGACCGTGCCTGACAAGATGGCGACGAGACCCTGAACGATGATTGTGCGCTCAAAGATCACGTACAACGAACGAACGACCTTCGCAGTCCTGCCCGCTATGAAGCCAGCTATGTTACGAGAGAAAAAGGCGTCGAAACGCGACTGCGACTTCGGCTTTTCAAGGTTCACATCTTCCAGGTCATCGAGCCCGTCATGTGTGTTCCTGCGCACTGGTCCCGGAAACTGACATCCGTCCGACTCTACGCTAGGTGATCGAGAGTGTCCGTAAAGTGACGCTGAGTTGCGTTCAGTGCCCTGACCAGAGTCATTGGAGTATCTGTAAGGACTCTCAAGGTCTTCCTCCTTCATACGCTGGTACTCCGCCATGTTTGCTGCGTTGAGTGGCTGCATAGTCTCATCATCGTACGAGTGCGCTTGGTTTCGATCCATGTACGTCTGGATGAGCGCCATGAACACCCAGGCAGACGCGATCCACGTAACGATCCATCCGGTCTTGCTGTGCGAGTTGTTCTCATACAAGTCTGGGGTCTTATGGTTGTACACAACCCCCACCAGCAGCGCCAGCGCATTCACGACAAGAAACGCAAACTGCGAGGGAAGAACGTATCGCGAACGAGCGATGCTCAGCATTACGGCTGGGGTGCGTTAGTTTAGAGCCCCGGAGATCAATTGCGGATTCGGGACAACTTACCGACTGGAAGAATGACCACCCAAGATAGGATTTCCAGCACGATGTGCCAGTACATCAGCGTTGCATACTCGTTCAGGCGCCAGTAACTCTGCGGTGCGTCGCTCTGCGGCTGTGGCGCTAGCGCTGGTGCATTATGCCCGCTCATATTCATCGCATCGTCGTGACGCTCGTCGCCGTGACCAGCTACCAGAGGAAGAAGCTGGAGCAGCAATGCTCCAGTCGATAATGCTATGGTTCCACGAGCCATACAGGTGAGACTCAATCAAGGAATAGGTCTGCTAGGCGTAGAGAGTCTGCACAAAGGTCCGGGTAGGCTGCCAGAGCGATTGAGAGCGTCAGCGCACCTATATGCTGTGAGGGTCAAGCTTCGTACGAATGACTGAGAAAGATGCGTTATGATGCACAAGAATCGGTCGCGACAAGGCCGCCAGGGCTGATGTCTGTCATCTTATGGCAGTTGGCTGGCCGGAAGTTGCGGAAACGCAACGAAGTAATCGGCATCACGAGAGGACGTGGTCAGCGCGACGATGTTTCGATCGCAGCTTCCTCGAATTGTGACGCAGAGCCGCGACTAGCGCAGGTGGATCTACTCAACACTTGCATCCTAAGTACCCTTCACTAGCCACCGCATTTCGCTTTGACTTTTGACGGATACACCGGCTAACCTCGCACTGTGCGAACTGTGCAAGCCTTGATAAAGACTTCACTATGCCCCATTGAACACGAAGCTGTGCATTGCAGGAGAGGCAGTGCAGTCCTGCAGCGCAATACCTTAGCTAGCTGATGCTAGCAGTAGGATCGAGACGCAGTCACACTTGAATGTACTCGGTCTCGGTTTGTTCTTGTATCCGTCTCGGCAACACTTTGAAAATCTCCCGTTACTGACAGCATGTGCAGCCCAGGCAAGTCAGGCGCATCACACTTTTCCTTTCGTGCACCATACTCATGGTCTAGGCCAAAGGCATTCCCACTTCTTTTTTCTAGCAGAACCTCCACGCTTCGTCCGAGCATGCACACCATCCGGGGTCCGCAGACTTCCTTTCGATGCGATTGGCGACCAAGACGACCGACGTCACCTGCGCCATACCTCAGTGCTGTCAAGCATTGCTAGCGCCTTAGGCTTGTGTAAGCTCCCGAGCGGGAGTTGCTACGCGAAAGCTGCTAGATGATCCATGCACACCATGCAGCCTGTAAGACGTTGTGGGCGTGTGGCTGCTTTCCGGCCACATCCGGCCAGGTAAGACCATGGTGACTTGAGATGACACTGCTACCAGGAAGAGTACATTTATGAGCTCATTGTTTGCACTCCGGAACGTCAGAGACGAACGCGTCGGTAGCGCTTCGAATTGCAAAGCATTTATTTGATATCTGGTTTTGAAGCAGCCAGCCGCCTTAGCTGTTCAATACGCGTCAGCAGACTGTCGTACGAGGCAACAACCACATCGAGATGCTCCCGATCGTCCTGCAGCTTCTGACATTCGACTCATCGGCTTTGTCCAAACAAGCCCTCGTTGAAACTTGAGATTGAGCTTTCCCCTAGCGCGCAAAACGTTGCGGCCTTGATCTGGCATCGGCCAACGTGGCTGGCAAGCCTCACATCTTTTCGCTGCGTGCTTCAAACACCCATCCTGCCATATCTTGCAATGTTTGGGCTAGGCCGACAGCCTGCCTACCAAGCACTTGAACACTTTGTTCAGTCAGACTTCCGCCGCGGCTGCACCCAAAGGTTCACCACCACGCTGGCAAGCTCATCGATTCGGAGTCCCGGGAACCGGCATTCCTGCAGCATCTCAAGCAAGAAAGCGTCCGCAAGTTGATATTGCCGAACCCCGGAGATCGCAGATCGCAGATCCTATGCCTTTCTGACGGCTGTTGATCAGATGATCCGAAAATCTCAAGCTAAGATGCATCCTGAACGGCAGTGATTGAGGAGCACGATGGAACCACCCTCCGCTGGCCCTCTTTCAGGGTATCAGCCTACCTTTAGCGTTGTTGTTACCAATTTGGGTAAGTACTTAGCAGCGGTGAGATATGCTTTTCTTGCAAAATGCAGATCAGCGACAAGTGTCGTCGATTCCCAGGGCTAACGAATCTCCAAGGCTCCGGTGGGCCATTAGGCTTACCAGTCGCCGTGCTTTAAGGACGCAGAGGATACCCCATAAACCACATCGTCGTTGACTTCCGCGTACGGGGTGCCCTAGGGTCACATTGTAGGTTGGCTGTCATTCTAAAAGGTCAACTAGGGTAGCGAGTTATGTATCAATATCATATCTATGTACATCACTTATGACCTAAGAAGACGGATGAACACGAGTGTTCTTGTAATTTGCTTCTTTGTGTTGCGTGCCTACATGCATCGACCTCTCTACCCATCCATTTCTGACATAGCAAGGCGTGCAATTTCAGTTATCGGATTCCCTCAGCGCTCCTCTACCCGTTACGTACCTCTCTTATACGATTTGTACGCCTTGCCGTGCGGAATGAGGAGGCTGATCGTTCTCAGGGGCGGATTCACAGAGTCGCTCATCCATTTGTTCGTGCGCAAGATCTTGAAGATCATGTATGCGGTGTCGGTCTGCTGGAGACGTAAAGCAAGCCGGAGTGCCTGCAACAGTCCGCTACCTGCGGTCTTTACCGCTTCCCAGCTACGCCAACTCGATAGCTCCTTAAGCTGGCGTACCACATACTTGAGAATAGTCTTGACCATACTTGTTTGCCCAGCTGCAACTGCCGCGTCCAGAGCGTTCAGAAAGTAGCGTCCGTGAGCTCTCCATACGTTGTTGGTATGTGTGACAGCTTCCAGAAAGAATTCTTCGTTACCAACAGCAGCTGCGGCCGCCAGCATCATGTGCTGAAGTCCGTGATATTCGACTTCGGTCCACTGAGCGAATAACTTGATCATATACTTCGTACCCAGAGCTCTGAGCGCATTGCAAATATCTCGTACGTACTGTGCACGGAGCTGTTGTCGGGCAGCTGTATCAAGAGGCGATTTGATTGCGATGAGGGTGTCGACGATGCTGGGTACGAGTTCGCCGATGGCCAAGGACCACCAGCTACGCCACACAGGCGTTGCCTCGTCTACGATATGCCCACAGTAGTGCTGGGTACGACGGTAGTCCTCGACGCTATACAGGGTCAAGTCTTCTTGTGGCTCGGCTTTAGCATGCTGCACCACCGCCTCGATGCGTCTCTCGACGACGTACTTGTCGAAAGTGCCTTTTACGGCCATTAAACGTATATTCATCACACGCCTCACGCGACTTACGACAGACTCTGCGGTGTCTGAACAGGTGCTTTGCTTTTTCAATGCACACAAGATGGTCGATGATCAGCTCGAAGATCTCCGGCGGCAGATCTATCAGCAGCATCTTGTGAGCAGTTGCTTTGAATTTGCGATGCTGTACTGGCATAATTTTAGGGTCATGCTTGACAGGGCTGTGGGTTGATGAGTTGTGTCTTGGTAAGAACGTCCAGGTCTTGCTTTTATGCTGAGCGACCCTGAAGACCCTTCCTCTACCAAGCATACTGCACGACCCTGATACCACTGTCTCTTTTCATTTTTCTGATTGAGTAAAGCCAGACAGTAAGAACGGGTTCAGGCAGTAGAATGAAAGATAGCAACTGCATCTATGCGATCATATCAGAACAGTGTCGATTTGTGACATCACCGATATTCGGATCTAGGATGTACTACTCTTCCAGTCTATCTACCTCCCGATCAACTTCTTAGTGATTCGTGACCAGTGGGATCAGCTTGTCTCTACTGCTTCACGCACAGCTTGATCAGTCTTCCTTGGTCGGGGCAGAGTCTCCTCTCAACAATCGTCCTTCAGGTCAACATCGCGATCTCGTTCTTATCGTGTAGTAAAGCCAGGTCAAGAGCCTGGTAGATACCGTTCTCAACGACATCTGGCTTGCGACTGTCGCGTCCCTGGAGATTCTTACGACCATCTCCATAGCTGAGTACGGGAGAATATCGGCTACCGCCACGCTTCTTTCTTTCCAATCTGCTCAACGTCTTTCCTTGACATCCAAGCGCAGATGATCTTAATTCTTTGCTTCATAGTTGCCCAATGCACGAAATGATCTAAACGCCGTGATGATTTTCGAGCTACTGAACCGGGTTACTGGAGTTTGATGTCATCATCGACGACCCGGCAAGGTAAGATCTGATCAGCGTCTCTTCAGGATCGCAGGGTGGTGAAACAGTATTGTGCCGTGATATCTAGATGTCAGAGATTATGTCACGCTGCTGGTCGAATTACTTTGTCCACTGTTTTATGTCACCAACCGCACCAGTAGAAGCAGACGATTTCGCTCGTTAGCAAGTCTGTTTTACCGCTGGGCGAGAGAGAGATTGGTTGGATCCACTGTAAGCAGGTCGGAAAACAAGCATCGCAGTTGACGCCCTTGGGTACTTATCATGGCACCGTAGATGTCTCGACGATACCGACTACAACACAAAAGCAGATTACTTGCCACATTTTTACGAGAAGGTCCATAGAAACAATGCGACGAACTTGCATTACACTATCTACAGGTCATAGGTTTAAAAATCCAAATCCAAATGCTGCGCTAAGGAACGTAAGGACATGCTCTCTATCAAATATGTACAGTAAATCGCAAGCATCATCCTGTTCTTGACCATGCTATCCCACACTTGCTAAGCAACCGCTTAGTTGGAGGTGTACGTGCAAGTGACAGGCTTAGGCGACTTCAGAGTGCGGGCAATAAAACCAAGGCAATTGCTGTTGCCGCCGGGGTTCTGAGTATCATCAAGCCATACCGAGTAGCCGCCCTGAGCAGCGTTAGGGCACGCCTGGAAGCCAATGTCTGTCTGGGCCTTGAAGACGAGGTTGTTGTTCTCATCGAGGGCAAAGCCAGTGCGCTCTGAGTTGGCGCTCGCGCCTGCGGTGCCTGTGGTATACTGGAAGACGCCTTGTCCCATGCCAGATCGGTCGACGAAAGCTTGTTGAGGAGTGTTCTCTGTGTTGAGGAACAGCTCGCCGGCGTCTGTGAGGCGAAAAGAAGCGAAATTTGAGTCCTCGGAGCATGTGGCGTTCTGCTTGGGGGTGTTGACGTAGAAAGCGCCGTTGGCGGCTTGGAGCGAGCCATATTGAATGTCGGAACCGGAGCGGATGGTTATGATGCTGAAGACATCACCGGTCTTGATCTCCGTGTCAGAAGGGGCCTTGCCGCAGGGAGAAGCGGAGACAAGGGCAGCGGCAGAGGCGGCGATGGCAGCGGTGGTGAATTTCATATTGATTGAATCGGTATGATGGTGTTCTTGAGATGTGAAAGTCTTGTTGGAGATTTGAGTATAAGAGGCGGACAGATGTGTTGATGATGAAATAATAAGTATACTACAGCAGGACAAGGCCATGCTCTTATATATTCGCGATACCCTGTGCTGGTATAATGACATCTCGTTACCATACTGCCGACAATGCCGCCTCTCCCGAGCGGAGCTCAACAGGGGCTGGTGTTGATGGGCGGTGGCCCGCACTGCAACCGTATGAAGTCATTGAGCCAAAACACGAGAGAAAAGGTGGTCTGTCCGCTCGTGTTCCTCATATTTTGCACCTAAGTGGTGGAGTGTGCCACAGCCGGCGCAAGGCAAATCCCCCTTCCCGAGCGCTGATTCTTGGCGGATGCTTCCTCTCGTAAGATCGGCCGAATCAATGTTGCTCGAAGTGACGTTGAGTTGCCACAGCGTAAGGCTACTTGCTAACAAGCGAGCGATCTCTGCATTGGCAGTCTACCCTGGACAGGCTACCTGGCTGCTATTTACGAGCGCCGCTAAGCTTCTGGGTGTTTGGATTGGTCAGTAGTCCGCCGACAAGAATAGAACTCCAAATGTACGAGTTCGCTGCAGACACCATGTGGTCAAGGAGTTAATGCGATGTAGAACGCATAGGTACTGTTATTTCTCGTGTCGCCAGTGGTCAGATCGCTCGGACTGTCTCTACTTGACACGATGTTACATGTTCGCATAATGTTGTTCTGCACTTCAGTACCAATACCTGTCATGACCTCATGTGGCTGGCCAGTACGAGAGGCTGCTTTCCAACACACGAGGAACCGCAAGAATGACCTTCGCCGTGGCAACACGACTCGGTGATTGCAGGCTCATGCTGGCCATCAGGAGCTCACTACCAGCTCGTGCAGCTGTTCTGTGTGCGCTTCGCCCTCTTTCGAAAACCTTCAGCGTGACACTACTGACTTTGCAGCATGCTCTGGTGCACCCTACAATTCTGAGCGTATCTGTATGACAATACAGCTATAAAGGTTGCTCTAGGTGTAGCTGAGACGAAAATAGTAACAACACGCCGGGCAGAGCCGCACCGACCGACGCAGGGTTCTCGGCATGACCGAGGTATTCACCCTTCACTAGGGATGCGACCGCAAGGCTACAAAGTACTCTAGCATTTGCAAACCTCTAGCTACTGGATGGAAGTCTGCCGTATGTTCTAGCTTTGATACTATTTAAAGCTGTTCTTGTCAAGTATATTGCTTTTCAGGCACAGGAAGGAACTAGCAGAAAATAGACGGCAGTTCGCGTTTCGCAACAATCAAAATTCTGTACGAAGCATGCCATCGGCAGCGGCAGTCTATCAGGTGTACAAAATTACGTTTCAGAAAACGGGCAATCATGCCAATGCAGTTTCGATGTCTAATAAGACCAAGCCAAAGCTTGCTCGCGTAGTGCAATAGTGCCAAGGATCCCTCCAATGCAAGCTACCACGCTATACACAACCTGCTGTTTTCGCCGTTGCACCTGCCCGGAACACCGTTTACTCATCCAGATACCCGATCTTGCAAAATTGATTCAAACTCCCGACGTCAAGGTTGGACGTGAGGAGCGCACCGAGCATCGTCTCTCGGCGCGGGAGAAAATCGGCTTTGACCTTCCATGATGTGCCGTTGAAGTTGAAGTCCTCCATATCGTAATCATCGTCATCCTCGTCTTCGTCCTCGTGTTTCGAAGTGCCGTTTACCTCTGCGCTTTTGACCAGTGCATCGCCGCCCTTGGACTTGTCGCCCAGGCGCTTCAATGTCGACAATGCACGGTGCACAATGAGCTGAAAGCCCTCGCGGTCAGGCTCCATCGGTCTTTGGCCGCGGTGGGCTGGTGGTGGCGGCGGTTGTTGAGTTGCAGCATCAGTGGCGGAGAGTGACATCGCAAATTTGAGCAAGCTGTTTGCCCAGCCATCCTCGGACTCTAGCCAAGAACGACAGATGCCGCTTTCAGGGCCGGGTGCTAGACTGCCAAGGATGTCGGCCGCGAGCATGCCCTGCATTAGATATGCCTTGCGTGACTCTGCGATACGTGCCTCGAACATACGGACCTCCTTAGGGCGTGCTTCCTTCGTCTGGTACATCCGGTTCTCGATGTAGTTGCGGTCAGGAACAACGGAGATCGCCAGCGCAAATGCCCGTGTCAAGAGATCATACGGTGGACTTGAAGTCGCCTCGTTCACGAAGATCTGCTTGTAGTACGTCCGGTTGGGGTCGTCGCGAGCGAGGAGTTTAGCCAAGCTATCGACGGCTGATGGAAGATAACGATGAATTTGCGGGCTGAAGGGCGTGAACTTGACTGGACTGCCTGGGCGAGGTACGGGGGCGAATGCGCATAGGAAGTGCAGAACGGCGTAGGCGTCCTCGCGGGAAGGCAAGGAAATCTTGGCGCTTGTGTTGGAGAAGAGCGTGATGAGATCTTTCATGAAGTCAAAGGTGTTAATGTGAGAGCGCAACAGCAAGACGCGAGTGCCGACCAGACGAATGAAGTTCGACAAGAACTTCAAGACCGTGGGGCTGACCAGTGACGCATGGTTGACTTCCAGGAAGGAAAGATTGCGGAATATCGTGGTGATTGCCAGTAGTCGGTCGGCCGTTCGATCGAGAGTATAGCCCTTCGTTCCTACTTCCGAGAATTCCTGCAGAGTTGCTGCCTCTGCCCGGCAGTGGTGCATCACATCCTCATAAGGTGTGAGATCCAGGATGTCGGTCACTTCAGGATTGTCGTTTCCAAGCACCTCCAGTTGCTCTTCTGCGAACTCGACCAACACATCGACTAGGTCTTCGCATTGCCCGAGGTCCAGCTGGACATTGTTGTCGTATGTGATCTTCGACAGGGTGTCCAACGCGAGTCTTGTCTCTGCATGCAGTCCAGATCGCAGACTCATGGTCAGGGCCCGTATGTCGATGACGCCGGCTTCGTGTAGTAATGGAACATTTGGCTTGTAGTTAACAATCATCTCAATCATGTTCTTGAAGTTGTCAGAGTCGAAGTCCAAACCGCCCCAGGTATCTTGCGTTCGGTACGCTGGCTGATAGACACGAGTGCCATCGTCCTGCTCGATCACGGGCTGTCGCTTTTCGACGACCTTGACTGCTGGAGGCGCCTGAGCAGCTGCGGGTTCCTCCTTGACTGGTGTTACCGTAGCAATTACCGGCTCTGGGCCTTGTACAGGTGTGCCCTCCAGTTGTCTGCTTATGCTTTTCCGCGCATTCATGTCTGTTTGTGGTGTACTTCGTCCGTTCAGGTCCGGAGGCTGCGCGTTGTTTTGTAGGGGGGTCGATTGCTGTGGTGCAGGAGTGGCGGCAAACTGAGGCTGCTGTGGAGTCGGTGGCATCGATTGCCTTTGCTGTTGCTGCTGTTGCATAGCTTCTTTCGTCCTTTGTAACTGCTGGAGATATTCTTGTTGTGCTGCATTCTGAGGGGTGCCCGGCATTCCTGGTCTTGTTGGAGACATCTGTGAACCCATTTGAGCGCCCATCTGATTCTGTCCAGGCATCGCCCCCTTGAGTTGATTCTGCCTGTGCACATATGCTTGCTCGTAGATGCCCAAATTGTTCTCGTACGCTATCCGAAGTTCTTCTGGGGCTGTTGGAAATTGCTGCGGTGGTATCCCCATGACTTGTGCAACGCGAGGCCACCCTTGCGACTGCGTCACAAAGCGGTAGCCCTTGAACTGCATAACTGTCCGATAGAGATTCTGAAGGTTGATCACGCGTCCAGCGACAGAAGGGTTGGGGTTGAAGGGTCGTCCATGTTGTTGCATAAGAGCAGCAACGTTCTTAGTGAAGTGCTGTAGAGCAAGCTGGGGGTTTTGCTGTGCCTGCGCCTGTGCCTGCGCCTGCGCCTGTGCCTGCGCCTGTGCCTGTGCCTGCGCCTGCGCCTGCGCTTGTGCCTGAGCCTGCATAGGGTTCGGCCGCATTCCGGGGTGCTGCATTCCGCCAGGCATTTGTCCGGACTGGTGTCGCTGTTGCGCGGCCATGTTGGCCGCTGCTAGATTCCCCATTGCTCCGCCCATCTGCTGCTGCTGCTGTTGCTGTTGCGCTTGTTGCTGTAAGCGCATGGCATACTGTCTCTGCGCCTGTAGCTGTCGCTCTTGGAGGTTTTGCGACAACTGCACTGACTGTACGGCGAATTGGCCACCGGCGTTCGCGTTGAAACCCTGGTTCATCGCATTGCCTTGGAAGCCCATAGGCGACATTTGCGGTCCATTGGGGTTTTGCGCGGGTGAAGATGTCTGCATCCTCTGCTGTCCCAATTGCTGGCCCAGCTGCCCCTGCATGAAGTTCTGATTCGACATGGTCGGCGATGGGGTGTGGGTAAAGCCTTGTTGCTGCTGGAGGCCAAATTGGGGTTGCGACGGCGTCTGCGAGCGCGACATGGGATTCCCCAAGCTGTCACGTTTCACGCCCGTGGGCATTTGGTTCCCTGGAAATCCGCGCGCGCCGTTCATCTGGGGATTCGCGAGCGCGTTTGGATCGATGAAGCTCGACGGGTCGTACATGCCGTTCTGTTGAGGGGACTGGAAGTCCATGGTGCGCGGCTAGAGGGATTGGACGCTTGCGGCGACGAAGAAGGCACGGAGCGACGCGCGAGGGTAGTGTGTGTTAGGGCTGACGAAAGGAGCGCTGGGTGCGCGTGGAGGCATTCAAAGCACTGTGTGGCAGCGTCAGCACGCATGTTGATGTGAGATGGACGCGACTAATGGCTGCAGCACTCGGGCCAGGCGCGGCGCAGGGAGGGCAGAGCTCAAGGTGAAGGAGCTAGAAGGTACGTACGCCGCGCGACAAATGATAGGCACTAGAGGGATGTCCTCATCAGGGCAGTGTGCGGGGAATGCTCGGGATGGGTGGTCGACTGGAAGTCACGTAGCGCACGCTCCTTCAACGCGATGAGGTTGATGAGAAGGCAGGAGCGCCCGGCCGCTCGCTCGCGCTCCGCTTAGTCAGGTGACAAGCCTGCGCCCAATTGCCGTGTGGGAGCGCCGTGGGCCTCCAGCACAGCGCAAGCAACAGTAGACCGCGATGGATACCAATTCCTCGAAACTCTATGGGCGCATGCATAGCCGCAAAATGCCAGAAGACGCGTCTGTTGCATCGCAACCAGTGGAGTGGCTGCATTGCCGGCACTCACAAGCCTGAGCTAACTGGATCGAATCCCCCCGGAGCCGGTTGATCTGGCCGTTACACGGAAACACATGTCTCTCTCCACTTATTAATTACATCACCCGGGGTTCTGGAGAGGCGTGCTGCTTGTCTGTTGCGGCCGTGTCAAAGACCGCTCAGACTCGCCCAGCCCGGCCGCGCCATGTCCTGCCTGCCCACTCGTCCCCGCGAGCTGATGTGACTTTCGCTTATCTAAGGTCTAACACGGTGGCTCAGAAGGGAGTCTGAATGCTGATCGGTCTCTCTTGGCCTCTGTTTAGACCCTGAGCTTAACTCAGCATTCTGATCCTTCTTCTGCATATCGTAGTGCTGATCACACATCCACCAATCGTGCCACAACCCCATACACCAAGCAGAACCGTGGCCAGCGATATAGGAACCCGTAGATTAAAGTCAGACAGAAACAGTTCTGTAACCTGGGCACGAATCAGATTCCTATGTGCAAACCTTGCTTTGATCGCCTCTCAGAATTCTAGCAAGTGCACGTGACTCTGCTCTCATGATGCGCATCGGCCTTGGCGGATAGAACGCGCCGACCGACGCCTTCCACGAGCTTCAACATTGCGACAGACAAACAACGCCTTCACCCTTGCAGCAGTCCTTCGCCCACACATCGCGCCCCTTGCCTTCATCGATCTTAGCTCGATAACCTGTCACCAACTACCACCACACACACCGCCCAGCATGGCTGACGCCGCCGTCGAGAACCCGCTGAACACGGTCCCGCCGCACAAGAAGCAGCTTCCTTCTTCGATACCGAACTTCGACGCACTGGAGGGCTTTTCGACAGAGGGTGACGATGACTACTCCACCTTCAAGAAGCTCCAGAGGCAACTGGAGTAAGTGATCTGCCCACCCAACGCAACAGCTACAGGTGGCTAACTGGCGCAGGTACATCCATCTTCAGGAGGAGTACATCAAGGATGAGCAGCGGAGCTTGAAGCGCGAGCTCGTGCGGGCACAGGAGGAGATCAAGAGGATTCAAAGTGTACCGCTGGTGATTGGGCAGTTCATGGAGGCCATCGACCAGAAGTATGTCAGCCCATGTCTCACAATAGGCGCTCAGAGCTAACTTTCCAGCACTGGCATCGTACAGTCTTCGACCGGCTCTAACTACGTTGTGCGCATTCTTTCTACACTCGACCGCGAACTCCTCAAGCCATCCTCATCCGTCGCCCTCCACCGCCACTCGAATGCCCTTGTCGATATCCTGCCTCCGGAGGCTGACTCTTCGATCGCCATGCTCGGGCAGGACGAGAAGCCCGACGTCACATATGCCGACGTTGGTGGTCTAGACATGCAGAAGCAGGAGATCAGGGAAGCTGTCGAGCTGCCCCTCACACACTTCGACCTGTACAAGCAGATTGGTATCGACCCACCGCGCGGTGTGCTGCTCTACGGACCGCCAGGAACTGGAAAGACGATGCTGGTCAAGGCTGTCGCAAACAGCACAACAGCTTCATTCATCCGTGTGGTAGGATCTGAGTTCGTCCAGAAGTACCTGGGTGAGGGACCGCGTATGGTTCGCGACGTGTTCCGAATGGCGCGCGAAAACTCGCCGTCTATCATCTTCATCGACGAAATCGACGCCATCGCCACCAAGCGCTTCGACGCGCAGACGGGTGCTGATCGAGAAGTACAGCGTATTCTGCTCGAGCTTCTGAACCAGATGGACGGCTTCGACCAGACTTCCAACGTCAAGGTCATCATGGCCACCAACCGTGCCGACACGCTCGACCCTGCGCTCCTCCGACCCGGTCGTCTTGACCGAAAGATCGAGTTCCCTTCGCTGCGAGACCGCCGTGAGCGACGCCTCATCTTCTCCACAATCGCAGGGAAAATGAGCTTGTCACCTGAGGTCGACATGGACAGCCTGATTGTGCGCAACGATCCCCTGTCCGGTGCGGTCATTGCGGCTATCATGCAAGAGGCTGGTCTGAGGGCCGTCCGGAAGAACAGGTACAACATCATCCAGGCTGATCTGGAGGAGGCGTACACTAGCCAGGTCAAGGGGACGGCCGAGGCCGACAAGTTCGACTTCTACAAGTAAGCGCATCGCGGGCGGGGGATGAGGGTATGGAAGTGGCACTGTACACTACATAGAGGTAGACCTTTGGTCTGGATCTGCACGCTGCACATAAGCTCGGCTGCATGTCTAATGCAATGATGACTATGAGATACACTATTCAGCCGCAGTCCATGTCTACCTAACCCGCTGTTCATTGCAAGTATCGAAAGGCGCTCCTTTTTCCACAGTCACAGGGCTTCAGCACCAGGCAGCAGGGCATATTATATATACTTCCTCAATTCCTATCTACCCAGACGCGATTTGCTATCCAGGCCCCACCTCTACTGCACACAAACACACACACACACACACACTCCAAACCGCTATAATTATACTACAAGACGCCTCTTCGCTCGCAGCAACACAGGCGCACGTCGCCCATCCAAAGTCGACAAAGAGATCTAAACACCGGTAGCTAGCAATGCCGCTCGACCAAGGCAAAAAAGCACAGAGAGACAAGGAGAAAGAAAGCGAAGAATCGATTGATTGATTGCAGTCGGAGTGATGAGAGAGGGGGGGGCATTCCGTTTCGCCGTCCATCCGTGAGGGAGCAAGAAGTTGAAGCTGAAGCTCGAGCTCGAGCTCGAGCTCGAGCTCAGAGGGAGATGGTTAAAATGCAACAAAGGAAAAGCGGTATGGGGAGCACGCATCCACGCGTGCCGGGGCGTGCGGATGTGGAGCTCGGGGGAATTGGTATCGTGCATGCGCTTGCAAGAATGAGTAAAGAAAAAGGGCGATTCCGGCCAGCTCGATATGCAAAGTGTGCGTGAGATCTTGAGGTCCAAAACATTGTACGTGTCGCTCGGTAGGGGTGAGAGCTTAGTTGATCCGGATCGTCGTCTCCAGCGGTGTCCGCGGTAGCTCCTTATCCACGCTGCTCCTCCCCTTGGCTTCCTTGGGCGGCGTCGGTGGCCCAGAGTGCCGGTGGTGCGCATAGTGTCCGTCTTTTGGTGGTGTGGGCGGTCGCTCCTCGCTGCCGGCTGCCGAGTCCTTGGGTGGCGTGGGAGGTGGCCTGCCATGCTCTACGTCCCGTGCCAAAGGTCGTTGTAGGGGTGTGGTGTGCGCCTCTTCGGTCGGTGGGGGAGGTGGGGAGCGGGTTGGGGCATCGTGCGAGCGGTTGCTGCGTCCGCCTAGGCTGGAGGCCTCGCCCGCTTCTTCAACGACGGGGAGTGTAGTCCCAATCTCGCCGCGCTCGGCCGAAGGGCTGCGAACAGCACGCATCTGGAGGTTGGGAACATGCTGCTCGGGAGCGCCGTGTCGTTGGGTCTTGTCGGCTTGGTGTTCAGCCCTCTCCATGACACGGTCAGTCGAGCTGCGCGAGACGCCAGCAATGGCTTCAGCAGTGGGATTGACTGCCTCCGCCTTCTCGCGCTCAGCTGCCTCTTTGGTCTTGGTAACGCCAGTGATGAACTTGATGAAGCGATCTCCATATCGCTCCGGAGGAATGGCGGAAATCTGTGATTCTGTGTTTGCGAGACCCTTGAAGAAGTGTTCCATCCGTTTGATGAGAGAGTACTGGGAGCGTTAGTCAATTCTCGATACCAGATGACCGCGGCGAACTTACATGTGTTAGACAATCAATGATGCCAAGGTAGTAGATTTCCTCTCCCGCGCGGTTATCCTCGTGTGTGGCCCGGAAGCCTCCATCGTCCGAGTAGAAGAAGAAGTTCTTCTTAGAATCTTCTAATTCATCCGGCATCCTCGCAGACGTCTGTTCCATAGGGACTGGTCTTTGTGTCTTGACTGACTGGCGTAGCTCTCTGGCCTTGCGTGCAGTCTCCAGCTTCGAAGGTGTGCGCATCAGCTGATTAGGCTGAGGTTCCTCGGCGGCCTCACCGCCTGGCTGGAAGACCTTCAGTGTCTTTTCGCGGAGGTTCTCCTCGTTGCCCCTCTCAAGGTCATGGATGCCGATGAGCATGGAGTAATCCATGATGTGGAGCTTTTGCATCAGTTTGACATCCTTGCGCATTTGCTGTATGAAAGCATCCTTCTTCGTTGGCCCCAACTCAAGATGCAGGTCCCTTCGTAGCCAATTGAGATCCTTCAGCGTTGCGCGGGGGTTCTTCTCGAGGTCTTCTTCCCTAAAGTCGCGCCCAATGGTAGATCCCTTGAGATCGAATGTGCGGTGGATATCTCGATGCGGAGGAAACAGGTTGTTCATGACGACAAAGTGGATTTTGCGTCCGTAGGGTATCTTTACGCGGTGGAGGCCGTAGAATTGAGAAAGAAGAGTGTTCGGGTTTTCTTGCACGTGGTTGTAGTAGTCCTTCAGGATCTTCCTGAGGAACTTGTGCTCGGCGTGGTGGATCGTCTTGATGATGTACTTGTAGTCTCTGGAGAAATAGAAGAAACTGCCGCTCTTGCCCGGTGAGCCGAGCTCAGACAAGATGTACTTGCTTGTTAGTGATACAAGGTAGTCGGCGGGATCGAGCTTGAAGATGCCACGCAGGTGACGGAAGACCCAGGGAGCGTAGTCCTTGAACTTGAAGTCGTACTTGGCCGACGGCGTCAGCTCGTTGCCCGTGATGTCAAAGGAGAACTTGTGCTTGGCATCGAAGTCGGCGTCGGTGAGGTCGCGGTCCATTTTGGCGTTGGTCCTCGACACGGTAAAACGAATGCCAGTGAGCATGTTATACGCGGTGACCCAGTTGACGTGGTTCTGGTCGACCTTGGTGCCGACCACGACGCGGTCTTCGTCCTCGTCCTCTCTTCGTTTCCGCTTGCTGGCGCGCTTCTGTCGAATGTGCTCGGCCCACCGCGCCGCGTCTTCGTCCTGCGGCACCTCGTCCAGGTGCATGTCCGAGTTGATGGAGCGGGTGCCCCTGCGCACAAGAGACATGGAGCCGCGGCGGCGGGAGGGCGTTGTGGGCGAGAACCTCCCGCTGGCGGTGACGACGTCGTCGGTGTTGTTCTGCGACTCCCGGGCGCGGGACGTGGACAGCTTGGGGACCTCGAGGGTGTGGCGCTGCTGCAGGCGGTAGGGCTGCTGCGACGGCGACGGCATGGCGGTCGTGGCGCCGCCGTCGCTGTTGAAGGCCGGTGGGGCAGACACGCGATGGGGCGCGGCGGGCACGCGCAGCGCCGCGTCGGCCGCGGGCGGCGAGGCGGCGGGCGGCGCAAAGTCCTTCTGGGCCTCCCTGGCGCCGTCGAACGAGTCCAGCTGGCCGAGCTTGACGTGGGTGGTGCCCAGCACGTCCTTGGTCTCGCTGCCGTGCACCGAGGCAAAGTAGCCGTCGTCGCGGTCGAAGCTCGAGGGCCGGGCGGCGCGGCCGTTGGCGCTGGCATTGGCCGCAGCGCCGTGCATTTTACCCGCAGCGGAGCCATTGGGACCGCGCTCGCGCAGCGGCAGCGACTTCTCCGAGGGCGTGCGGTGCGGCAGGCCCTTCGGGGTGTGCGGGTGCGGGTGCGAGAAGTTCGGGGTGTCGCTGGCGGGCGGCTCGCGCTCGGCCGCATGCGGGGACATCATCTGGGACTCGTGGACATAGTTGACGCTCATCAGCGAGGCGGCCTTTACGCCGGCGTAGGGCGGAAGAGACGGCGACGGGGCGTGGGCAGCCAGCGTGCTGGCGATCGCAGCGACAGCGGCTGGCGGGCGGGCGGGCAGGCGGGTGGAGGCTGCAGCGACGCTGGGCGCAGAGAGCGTGCTGGTGCTGCTGCTGAGGGGGCTGCGCTGCGTGGGAGTGAGGATGCTCAGATGCTGGGACAGAGGGTCGGGCAGTCTAGCAGCAGCAGCAGCAGCGCAGCAGGTCCAGCAGAAGGCCAGCAGGGGGACACCCACAGCCGAAGACCCGTCTTGGGATGTGCCAATAGCCAGTGCGCGCCCGCGGGCTGGCGTCACCGCAGGCACCGCGCGCCCTCAGATCAGACCCAAATCAATCCACAGCAACGCGCGCCCGCCAATTCGCGCTGAACAGGCCGTCAGGCTGCGCGCTGGTGGCCGCCGTGGACGCTTATTGTCTGACACCCTCCACGCTGGCCCATTTGCTATCGCTGTGTCTCGCTGCTGTGCCACGGCGCTCAGGGCTGTTCCCCTACCAACGTGCGCCATAGGCTGCTTAAATTACCTCGCGCTACGGCAGCCTCACAGCCACACACCGCCCGCATTCCACGCTTCCATCATTTCGTTTCGCACCCCCCTGCCCCCCCCCCCCCCCCCCCCGTCTGTGGCTGCTTTGCCCTGTCGTCTGCTACTGCTGCCGCGTCTCTTTCCAGGCACGCTGACGGAATCTCCAAGGCCTGCACAGTTCGCTGGTCCAGCAGCCACCGCGCGCAGGACTTGTTCTGCCAGCAGGCTTTTTCCTTGCACGCCACGTTCGGAGCGCCGGATGCTGCCTGCCCTAAAAGTGCCCTTGCTATCGATTTGCTCCGTCCAATCTCGCGGCGCCCGGCCAACGCATCTTTCGTCCGCGTGTCTCGCACCGGTATTATTGACCCTCCATATGTCCGTGACTCCGCAACTCATCATTCAGCTGTTTGATCTTCGCTTCTGCAATTACTACGTATTAGACATTAAAATTTTTGCGTATCGTACCATCCTCCATTACTTGCCAACCATGATGAAAACCCCTCTGATCCCGATTCCAGCCACGCCTTGCCCGTCCTACGCCTGATATGCTGGCAGATCCTGCAACTGGTGCTCCTCGGCGCGCTGTCGTCTCAATGCTCTCTCGACTCCCTCCGCCATCCATCTTTCCTTCTTTCTCTTGTCGATGCTCCTTGCAGCAGCGATCAGAACGGCCAACCAGGTAACCGCCGAGAGAACTTGAAGAGCTGTGAAGAACCCATACAGAGAATTGAACGCGGGATCCCACGTCTCCTCCCGTGCACTCAGAACTAGGAACACGTTGAAGGAGCCGCATATGCTCCACATAGGAAACGCCAACACCGACACGCACAGGACGAGCACCCTCGGCAACCGCTTATGGCAAGCCCAGCCGGATATGACCATCAAGAAGAAACTATCGTATCCCAGAGGCAGGAGACACATGACCAGTGGACCGTCAATGTCTCGATCTCTGCCTCTGGTGACCAAAGGTGGATAGTCCACGTCTGCCGGCGTCTGGAGCCCTGCGTCAAGGTATGAGAAGTATCGGTCGTTGAGCTTCATGTTGACGCTGAAAGCTGCGATGAAGAGGATCCATTCGACTGTAACCAATATGGACACTCCAACCAAGCAAACGAAGAGAGCACTTCTTAACGGCTGTGGAGAGGGTACCGGAAGAGTGCGTGAAGTGCCGGGCGTTGGTTCGGGCGCGTTTGATGCTGCATCATGAACGAGCCGTTGAGTGTGAATTGGTGGAGACATCGCGTAGGCTGATTTGACTCGGTGGCAAGGTAGAAGCCAGAAAGAATCATGTGTGGAAGGCTCCAGGTCGAAGACACTGCTGATAGCGAGACGAGACGCGGGATTAGATATATATTTCGCCATGCAGGCCTCAAAGGCATGTTCGACGTCTCCCGCAACCTCTTTCGCAAATGCTGTCTGCGAAGCCTCCTTTCGAAAAGCTTGAAATCCACATGGTTTCCTAACACTTCACACAGTGTTGTTCTTGACCGGTAAAAGTGCGGAGTATGTCCCAAAGAGCGTTCGTGGCGGAGGCGGAGCAGGCTTGTGACAGGGGTGTTGTGTACTTTCCAGACTTTGCTCTTCCACCACTACGATAAACATGCGCGGCAAAGTCTTGGTCTGCATGCTAGTGATTGTCGATGATGGTGATGATCGCTCGTATAGTTTCGCAGTGAAGAGAGGAGTGTAGCTCAGCCTCCCGAGTCTGCCTCGGCACACAATCACGTGTGCCGTGCCAACCATCATTGTCGCGAAACTGGCCATTTATGACCATTCGCAAGAAGCACAACGTTGTTCAGCTTCAAATTTAGAACTCGCCGAGGTTCTCAGAAGCCCTCTTGTGTAGCGAGTTATCGCGACCGGATATCGAGTGACTTTCATGACTTCGAGGCCTCTGCTCCTTTTGCGATGCAAGCTCACTTGTATCTTGGAGCTCTCTCACGGTAGTGTAGGATTGGCCCTCAATCTTCTGCTTACCTGTCGATGCGTCGTTGTTCGCCAGATGCCAGACTGACAACATCAGTGCGGAAACTCCGACACTTAACTGCATGACTGTCCTCCAGCATCTTCGTAATGTGGTCTATGGTGGACTTTGCAACACGAGTCTGCTTTACAGACCAACCAGAATTGTCCTTGTCGGCGTCGTGCGCTGAGATCCAGGCTTTGGCGTACAAGTCGCGAGCGATTCGAATACCACCAGGAGATCCTGCCGAGATATTCCCACCTAGGTACCAGGGATTTTCGACGCAATCGAATGAATGCAATAGCGCTGTCAAAGGAAGAGCCGATTCGGAAACAAGATGTGACGAAGCATAGGAGCGAACAATGTCGTAAGACACTCCATGCGGTGAGTAGATGACAGAGAGAGTCTTCTCACGGTCGTGGTACGGCGATGGCACGATGGTACGGGGTGACGAAGCTATTGTCATGGGGGAGCCTGGTGATGCAGGTGGACTCATGGGAAGGTCGAGGTAGTAACCTGATGTCGTAGCCGAAAGCACCGTACAAGGCGGTCGGTACGTGATGCCAATAGCATGGTGTAGTCTTGAGACGTCTCTCTTCTCTGGCATCCATGCTATTGTTATCTCGCCACAAGAGCCTCTGGGCGTTGGTGGCGGCAGTACGATGCGGTGGATGGCTCGATTATCGCCTTGCGCGTATTTGGGTAAGGCATGCACAAGCTCGGGACGAAAGTGCTTCCATGATCGAATCTTCTTGGCTGCAGGTGGAGTTGCGAGAATCGTAGATTCGCAGTCTGGCGGCAGCTGACGGAGCGTTTCTTCATGGCAGTGATCTGGCTTGTCCTGGGAAATGAGGATGAGATCCGGCTCGTATTCCAGCTCTTTCAGGTGTGAGATGCATGGTTGCGCCTTCTGGTGTGAGATGGAGAAGACGGAGTTGAAGATGACGGATGGGCCAACTAGCCAGGGATCAATCAGGATCGTGAATGAACCTGGGAAGAGGCCTGGGGAAGACAGTGGGGCCACAGGTGGACTGAAGGTGAGCAAAAACGCCGTGTCGCCATTCAACGACTTCACCGTCAAGGACATCGCAGTCCTAGCAGAGGGGCGATGCAGATGGAAACGAAGAACGGCATGGGGTTCGGAGAAATAGGAGAGAAAGCAGGCTTCGTCTCCCACAGCAGGGGAGAGAAGTTGACTCGTTGTCACCAGCTTATTCGCGAGCGCCACGACAAGGTGCCTCGACTGCACCTGCCATCTCGAAGCGGCCCAGGTCTCCGGGCGGAAGGTGCAACCTTCAGCGAGCAAGCAGAGCCGGACGAAGCGGCGTACCCGAGATCATTGCTAACTTTGGCGGCTCTCAGTGGATCCAAGGCCGATGCTGTTGTTTGGCGAATGTTGTTGGAGCCTCCAGGAGACACTCGGTCACAATAACTATTAAAAATCGAGAATAGCGAAAGCTGATTGCCGTCACGCTCTTACGAGCTGTGACCTCGATGGCTTTGCCCAGGCATGCAGCCTCCATTTCGGGACTGTTGGCGCTAACCTTGGCAGAAACAGATGGCACTTCCACGCGAGCGCTCCCGGGAAGACAGTTCATCGAACTTCGTGGCGCTCCTCTCCCAACACTTTGACACTCAACTTTCATCAGTAAACATCATCAAACTCATCAACAGCACCAGTCATTGCATCGCAGTCATCATCAATCGCCATCAGTGATGGATTGACAGGCCAGTTCCTGGCTGCAATTGCGCTCTTCGCCAATTGCTAATGGGCCGGCTGGCTCCATTCAATGCTCGTCCCGTGACGAATGGGCTGATGTCCACTGAGCCGCGCAACTTGACACAAGAGGTAGGCAATTGATCGCAACAACAAATTCCGACACTGAGATTATTGCGACTTGCTCATGCGGTCACTGCGGTCACCACAGAACCAAGTCTGTCATCTGCCAGGAGCTTGCTTGGCTCAGCTCACCGTTCTGCTTGCGAAGAGCAACTGTCGCGAGACTCGGCGCCCTGCGTTGCACTTTCCCTCACAGATGCTTACCGCCAGCTTGACCGTGAAGGAGCGCGACTAGGAGCAGGCTTGTTGCGCTCTAGAAGCAAATTTCGCAGCATTGAATCATGACGGCCGCGGTTCATTGGGCACCGCTGAAATCGTCAATGCAAGACTCGGCATTGGTCAGAGCTCCGAGCTCACACCCTGACAGCTGAAGCTTCTTTGAGCTGAGTGGGCGGCGACATGGAGCAGAGCTTTCCTTGATAGTAGCAGCTCAATCACAGCCTTACTCCTCTCGAGTACTATTTTCTTCTACTTGCGCTCGCATGTTTGAAGTTCGGCGGTTTCACTAGTCTTCTAGGTACAGCTCTCAGCAGACGTCAAGAACCGGATCAGGACGACTTACCCCACCAGTCTGCGCGCCCACTTCTTTCATCCTCGACCAGCATTTGCTTCCGGAGCTTGGTGTGCCGAACAATTCAGCTGCTGACCTCTTGCGACACCTTCTTGAGCTCAAACATAGCTTCACATCGGCGTTGCAGAGTCCTGCAAGTGCCATTGACGCCCAGCACCTCGCCCAGTGCAATCCTCCACCCGGGCTCATCCCACGCACTCGCACAGACACCGCGGATAGATGCTGGCCATGCCGCCGCGAGCTTCGCTCACTGGATCCTTCTCGGTCTCAGACGAGAACAATGTGGTCGTCTGCCCGCTGCGCAACCATGACCATTCGGCCTGCCGGAAGCGCTGCACTGGGGTGAGTCTCCCTCGAGCTATGCTTTGAAGTTGGAGCTGCAGTATCCACGTCATGGCGAGCTCCGCTACTGCTCACCCAGATCTTGAATAACACGCCATGCTGCACAGGAGAAGCGGTACCGTTCCATGCAGGAGCACATTCGCCGCGCCCACCCCGAACACTACATCTCGAAGCTCCCTGCTACCGAGGAGAGCTTTACGTTGATGGTCAACACCCCACCACAAGAGCGCCCGCCCCCGCCTTCTCAACCCACAAGCTCAGCAGCAGGCCCACAAGGTTGGTGCCCTCGTCTCCCCAACAGCAGCGGAGACTGACACATTAGCAAGGCTTCAGTGTAGGCGACTTGAGCGTATTCTACAACGACGACTACAGCGTGAGCGATCCTCGCACTTCAGACGAATACTTGCGCAGACCGTCGCTGCTGCCAGCGGCCACAGCTGCAGCCGCCCTTGCTTCGTTGCACAATCACCGCCCAGAGTTCGACTGGGACTCCGATCCGGTAAGCAGTTTTGTCACGTTCTCCTGCAGCTCCCTTATATGGATTACCATGCTGACGCAGCTGTTATGACCAGGATGCAATATCAGACCCAGACTCGAAAGGCTACAGGCCTCGCGCACGATTCGCTCCCACCGCTCTCGAGCAACACATCACAGCAGAGGAACCTTACTACACGTCTACGTCGATACACCGCGAGCTGTTGCCGTCATCCATTGCACGGTCGCCACCTGGTCGGTCCTCTACGTTGCCGCCAGCTCCTCGATCCATCAAGCCAAACCGACCTCGCAAGTCGTCAGTCGGACAGAATGCGCGCAGAGGCAAGCACCAGCGGCAGAGATCCAAAGATCACGTCAGGAGGACGAGTTATGACCGCAAGGCATATTCAGCTGAGCCACAAACAGCCGCAGCGATCCTTGGTAAAAGATGGGAAGACCTTATTGACGCTGCAGCATCAGCTACAGAAGAGGACAGTCGAGATCTTACTCCAGTATGCATCCTTGTTGTGTTCAGACGTCTCTCGGCTAACCATACAAGGTGCCTCAATCCCCATTCATGTCACCTCATATGATGGATAACCGAAAATCATTACCGCCATTCATCGCCTCGCAACTACAGTCCTATACAGCATCGCCGCTGGTCAACTCGTTGACACCACCGCTAGCAGATATGTCAGAGCTGCAGCCTTTCCCTTCCGTCGAATCGTCCATTGAATCCACCATTTCTGGTCAAAATTTCCATATACCCTCTCAAGGCCTCTCGGACTCGTCTCCTACCTTTTCATATCCGGTGCAGATCTACTGTGCCGCCTGCCGCAAGTTGTCAAACCTACGAGACAGCTATGCATGCTCCGAGTGCATCTGCGGCCTGTGTCAAGAATGCGTTGACGTCCTCGTCAGCGAGCACACTCGAGGCAGAGCACCACGCTGTCCACGATGCAACGCCATTGGCGGGAAGTTCAAGCCTTTCCAGTTGGACATTCGATGATTCATTCTTTCTACACACTCTCTCACCTGCGGCGTTACGATTTCATGACACAGTGCCTGGTTGGGTGGCTTCTTGATATATTGCTACCACGCATCACTAGCACAACAGAGCAAAACGGCGTTCTTTTGATTCTTTCATGGGAATTGCATAGACCACAGGTCAATTTGGGGCAGGCGTTATGATTTCCGACGGACAGAAGATTGCCCATGAGGCGCATACAGCTGTCTGGATACAAGCTACGCATCGATAGACGCTCATTGCAATGAAGTGGTTCGACTGCATGCTTCGGCGTGTCAAGTCCTGCCAAATCCCTGATCATCCATTTCATACCCGTTTGACGTTTCATGTAGCTCATGTCAGAGGTAATTCAGGTGTCACGAGGACAGGCAAAACCGCGACCGCTAGATGATGGTTCATCAAAAACCTACGTGGAGACTAGATTGACAGACGACTGCAGTGCTATGATGTAGAGTATTGATCATCACAGTCGAGACCAGATCGAACGGTGTTTACACGAGCGGCACAGATATTTACAAACATTACCAATGAAACAGGTACCTCAAAGACCCCTCGTGACACGGCGGAGTTCAGGCCTCGCTAGTTCACAGTAGCTCTTGCGGGGGGGACTTACTCCTCGGTAGCGCCTCTACCAGACCGCACCAGCGCTTTGTCTGGGACCGTGGCACTCCATGACGACCTCCCAAGCCAGAAACGAAGATGCGGCCAACGACCCATGGTTCACTCTGAAGCTGCAGCTGCCAATGTTTCCAGATTTCTTTTCTCGAAAAGGAGCTTTCGTGACAAGAAGTCATCAGGAGAACGGCAATCCTCAAGTCAAACATGCGTTCGCTGTCTGTGCCATGCTGTGCGGGACCAAGCACCGCCAGGCACAGGCACATCCAGCGGCAGCGTAGCGATGCGCCGACGTAGTATCCCGATACCCGAGGTTCTAGAAGAGCTCACACAGGCACACAGGTAGTGTGCGCGGGCAGCGGTACGGGACTGGTAATTACGAGAGCAAATCCATTTTAGAATACGCATAAAGAAGCTGCAGGGGCAATGACTGCCCATCCACCATGTGGGACCCGAGATGAGTTATGACAGCTTTGGCTGCTGGCCGGCTTACGAAGAGCACGCTTTGGCTGCGAATGGGCGGTTGATGGCGCAAGGAGCGCAACGGACTCGAGCGTTAGAGCGGCCGGGTCCCAGGCTTCAACGTGTTCTAGAGGGCGGGCGGCCGACCGATTGTATCTCGGGCTGGATAGCGTTTGTCTGGTGCCCGTGGAATGTTTAAAAGCCCTGTTGACTCCGAAGAGAGTCGTGCTGTACTTGGCGGCAGCAAACGTGTTAGTAAGGTAGATCGTTATTGAGAGGTTCCAGAGGTGCGCAAAGGCGTGATTCGGGAGGTGCGCATGCAGGAAAGCTGCAAGACATCGCATGACCCCAATTTCGTTGTCTATTTTGCCCGCAAGACCTCAGCCACTTTGCTGCGGAGACCAATGGGAGAGCGGTATTAGCAATTCGACTGCCTTGCATACCAATGCGGACATCGATGCTGCGAAGAATGGTCAAACAGCAACGAGCGGTGAAAGTTTGGCTAGATGTCTAGCAGCCATCGCGACTCCGCCACCGACATACCTCCTATCCCAAAGCGAGCATGTGTTCCTGGTCGGCCGTCTCGGTCCAGAGGTTTGGGCGAGGTAGCCCTGCATCGGGTAAGAAAGTTGGGGTGACGCGTCTACCGTCTTTGACGTGCCTGGCGCGCGCAGGGATACGAGCGCGGCGAGCCTGTCGCGAGCAACGTCGGATCGGCGGCTAGTTCAGGGTGACCCTGCGGTCTGGATGTTTTACACGAGGGAACGTGGTTTGGAGTCTGGACTACTGCGGGTACTTTATTGGGTTCGATAAATGCGGGAAAGTATGTCGGTGCGGGTGTCTTTGCATATAGTTGAAAGGAGGTGTCGTGTGCTACTGCTCTTTTCTACTGCTCCAACATTTACTCGACTTTACCACGCACCTGGCTTTCGTTACACGCACATTCACTACATGCCAACATCCGTACTCGACTTTCAGCATGGCTATCCTACGCACTCTCACGACTAAGATCAAGACGAAGATGTCTCCCTCATCGTCACCGGCTACGTCACCAACATCTCCTCAAGTGTCCTCCTTTGAAAGGGTCAGTGGGCGCAAGGACTACAGCGTACAAGGTCCCGAATCACAGAGACGCATGGACTCCTTCGTCGATGACGACGTCTACGAAGCACCCAAGGAAACCGAGAAGAAGGACAGGAGGGTCAGTCGCTTCCGTGAGGAGCTTTTCGAATGAAGTGCCGAACTTTATTAAGCTCTAACGGGTATGTTGCTCGCTTAAGCTGCCTTTGTATGATTTTAAAGCTAACGATGCATCAGTTGATCACCTGCACATCATGCCTCTTCTGTTGCCGTCTCTGCTGCTGGCGACTCCACTTCAGCTTGCACAGGTGTGACGCTTTTTGGCGGTCCACGAGGCGGTCCGCCAGCCTTTGGCGGGGGAGGTACACTGCCCTTGCCCTTTGGCGTGTAGTCGTCCTCTTTGCTCTTCTGCTCGCCTTCTTTGAAATAGTCATCCAGTCCCCCACCCCCAGGCATGGCAGCATGTGCCCGCTGCTTTCTCTTCGGCAGCGCTGTACCTTGTGGTGGTGGAGTCTTAGCTGGCATGGCAATGTTCGCTGGTACGAAAAGCTCGGATCCGTTGCCGGCGCCGCCTTGACCGGATGCAACCTCAGAGATCAGAGGCCGCTTCTCATCGAAAGATGTAGGCGCGCTGTTCGCCGCGAATAAGGTTTCTCCTGGTGCTTGTGGAGGCTCTTCCAGAGACGCAGGAATGCGATGAAGAGCCCCAAACCCAAGCACGCAGCCCAACGCCCCTTCACCACCCCAGCTACGGCTAGGAGTGATGGTGACCGGTCGCGTAACATTGTACTCGTGGTTGTACACGAGCAGTCGCAGCGGGCGATTCATGAACTACGCTCGTGTCAGTCGAAATCGTACGATCCAAACCGAGGTGTTCGTACATCTTCAACAAGTTCACCCAACCCTGACTCGCCACGGACCAGACCTTCCGGGCTACCGATAACGTAGTCGCCGTAAGGCAGCAGACCTGCAGTATCTGCAGGAGAGTTGGGTGCTACATCGAGAATGTGCCAGACGTCTTGTGCGATGGCGAGAGGTGACCACTGCAGCGACACGCCCAGCGTCGGCTTCTCAGCGGGAATACTTATGTAGACTTCGCGAATGACTTGGCCCTGGAAGATTATTTAGCAGCTTCATATGTGCATAGAAGTAGCATAAACGAATGGAGACATGGACAAGATTGACATGAAGCATGGCTTGTGGAGAACGTGATCATACAGATCCAAATGTTCGACCTGCTGTGGACCTAGTTCAATGAGGCCACGATGCTGCTTACCTTTGCACTAAAAACGCCCACACTGATCGTGTTGCCCGCGCAGTTGCGCACCTCGGTCGCAAATAGCCCCGGATCAGGGTTGTCCTTCATGTTCCATCAGCTGCCTTGGCCGCAAGATCCATCTGTCTCGCACTCACGATGGTCCTGCCATTGATGCCAATGACGAAGTCGAACCACGGCTCTAAGGGAACCTCCTGGTTCGCATTTCTCAAGACCTGGAAGCCATACGCGCCGCCGACGCCTGATTGCTCTTGCTCCTGCTCTTGCGGAGTGGCATCAAGGCGAGAGATGAACCGGTTCAAAGAGCCAAATAGTGCAGACATGACTCGTGGTGCTGCTCCGTTAGCTGGTGATGTGGTGTCGTTGGTGTTGGTGACAGGTTGAGCGTTGTTCAGGGTGGTTGCAACCATTGTCCGTGCACCATCCGCTAGTTGGTATTGTCCAGTAGATTTGCAACGAAGACGACTAGTTGTCAGCTTGATCAACTTTAAAATGGAAATTTCATTAGTACACCAAAGCAACTGAAAGCGAACGTGAAGACGTGACCCGGGCGACAACGCGCTCGATATACACTAGTCTGAAAGAGGGAAGGCGCATTAAAGTTGCTCTCTCGTGAGCTTCGAGCACCTGCAATCTTCACAACCACAGCTTCATCTCCGCACATTGAATCGATATTTGAAGATTGAGAAACACTACTTTGAGTGTGCTTGTAGCTCACATCTGACGAGAAGCCAGTTGCCAAGAGAAGGACGGGCCCCTGCACAAGCAGGATGGAAGAAGTACCAGATGGCATCCATCAATGGCTGAGCGTTGATCAGTTTCCTGGGCATCTACAAAAGTGAGCCTCGTGCATTTGTGTGCTTCGACTGTACAAGACTAACTGACTCTGTTGAGGTACTGGTTTCAACGTTTCAAGATCTGGGACAAGTACGACAAGGGGATCTGGATGACAGAAGACGCGTGGTTCGGTGTTACCCCAGAGCCCATAGCAAAGTAAGTGATTTCAGAATACTGACCTCGATATCACACTAACACGTCCAAGCAAGATCGCAGCACACATCGCAGAATCGGCACCAAAAGCGAAGACTGTCATCATCGACGCATTCGCAGGTGTGGGCGGCAATGCAATCGCACTAGCTCGCTCAGGTCGCTGGGAGCGAGTGTTTGCTATTGAGAAGGACCCCAAGACCTTGAAGTGCGCAAAGCACAACGCAGAGATCTACGGCGTTGCAAATAAGATTTTCTGGCTAGCTGGCGACTGCTTTGAGGCCATCAGCAGATTCGTGGGGCAGGAGAACACCATCATATTCGCCAGTCCGCCATGGGGGGGTGAGACTTTCCACAATACAGATCGTTTGATCTTGAAGCTGACTGCTGCAGGCACAAGTTATGGTGAGGACGATATCTTCGATTTGACGAAGATGGAGCCGTACAACCTCGACAAGCTTTACAAGAGCTTTACAAAGTACAGCAAAGAGCTCGTGTTGTATCTTCCCCGAAACTCAGATCTGAACCAGATCGCGAAGTATGTGCCAGAAGATCAGAAGCTAGAGGTCGCCCACTATGCCATCATGGGTGCCAGCAAGGTATGCAACGTGGACATGGGGTAATACAAGATATTGACCCAATGCAGGCGTTATGCGCGTATTTCGGTGACTTTAACTTTGACGTTGCAGAGGAGGAAGTAGAGGAATGACTCATATCGTGGTCGATAGTATGCAGGTATGCCCTGGGACAGAACGGACGACTATACCACGTTTGACATGAACGAGCGTTTGTCCGCAGTACGAGAAGATAGGAACGATGATCCGCAATTGAAAAACCAGCATCTTAGATATGAGCGTGAGGACCTGACGTCGAAATCTTCTCGTGTCAAAACATTGTGGGTTGGGTAGGAGCAAATGCGGTCCCTTCACTCTTCGAGGTTGACGCGTGCTCGAGTTGGTCCATGCGCCGCGCCGCTCTCGAGCTTCTGCCTCCGTCACGTTGACTCCCACACGCCCGCGGGCAGCCTCGACCTCAAAACGCTCGAATATTCCGCAGATACCGCCGACGACGGCTCCGAGTACTCGCCACACCGTTGCGCGAGCTTGAATCGACCGTACAGTTCGCACGCAACACCGGCGGCGGCCCACGATTGCATGAGGGACCGCAACCTCGACGAATAACCCACCCCGCGGGTGCTTTCACTGGCCACCCACCAGCGCCCCGCCTCTTTGCGCATCCTTGCGCTCAGCTTGTGCATTCGTATAAACCTATCGCGCAGCAACCAGTGCCACCGCGCCGCACGCGACCATGTCTCTGGATCAGATCCCTCCAGCTGCCGCGCCAGCACATGACGCCGGCGACGACGACGACTTGGGAAAGCTGCTACAGTCGGCGCAAGTTGGGGCCGCGACCGGTGGCGAGGACTTCTTTGCCTCGCTGAACGACCGCGAGCTCGACCGAGGAGAGAAGGCAGTCGACGCCGTCGATTATGAAGATATCTCTGATGACGATCTGCCAGAGGAGGAGTTCGCTAGTGACAACGGCGCTGCCACACAAAACTTCAGTGGAACTACAGTGCAGGATTCCGCAGAGAGCTTCGAAGATGGGGGCGACGACATAGACGACTTATTTGGCGATGGACTCTCGAGCCCCGTCATGGAACGCTCGCACCAGAACGAAGACAGGCCTGTCGACTCGATCGAAGATTTGTTCAGCGGAGCGCAATCACACACCGCCAAACCTGTCGACGGAAGGCCGCAGTCTACCTCGCAGAATGTTGCTTTTGGAGCTACGCAAGAGGAGGAGGACGACGACGACCCGGAATGGCTCGAGCAGAAGCGTCTGTTCCAGCAGGCGCGCGCTGGAAAGGAGGGCGAGGGCGCCGAAGCCCCAAGGACATCAAGGGAGGATTTCGAGAAGATGTGGCCCAACTTCGAAGAGAAAGTGCCACCGCGCTTCTTCAGCCTGGTACCGCGCAACCGGGCTTTCTACATTCCTAAAGTACCGCAGAAACAGCCGAAGCTTATGCCTCTCACGAAGGCCAGCCTCGAGATCGCAGTAGACCAAGAGAAGAGCTTTCGATTGCCCTCGGCCACTCCCGCGACTGGGTCCAAGCGACAGCTAGAAGAAGAGCAGGGCACCCTAATCTACATCACAAGGGTCGTTCAAGAGGAGCAAGACAGCGATGAACAGATGGAGTTGGACAATCTCGATCCTCTCGACGACCACGAGAAGATTGGAAACGTTTCGTGGGGCGATCTCAAGATCGCTTGCGAAGACTGGGATGTTCTGGATGACGAAAGTGCTTCAGACGGCGACCAGCTTCTTTCGCCGCCAGATACGATACTTGGCGACGACGATACCGATTGGATACGTAGCCTTGTGCCGTCAAAAAAGCGGAAGCTAGGCACTCGAGAGAACCCTGTTACCTTCTCTGTATACGACCACATGGATCTGCCGTCTTTGGATGATCCAGAGGCGGAGACTGCACGCATTGCAAAGAAGATCATCCTGGACATGAACGACCCACATCTCCTTTTGGATATCCAGCAACCCAGCGCAGAGCCACCAAAGCTACGGACAGTGGGTCTTGGTCTCAAACGTGATAACCGTGGCAGTCTTGCGAATCCCATGTTCAAACGTTACAATATCTCCAATGATGAGGCGTACGATGCGCTGAAGGAGAGCAGCCAGCAGAAGGTTCGTAGCACGATTGGTCACATGAACGTCGAGCATAGCCTGCCCGCGTTGAAGTTGCAATACCCCTTCTACAAGGTCAATCTCACGGATCGCGAGCTGCGATCCTTTCACAGGCCCACCGTTGAGTTCAGGCCTGGTGAACGAGCTGGCATATCAGTGCTCAAGTCCGTCAAGCGAAAGCACAAAAAGAACCTCAAGCCCTCGGAAGCATTTGCAACAGCGGAAGATCTCAACATCGGTGACAACTCAGATCTCCTCCTGGCTGAGTACTCCGAGGAGTATCCCACGACGCTGTCGAACTTCGGAATGGGTATCAAGATTCTCAACTATTATCGTCGCAAAGATATGGAAGACACTGCGCGACCCAAGCGCGAAGATGGTATCGGAGAGACCTCGGTGCTCCTGCCTCAAGACAAGAGCCCCTTCTCGCTCTTCGGCCAAGTCGAGCCTGGCCAAGAAGTATTGACTCTCCATAACGCCATGTACAGGGCGCCAGTCTTCAAACATACGCCTGAGCAGACCGATTTCCTTGTTAGCAGAAGTAAGACTGGAGTTAATGGCTCCAAATACTACCTGAGAAACATCCCGAACCTTCTTGTCGTCGGTCAACAATTCCCATCTGTCGAAGTTCCTGGTACGCATGCAAGGAAGGTTACGGAAGCTTCAAAGAAGCGTCTCAAGATGCTCTCGTTCCGTATGTACAGGCGGGGCGAACAGTACAATATGCGGCAACCGTGGGTCAGCAACGAGATGATCAAGATGCATCTGCCAGGTACTGAGATTGCGCAAAACCGATCTCGCATGAGAGAAATCATGAAATACGACAAGGATCTTGGCACCTGGAAGCCCCAAGAGGGCGAGACGATTCCGGACGAGCCGACATTACGCGCCTGGATCAAGCCTGAGGACGTGTGTCTCATCGATTCCATGCATGCTGGTGACAAGCAACTTCAAGACTCCGGCATCAAGTCGAACGACATTAGGGATGACGAAGAGGAGGCGGAAGGCGAGAACTCCGCTGTCAAACTGGCGCCCTGGAACACCACGAAGAATTTCTTGAATGCTTGTGCTGGCAAGGCCATGCTGGAGTTGCACGGTGAGGGCGATCCCACTGGACAAGGTCTAGGCTTTAGTTTCATCAAGGTCTCCATGAAAGGCGGTTTCCGAGATGTTGGACAAAGTGCGGCAGATCAGGTCAATGCGAAAAAGCAGAAGGAGCTCAGTGGTCACAGCTACAACGTTCAGCAGCAGCAAGCGATGTACGAGAACGCTATCAAGCGCATCTGGAACAGGCAAAAGGAGAACCTCTCGGCTACAAACCCACCCGAAGACATAGAGGAGGATGTCGACTCTGCCGCTGCACGTAATGCAGTACGCGGACGTTCTGAGATGGGTACTCCAGCCATTATGCGTGGCGACGACGATACTATGAGTCAGCTCAGTCGCAATAGTAATGCGGAGACGCATGGCAAGAAGTTACGCATCACGCGCACCATCAAGAACAAGTACGACGAATTCGAGGAGGTTACAGTCACGGTCACCGATCCTGAAGTCATCAAGATGTACATCAAGCGCAAGAAGCAGGACCGGCTGATGAACATGCGTCTTGACGACATCAAGCCCACTGGTGATGCAGAGTACGATCGCCAGCAACAACTGAAGCTCATGGCTGAGCTCAAGCGTCTTGAGCGCAACATGGAGCGTCGACAGGGCCGTGAGAAGGCCAAGGGTCAAGCAACAGGCGATGGAGGTCCCGGCAAAGGCGGCGCGACACCCAGGAAATGCGCCAATTGCGGTGAAGTTGGTCATATCAAGACCAATAAAAAGTAAGCTACGCTCCAGCTCTTACTTTCATGAAATGCATCGCTAATTACTGTTGCAGACTTTGCCCTTTGCTCAATGGCCAAAAGAAGCAGAGCGACACCTTCAAGGATGCTTCTGCTGCAACACCTGTGCCTGCTACTCCCCAGACTGCTGGCTCGCCACTGTAGGGATTTGGTTCATCCGAATCTCCGCTCAGTCCCACCAACGGACATACGATTCGAATCAAAAGAGACAAATAGGTATTTTTTACACAAGCATAGCATCGGCGTTGAGGATATATTCAAAAGTTGGATGCATTCGTTCTGAAAACATCAGGGAGGTGTACGGACATGGCGCGTAAAGGCCGGGATCACTGTCATGCTGTCCAGTGCATGGGAACAGTATATGGCTTGAAGTATGATACCAAAATATTAATTTGAAGTCTGGGACGCTGACGTGCCTGGTGCGTTGGTCGTCCCTTGCCACGTGGTTGTGCCGCAACCCATCGTTCATCCTAGCGCAGTCCATCGTTGACCCAAGCGCAATCCTACCGTCTCATCATTCCTTCACGATCACGCCTTCCTCATCTCAGTGTGCAGGATCGTTTCTCGTGTCACCTGGATCCCTCCTAGCGGTCCCAGGGCTTCTTGCGTCTCGACAGCGCTGGTCTTCCTCGAGTGCGACCCTGCGCGGCTGATCTCCCCTGATCTCTCGCTTTCCCATCCATCTATCGCCAGATCATCATTCCAGGTAGTTGGCAGAGCATGAACGCTGCGAATTTTTGCTCGACGCGCGGGACCGGACTTGAGGGGCAGTGAGTCGCCCTGGCACTGGTATCCATTGCTGCGCTGACTGCGTCCATACCTCGAAGCACCGGCCATTGAGTACACCTTCTCGACACCACGGCGTGTGAGCGGGTAGATCATTGGTACGTTTCCGATGACCACTGCGACGAATGTTTCACGAACCGCCCAGCTCCCTGCAGCTTGTGCGCCGTGGATCGGGTCCTTGATGATCAACACGCAGCGCAGTATTCCGGCCATCATGACGAAAACACCACCTCCAAAGACCAGGATCAGTGACAGCTTTCGCTTGATCTCGAGACTGGCCTTCCACAGCATTGGCATCGGGATCAACATTAGGTAGAGGTCTGTTAGAACATTGAGGACGACGGTGACGTAGAGGTCAATTTTGGATATGGCTGGCTGACAAAAATCTGCATGGTTGGTCAGCAGTCGCACATTCGTACTAACTAGAGTCACTTACTGCCTGGGTTTGGATGTATCTGCCAGTTCCTCTTGAATGGTCGACAACCCAACAGGATCGAGAGCTCGGTTGCGATGTATGTCGCACCGATAATGAAATAGCCGATCTTCACGCGCAGCTCAAGGTGATAGAGTCCGGCTCTGTGTTAGTCACTCGTATCAGTACAACGTGCATCGGTCGTGCGAACAAGTGGATATACTCACGTCAGCCGCGAGTAGAAGTGGCACATGCATATTTTCAGTGTCCATAACAGCAGCGTGTATAGACTCCAGCCAACCAATTGCGTCTTTGATCCGCCGACTCGTAAAGAGTACTCGTGGGACTTGGGGTCGAGTGTGCTGCGTTGTTCGTCTGTCATGCCATTGTTCGCAAGTCCAAACCACCAGGCGCCGACAATGTATGCTGCCGCTGTCTCGAGTGAGTATATGACCTGCGGCAAGGTTAGCGTAGATCAAGAGCCACGGATACGAAGATACGAACAGCAGCGACGCACATCAGATAGTCGTCAAACTGAAAATGCTTGAATCCCACCGTAGTCGCGCGTGCAACGATTCTCAAAGCGATGATGGCGATTCCTACGCCAAGAAGGGTGAACGCCTCAGTCGTGAAAGAATCTCCCATCTTGCATATGGATCTCGCTCCACCACAGTTGAGGAGAAGGTTCAAGATCAAGTCCGCGACGTTGCGCCGATGGCCACAGCCTTAATGAGAGACCCATCGGCTCCCAGCGGAAAAGTAGAAACGATAATAGACCCGTTTGCAAGACAGCAAGATTTCGCAGTGGCACCGAACGCATATGGAAAGAGAAGCGGATCACCCACGGCTTGTTCCGCATTCACATCTCGGCAGTAGGTACAGAGCTGGAAGCCGCTCTGTCAAGCCGGTATGAGCACGTTCAGGAAATTGCGACAAACGCTGTGCACCTCCATGCAGAGGTAAGCAGAAGCAGGAGACAGACAAGCGCTCCCGATTGATGATTGCGTGATAGACCAGGGCCCCCCCCCTGTTCCGGTGCGATTTCCAGCCAACATGTGAGCCAGTATAAGCCTTTCTATGCATCTTTTGTACGTGCGCAAGGTCCAAACACCCCCTAAAAGGTCCTGTATCTCTCACCTGTGAAGATGAGTAAGCCTATAGTGGGCCCGTACAGGGCTGTCTAACTACTTAGGAGAACGGTACAGGGTACAAAGACACTAGGCATCTGAACGGGGGGGGGATGTAGCCTTGCTCTGCCACGCAGTCGGGAGTGCTTTGTACAAACGAAGTCAATTCAGCCCAACGAGCCACTCTGTGATCCGTTCTCACCAGGTCGGAACCCGTCATTGCATTCTCTGTCTTCTTTTCGGGCTCCCAACCGGTGCAGCCTCGGCCGCTAGCTTGGTCTGCACGTTTCTGCATGTTCCTGAAGCTACGGTCGTCGCGTCCCCCCAACGGCTGCCTTCGGAGTGATGTCTCTTACAATCCCAATATCACTATATCACGAAACTTCAATGGTTGTATGGGATAGCAGAGTGTTCAGGCCCCTTCGCGGGTGACGGCAGGTATGGCTTGAATAATTTCCCTCACGGTGCTATTGTTTGCATGAATCGATTTGACGTTGCAACGTGGGTGGGAGTTGCGAAGACCGTGCAGCTCGGAGCCATTGATGCGGAAGCCTAGTGCGCTCCACAGCCGTCCTAACGGCAATAATGTCGGTAGCCAGCCGTCACACCCATTTAGAGGTGACACCCCATAATGTGATTGGCTGAGACAACTCTGGCAGCCCACAATTGCCGTCTCAACTACATTCCTTGCGTCCTGTCTGTCAAAAGGGGAAATCAGGTTGCACCGTTCCTGCCGAGCTTGAGCCTGTGGCACCTGACGCGATGGGTCCACCAAATATAGGGCATCCAGCGTCTGCAGGCATGGTTCTTCGCTGGGATACACAGGTCGTTTCTTCCCTTGTCGTTCGCTTGTTGCTTAATTTTCCTTCTCTCTGGAGCTTCTCTCGTCCAAACAACCAACATGGAGGAAGTCGACTTGGTCGTGGTAGGAGCCGGTAGGTTGCTTTTCCGTTCACTTTCGTTCCACATCGCGCAATGCGCCGTTCTCCATTCCTGCAAGTGTTGCGGATAGGCCCACCCTTTCTCGCATCGTCATAGAGCTTGGTCAGCGCCAGGTGTAACCAACCATATGGCGCCCAATGAAGTGCCTTTCACGTGCCCTGTCAACCACGAGCTTTCACCTCTTTTCCCTATGTACCTGCCATTTTGAAACGGACAAGTGACTATCGCAACACTTTCGAGACTTGCGATACTGACAACATTCAGGCTGGTATGGCCTCGCGGCTGCAAAGGCATATATTGAGCTACACCCAAATGATGAGATTGTCGTGCTCGAAGGCAGCCCCAGCATCGGTGGCGTCTGGAGTTATGAGCGCCTGTACCCTGGTCTCAAGTCCAACAACATGCTCGGTACATACGAGTACAGTGACTTTCCTATGGACACTGCGACCTTCGGTGTCCAACCGGGCGAGCACATCCCAGGCACTGTAATGCACAAGTACTTGACGTCCTTTTCGAAAGAGTTCGGCATTTACCCTCGCACGCGCTTGAACACACGTGTGGAGTCTGCCGAAGAGGATCTCAAGACCGGAAACTGGACACTCAAGACACGCAACACTTTATCTGGTGAAGAAGCGCCTCTGCATACGAAGAAGTTGATCGTCGCCACTGGACTGACTTCTGAGCCTCACATTCCCCAGTTCAAGGGTGAGGCAGACTTCAACGCTCCCATCTTCCACTCCAAGGAATTCCGTGAACAAGCCGATACTCTCACAACGACTCGTAATATCGCAGTTTTGGGAGGTGGAAAGAGCATGTGGGATGCCTCATATGCTTATGCTAGCGCTGGGGTGTCAGTCGACATGATCGTCCGCAAGAGTGGACGTGGCCCGGTCTGGATGGCACCACCGTACGTGACGCCACTCAAGAAGTGGTTGGAGAAGCTTGTCCACACACGATTCTTAACATGGCTAAGCCCTTGCATCTGGGGCGATGAAGATGGTTATGGCGGCATCCGGCGCTTCCTCCACGGTACCTGGCTTGGACGCAAGATTGTGGACGCATTTTGGGGCATCCTCGGTAGCGACGCAATTGACCTCATGGGGTTCAGCAAGCACCCCGAAACCAAGAAATTGACTCCCTGGCATTCAGCTCTATGGATCGGGAGCGGTCTCAGCATTCGCAACTTCCCCACGGACTTCTTCGAATACATTCGCAACGGCCAAGTCCGCGTCCACGTGGCAGACATCTCACACTTATCTGAGAAAACCATACACCTCTCAGATGGCGAATCCATCAAAGCCGATGCCCTTTTCTGCGCAACAGGATGGAAATCGCGTCCACCCATCAACTTCCTGCCTTCAGGGCGCCTCTCCGAGCTCGGTGTACCACATTACTCCGCAAAGCCCGATCCGCTTGTCACAGAAGCCGACTCGCTCATTCTCAGCACATTCCCGCGTCTGCAAGACCAGCCGAACGTGCCCAAGTCTGTCCGCAGCGAGACGGATAGCGAGACGCCCAACCAGCCATTCCAACTCTACCGTTTCATCGCCCCTCCAGCCACGCTGGCAAAGCGCAACATCGCCTTCGCAGGCATGATCTCGACAATCAGCACATCGATCTGCGCTCAAGCACAGGCGCTCTGGATCTCGGCGTATTTCGATGGCAAGCTGGAACGCGTCCCGACTGCTGAGCAGGCACGTTGGGTTACGACACTGCACGCCAGATTTGGGCGCTGGAGGTATCCCTGTGGATACGGAGCGCGGCTGCCGGACTTTGTGTTCGATGCTGTGCCATATCTGGATATGCTTCTCAAAGACGTTGGGCTGGAGGGTCATAGGAAGAGCGGTAGAATTGCGGAGTGGACCGAGCCGTATGGGCCGGAGGATTACACGGGCTTGACTGGGGAGTGGGCGCAAAAGCATGGAGGCGAAAAGAAAGACGTCTAAGCGAGGGGCGGATGTATGAAGAAGGAAGGAGATGATCATTTTCTCGATTCATCCACACTACGAAGATATCCGTGCAAGGTACCAGGTATACGATTAACCCCTACTGCTTTCACCGCTACTAGTGTCTTCTTCCTGAAGAAGAACTTCATACCCGGACTCGTTCTTCACCCAAAGACTGGCAATGCACCCAAGCGCACTAATCCCCGCGATCGCCCACCAGCCCAGCCCAACCATCCCCTTCTCCAGCCCCAGTCCAAACCAATACCCCCCCGCCACGGGGCCCAGCGTCCGCATCGCAGAGCTCACACTTTGGCCCACGCCATGAATCATCCCCAAAACCCTGGGATGCGGACTCGCGTTGTTCACCAAGATGATACTCGCAGGCAGCGCAAACGTGCGCGCTGAAACCTGCAGCATGAGCACCAGGCTTATCCCGAGCCACACCAACACGCCGGAGGCTGGCTGCGGCGCCGCCGTCGCCGATGGTAGGAGAGCCAGATAGGGAGCGAGCAGATACGCAAAGGGGAAGACCAGTAGGGAAGACCAGAAACAGCGCATCAGGCCGAAGCGCGTGTTGGCCCACGGGTACCGCAGGATCTGCGGCATGAGACCGGGGATGCCGAGGATGGCGAGTGAAGAGCCAAAGAGACCGAGCGAGAAGGATAGACCGCCTGTGAAGCGTGTCGCGCTCGCGCTGGCTGTGCGGTCGGCGCCTCGCGATGTGGAGAGGAAGATGATCCACAGCCCGGAGAAGGCGCCCATGTGCAGGTCGAAGATGGCGACGCTGAGGAGCGTCCAGAGCGCGTTGGCGGTCCAGATTATGGAGAAGGGGAGGTGGGCTGTTGCGTGGCTGTTCTGGCTGCGTTTCTCGGACGTCGTATGCGAGTCGTGGCTGTCGCGGCGCAAGAGCACGGTGGTGATGCCGCGGTACATGTCTGCCATCTGGTCGACCAAGCATCTCTTCGTGGGCAGTCTCGTCTGGAAACGCGACGACCAGGCCCGCTTCCATGAACAGCAGCGTAGTGTAAAGCAGACTAGGCAGTGCGTACGGAAACGCTTCAAGCAGACTCGCTGCGTACGAGCCGCTGAATGTGTGCGGGTGGCTCTTCACCGGATGTACCAGAGCACCGCCCACAACCGGACCAAGGAGGTTGGCGACATTGAAAGCACCAGGCAGCAGCCAGAAACGCCCCCGAATGCCACTTCGCCTGCACGCTCTCCGCGACCATTGTCCTCGCGGCGCCCACGGTCCCATTCACTGCCCCGCCCAGCACCCTCGACGTAATCATCTCCACGAAACTCTGGCTAAACCCAACGCCAACACAGCTCATGCCCGTTCCCACGAAGCCGATGAGCAGCACCGTCCGCCACCCGAAGAGCGGCGAGTCGGCAGCCCGCCCCCAGAGAACAGACGTGACGATCTGCGCGAACGTGAAGGAGCCCTGGAGGCCGCCTGCCTGATACGATAGCGAAGCTGTCGGGATGTCCATATCGAAGGAGCGGAGCTGCTCGACCATGTAGGATTAGAGGGACGCCGTTTGCCAAAAGTCGACGAGGCGCGAGAGCGCGAGGATGACTAGGGCGCGCTTGTTCGGCATGTTGAGCCATGTTGGCTCGTTCTCTGTCGGTGGTTCTTCAACGGGGCTCTCCATGTCGCGTATGGGCCCGTGAAGTTCTGTGGTCAGAATGCTGGGTGTTGAAGCGTGCCGCGGATAGGGCGAGGATGGTTTGGACTCGGGCCGTTGGTGCAGCGACCTGCGTGCACCGGCGTCGACATCTGTCGAGGTTATCGGCTGGTGGGTGTGAAAGTTGTTTGGAATCGTGTTGGAGACTCGTTCTGTTTCTGACGAGTGGTGTGCATGCAGAGGCTGCTTTTGCCGCAGCTTCCGTCACTCTTCAGTACAGGCCATAGATCTCGAACACGGGCCTGTTGTATCTTGTCACGGGTGAGCAGCCTCTCGGGAACTCCTGGGCATGAGCTGCTTTCTGCGCGGCAGTGATGTAGCCCGAGGCTGTGGCGATGTAGTCCTGGATGTGCGGCACGACGAATACGAAATAGACAGCGACGAGTATGAAAGTCGTCACGTAAGGAATGTACGAGACCAACTTGTCGAAACGCTCAGAAGACATGAGGAAACGGATTACGAACGATCAGGGCAAGAAATGGTATATGCTCGGAAAAGCGGCAGTGTGGAAAGCTTGACGGTTGAAATGGAGCGATACTGGAGGATGATAGAGGAGGACGTGTACAGACAAGCTTTCCGCCCAATGCTTCACTTGGGAGGGATTCAAGGTATCCCGGCCTTCTGCTGTTGCAGAGACGCGGCTGGCTGGCGGCTGCGGCTGCGTCGGCGGTGCGGGTCCGGCTTCTGACGTTCAGGCAAGAGTGGAGGCTTTCTGAAACCTATCGACCGCGTTTGATCGGCACGGACAGGAATTGGAATAGTCAAGTGTCGTACGCGTCGTAGTCGGCCCGTCATGCATCTTCATTCTGATCATTGTTGAATCTGGTGTGAGGATGCGATACGCATACCCAGTCTCTCGTGGTGGTATTAGAACAACGGTTGCTCGCAGGTAGCAGCATGGTCGGCTGCAGGCCGTAGAGTCTCGAGACGTCAAAAAGTAGGCCATGACCATTTGCGATTATCTCGCAGCCGGATCATACCACAAGAGGCTCCGTAGATTCCGCTGTCGCAGCCAATTTTCTGAATCTCGAGAACTTTGGTCGTTTTGGGCGATGACGCGATGACGTGATGACGTGATGACGTGATATGACTTTGTCAGTCCGAGGGTATCAATGTTTACTGTGAAAGTCACAAGTTGCTGCAAGCTGGATTTAATCGATTCGCAAACTTCGCACGTCGAAGGCTCATATGCCGTCGGTGCACTCCAGCTTATGATACTCTGTTTCAGGTTGGGCTGAACCACCCAGCCAAAGAGCTAGGTGCAACTGCGACGATCGTCTCCTGCCAGACAGCACCAAGTCTAGCTATTCTCCTCTTTCCCAGCATCGAACAAAGGCCACCAACAACGAGCAATACCAGAACCGCCGGGATCGTTGGAGTCGACAGAGACCACCTGCGGACAGTGTACTCCAGCACCGGATAGCAGCTGGTAATGTTGACGCCCAGATCCTTGGTGTAGGCATCCCCCCCGATCGCCAACGTCGGGCATCGTCTTATTGAAGGCCCCATCGTCTCCAAGGGGCAGGACGTCGGCGCACCCGCGATCGTCGCAGCCAAAGACGATGAGACCGGAGGGCACAAACGTCTCGACGATGCTCGATTATCCGCGCTTCAACAGCTTGCGGTCAGCATCGAGCGCCTTGGCATACACTCAGCCCATCGATCCCGTCAGCGTATATCCCGTCTCAAAGCCCGTCTTGTTTGCTGTGCCAATGAGCTCCCACGGTCCCGTCGACGTGTCTGCGGTGTAGAAGTTGCAGGAGCGGACTTTCGTTGCGTCGTTCCAGCTGACACAGAAGACCATGTTGCTAGCCGTGGTCGCCCCAGTCAATGAAGACGCCCTGATTCTTCTTGAGGATCTGCATGCTGCCTTGAGGATCTGCATGCTGCCTTGAGGATCTGCATGTTGCCTTGATGATCTGCATGCTGCCTTGAGGATCTGCATGCTGCCTTGAGGATCTGCACGCTATCGTAAGTGTACGGCCTTGGGTCCGTGTCCCAGTATGGCGCAAGGAAGATGTAACCCGGGGCCCGAAGTTCCGGCCTGAGGATATCGAAACTGATGATGGGAGCGTGAAGATCCGGTCGCTAAGTAGCGTCAGACGGGTAGTGTAGCGGCTCGTACCCGCGACGTACCGACTGGGAGATTGACGTTGGGGGAGTGATGTTGTCTAGAACCAGCTTGGACGGGGTCCAGAAGGACGAAAAGAGGGGCGGAAAGGCTCGACGAATGTTGAAACGACGGCATGGCTACTCTGATGGCAAGAAGCACGAGCTCCCGCAGAAGAAGAAGCACGAGCTCCCGCAGAAGAAGGCACAAGTACGTCTTGGAGACAGTATCTACCTCAGATGATCGCTTGGGCGGGGCCGATTCCATGATGCATGCCCCCAGCGATGCCTCCATTTCTTCCGCAACGCGTCTCCCTACTGAGCATTGTGCGTGGTGGCACGTCAAGCTCCAGCCGTCAATGTCAACGAGGGAGCTTGCATGTACCGTGGAGACGATTCACGACTCTTGTAACAGTGATGATTTGCATGTTTCAGAAGCACCCATGCCGCCTCTGATGTCGATGCGCGCGCACGGCATTGAGCCTCATGTCGACGCGTCGTCATCAGCTCATCGCTTGGATATTCGCCTTGCACGGATGACACTGCTAGAACTCGATTGGCTTGGGTGCTGTGGCGTGGTGCTGGTGGAGACGGAGAGACGCGTTTCGCGTGGTTGGCGAAGCGTCGGGAAAGTGGGGCCTCCGACTGCCGATCTGCAACGGAAGCTTTCAAGGTCATCGAGTCGATATGCCTCTGCGAAGACTTTGATGCAATCACACGGCAAGTGGAAGATTCCATGGCTTAAAGTCACAGTGTATATGGGCAAACACGTGAAAGACTCGGGCTTGCAAAGTGGGTTCAACGCCACCGCAGCACTGGACAAGATTGAATGGAAACGAGAGTGGGCGAGCGAGTTATCGAAATCTGCTTGAGCAGCAGAACACCTGTGATGATAAGAGGACGCGTCCGATGTCGTTGCGGATGTCGCCGTCCCATAGCGGTGCTGCGCTGCAGGGTGAGGCGCCCCTTTTACGTGGTGCGTGTCCTCGGCCCAGGTGCAGTGAGAGCTAGACGGTTCATGCTGCGCTGCTGTGATCTGTGTGGTGTTTATGTGATGCGGTGAGACGTAACGGTGTTGACGGGGATCCACGCGTAGCAGTAGGTGCTGGAGGTCGGCCTGCTTGGCATCGTTGTTGTCATGATCACTGTGCTCCAACCCACAGCTCCACAAGCAGCTCCACAAGCATCTCCACAAGCATCTCCACAAGCATCTCCACACACAGAAACGCAACCAACTCCCATAGACAACATTCTCCGCGTATCTAGACAGGGGATCCAGTTACTCCGAGTGGGTTGCGTGAGAAACGTGCGATGGACTTTGTTGAAAAGACTCGCATGTACAGTCTACATTCCATCCGATTCTCATCGTGAGCAAGAATGGAGAAAAATCAGCACGCAACAGCAACGTAGCGAAAGCTTCTGAAATCCCAGACATGGATCTCTGCTACACCCAGGAAAGCGCACCGAGGCTTTTGCCAGCGGAGTCGGGTAAAAGGGTGCTGAAATATACAATCTGAAGCTGTGCAGTGGGCGGGCGACTGGGCGCAGGAGGGGAACCAGCGGTCAGAAGCAACACGAGGATGGTATGGTGACGCAGGTCATGATGAGTAGTATTGTATTAATTTATATGTTTGGAAAGAATGCGACTGTGCGCCGTGCTCGCATGCTGCGTAGAGCATATGCTGCCGTTGCGCCGGATACGCACCGCAGCTGCTCAGCAGAGCAGTGTCTACCAAACGCCACGAATACCGGACATGTGCCACGCACCATGCGCCACGCACCATGCGCCAGGCAGCTCCAAATGATTGTACAAACACCGCCCAGATGCAAAGCAGCGATTGATGCCGACGCGCAGACAGGCAAAAGAAACCGTAACGCAAGGATGGCTTACTGCAAGCCCGCCTTGGTCATCTTCACCGTGTGCGGGATTGGCTGCAAGATGCCCTTGTTGTCCAGAGCACCGAGCGCCATGCCCTTTGACCAGCCCATCTTAGCCAGCAAAGCGTGTCCCTTGTTCTCAGGACCAATCTCCGGGGCATTGGCACCGACTGTCTCGCCGTCGCGATAGCCGGTTGTAGGCTTGCCGCGCGCGCCGCCAAAGCGAACGGAGGCGGCCTTTTTGAAAGCACAATCGCCCTTTTTGAATGCACGATTGCCCTTTTTGAATGCACAATCGCCCTTTTGCGAAAAGGCTGGACCCGAGAGGCGTTTTACAAGGCCGTTTTGCAGGATTGCTTTGTCAAAGTCGTTATCGGAGTACGTCCGTGTGCGGGTGGTCTTTGTGAGGACGGTGAACCTGTCGTACCCATCGCCGCGAGAGCGGGACGTGAGCTTGAAGTGAGCCGCAGCCTGGTGGATGGCCGCGCGACGGTGAGCATCCATAGGGGGAAGCGCAAGGGTTTGCATGTCGCCGACCAAGAAGTCGCGCATCTCTTCCAGGACATGTTCCATCATGATGCCGTCCTTGTACTTGACCTTTAAGCTTGGTGCCTTGCCCTTCCTGCCGAGCAGGCCCTGCTGACGCAACTCTTCTCGCTCCGCCTTTTTCAGACGCTTCTTGTCTCGATCGGCCTCCCAGGCGCTTTGTAGTTGGTCGTTGAGGTCCGAGTCATCGAGCAGCTCAAACGGCATCTGGCCACGTCGGCCCTTCTTCTTGGGCTTCAGCGAGGGGCGCTCAGTGTCCATGATGTCGAAGCCGTTGTAGGGATCCATGTCGAGGACATCTGCCATGGCAGAGGCCGAGGGGAACGTAGGCTCGCGGTTCTTCCTACCGCCGCGCTTTCCCTGCTTTCCTCTCGATCGGCCAGCGTTGAGAGGAATGTAGTCGTCCGCACGCGAGGATGCGGCGAAGTAGTCATCAGCTGCGTAGAGCATCAGTTCGTCCGCACCCAAGCCGAGTTCCTCCTGCTTTTGCAAGACTCGGGCGATGGTTTCGTCGTCGAGCTCCTCGTCGTTGCCAAATCCGAATGGATCGTCGTCGTCGTCGTCGTCGTCGTCGTCGTCATCATCGTCGTCATCATCGTCGTCGTCGTCGTCGTCGTCGTCTTCTTCTTCATCTCCCTCAGAGTCGCTGGTGCTGCTGCCGCTGCCGTCCAACTCGGCCTTGCTGCGAAGCAGGGCGGCGGCCTCGAAAGCTTGGACGAGGTCCTTTTCGGCAGTGCTCTGCAGATAGCCACCAGGCAGCCAGTGGGCGTCATCTGGGACGGAGCCTTCGTAGACACACAGGTACTGGACGCCGCTCTTGCGGTTCCGCTTGGAAAGAATGCGGGCGACCGTGTCCATGACGTCTGACGAAGTGCTCATGCCGTCAAAGTCTTGCAGCATATCAGAGTCCCAGACACTGGCCTGGGCGTCCTTGTCGCCAGCCTGGCTGCCAGACGCTGGCTCCCAGTCATTGTGGCTGCCCGACGCCGACTCCCAGTCATTGCGGCTGCCAGCACCAAGGTCCATTTCACGACGCGCAAAGCCCGGGGCCTTGACCATGTCGCCGGTGAGACCAGATTCTTGAATGTTCTGCACGTAGTCGTCCATGGCGGCGTCGCGAGCATCGACGTGGCCAGCAAGGAAGACGTCCATGTCGGGACGTTGCTCACTCGGCAGCCACCCGATACCTGGCTTCGACTTGGAAGCCCATGCAGTTGTGGTGCCTTGCCAAGCAAGCTTGCCGGCCCGTCGCTTTGCAAACGCATCGGCACTGACAGCATCCGCGTCGGAGTCGGGGTCGGCGTCTGCGTCGGCGTCTGCGTCGGCGTCGACTTCTGGCCTGGGAGCAGTGGTGGTCGGCGGAGCAGTGGTGGTCGGCGCAGCAGTGGTGGTCGGCGCAGGCTGGGGTTCTGCGGACGGTCAGTGTGACGTGTCGTGCAGCATTGTGTTGCTTCAAGCTACCTTTGACCCGTGTGCTCACGTCCGGGCTATCGACGCGCGACGCGGCGGTCGAGAGTGGGGCTGACGTGTTGGCGCGTCCCTGGAAGACGACCTCGTCGCTGGAGCCACTCGAGGCCTCGGAGAGGGCGGGCGAGGGGCTGCGGATGGCCATGTGGGCCATGGCGCGGGTATTGTTGTCGGGCGGCAAGGCGGACTCGGAGGTGGATGGCGCAATGGACTCGTCGGACTCGTCGGCGGACTCGTCGGCAGAAGCGTCGGTCGCATGCACGCCGGGCTCCTCGTCGCTTTCCTTGTCGCTCTCCTCGTCGCTTTTCTTGTCGCTTTCCTTGTCGCGTTCCCTGTCGCATTCCTTGTCGCTTTTCTTGTCGCGTTCCCTGTCGCGTTCCCTGTCGCATTCCTTGTCGCGTTCCCTGTCGCGCACCTCGTCGCTCTCCTCGTCGCGCTCCTTGATGGTGCCCTCGAGCAGTCCGGCGCTGACAAACTCGACGGGCATGTTGCGCAGCCTCTTGGCGGCCTCAAAGGCATTCTTGCGGTGGCCCAGCACGAAGCGGGCTTCGTCGGCGAGCGAGAACCGGGGCTTCTCTGCTGCGACATGGTCAGCAGACTGCACTCGGCGCAGGGCCAAGGCGCGGAAACGCACGCTCGTCGTCGGGCCAGCCGCCGTGGTGCTTGCCAGGCGTGTGTCTGGACGTGTTCTTGGACGTGTGCATGGGCGCGTTCTTGGGCGTGTGCTTGCTCTTCTTCGGTCCCTTCTTCTTCGCCATGTCGGCGGTGCGGTGCGGTGCGGTGCAGGCGCGCAGGCGGGAGGCGGGTGGCGTGTGGGTGCAGAGCGACAGTGTAATGGCTGGCCGTGGGGCGGCGAATGCTCAGGTACGCGCTACCGCCGGGCGCCGCAAACGATGATGATGGCGTGAGTAGTGGCGGCGGGGCCAGCACTTATCGCGTATCGCGTATCGCTGGCGGCGGCGGCGGCGGCGGCGGCGGGCGCTCGTGCCCAAGCTGTTCGCTGCGCGGGCGCGACGTGCGGCCGTTGACATGGCGGGTCGCTGTGAATGTCTCGCAGCCCGTGTCCGGTAGTGGCTCCGTTCGCACAGCACGGCGTCTGGCCGTGGGCGTCCGTCGTGGCCGTGGCCGCGACAGGCGTGACCGCGACAGCCGTGACAGGTGAACGCTGCTGCCCCGCGCGCGGCCAGGCAGCAGAGGACGGCGAGCTTCCCCAGCTTGCCGCCACCCGCACCCCGTGGACCGGTGAACGACAGCTCCCCCTCCGCCCTTGGCAGCCACGCACCGCCTGCACACACACACACACAACTCAACCCAGCGCTGCGCAAGCTTGGCCTGTTGCCCGTCTGCATGTGAGACTCCAGCACGCACCTCCGCCCGCTGCACCCGAGAGCTACTCCGCCCGCTGCACCCGAGAGCTACTCCGCCCGCTGCACCAGAGAGCTACCCCGACCCAGCACCCGAGAGCTACCCCGACCCAGCATGAACGACTTTGAGCGCGTGGGCCGCAACCTCGTCCGCACCTTCTACGACCCGCTCCCGACCAACGACTCCAAGGACCCCATCTGGCTGCTCGGCGAGCGCTACGACCCCAGCGCGCCGCTCAGGCCGCCGCCGAGCGACGCGCCCGAGACGGTCTTGGGCGAGCGCGCCGAAGACGAGAGCTGGATACGGACCAGCGTCGACGAGGCCGAGCGCAAGGAGGCGCCGAACGGCCAGGACCCGGCCCAGTATGGCGGGTGGCCGTCGGCCTTTCTCGACGACTTTGAGTCGCGCATATGGCTGACGTACCGCTCCGGCTTCGCGGCCATAGCGAAGAGCCAGGACCCAAAGGCGACAGCCACGATGAGCTTCCGCGTGCGCATGCAGAACCTCGCGTCGCCCGGCTTCAGCTCCGACACGGGTTTTGGCTGCATGATCCGCAGCGGCCAGTGCATCCTGGCGAATGCGCTGCAGGTGCTGAAGCTGGGGAGAGGCTGGACGTGGCGCGACCACGCGTCAGACGCGACACACTGCGCCATCCTGGCCCTCTTTGCAGACGACGCCAGAGCGCCCTTTTCAATACACCGCTTCGTCGAGCACGGCGCTGCCGTGTGCGGCAAGTACCCCGGCGAATGGTTCGGCCCCTCGGCGGCGGCGCGCTGCATCCAGGACCTGGCCAACAAGCACAGCGAAGCCGGGCTCCGGGTCTACGTCTCGGGCGACGGCGCAGACGTGTACGAGGACAAGCTGAAGGCCACGGCCGTCGACGACGACGGGAACTGGCAGCCCACCCTCATCCTCGTCGGCACCAGGCTGGGCATCGATAAGATCACGCCCGTCTACTGGGAGGCCCTCAAGGCCGCTCTGCAGATGAAGCAGAGCATCGGCATCGCAGGGTACGCAGTCACCACACCCATCATCGTCAGAGCGCGAAGCTAACCTGTGCGAACCAGCGGCCGCCCCTCGGCATCCCACTACTTTGTCGGCACCCAGGGCAACACCTTTTTCTACCTCGACCCGCACACCACGCGGCCCCTGCTGCCGTACCACAGCCCGCCCCTGCTGCCGTCTGACGACGACGCAGAACAAACGCCCAGGCCCGACGCAGAACAAGCACCCAGGCCCGACGCAGAACAAACACCCAGGCCCGACCCAGAACAAACGCCCAGGCCCGACGCCCCCTCCACTGCAGACTCGCAGGCCTCCACTGCAGACTCGCAGGCCTCCACTGCAGACTCGCAGGCCTCCACTGCAGACTCGCAGGCCTCCATTGCAGACTCGCAGACTACCATCGTCCCCTCGCCAGCCGACGCGTACACGCACGCGGATCTGTCGTCCTGCCACACGCGCCGCATCCGCCGCCTGCAGATCCGCGAAATGGACCCCTCGATGCTGCTCGCCTTCCTCGTCACCTCCGAGCACGACTACCGCCAGTGGAAGGAGGGCGTCCAGAGCGTCCAGGGCAAGTGCCTCGTGCACGTCCAGGACCACGAGCCGAGCCCGCGTGGGCAGGAGAGGGACGGCGCCGTCGACGACGTCGAGAGCTGGGACGAGGACGGCCTGCAGTAGTGCGTTGCGCATGTGGTGGGTGTCTGGGCACCGTGGCTGTGGTGGATGATATCATGACGGTAACGCATTTTTTGGAGTTGGGCTTCGGGTAGATTATTTCGTAATCGCATGCAGCTGCGCGCTGTTCTTGAAACTGTGTCTTTGCTGCTTGATCCTGTGTCTTTGCTGCTTGAACCTGTCTTTGCTGCTTGATCCTGGTGCAGTTGATGCCATTAATGCAGTTGCTCCGCATGTCCGTGTATACGCACTTTCGATGCACTTTCGATGCACTTCTACTGCACTTTCGATGCTCTTTCGATGCTCTTTCGATGCACTTTTAATGCACTTCTAGTGCACTTTCGATGCACTTCCAACGCACTTTCAATGCACTTTCAATGCACTTCCAATGCACTCCTATTGCACTTCCAATGCACTTTCAATGCACTTCCAATGCACTCCTATTGCACTTCCAATGCACTTTCAATGCACTTCCAATGCACTCCTATTGCACTTCCAATGCACTTTCAATGCACTTCCAATGCACTCCTATTGCACTTCCAATGCACTTTCAATGCACTTTCCATTGAATGCACATCCAATGCGCATCTAATGCACTTCCAATGCATCTTCTCCATTCTCCCTTTTCCAGTAAACCTCCTCTTTCTCCAACGCTGCCGTGGGCCGAGAATCCAGTACACCTCCTCTTTCTCCAATGTGCCGTCGGCCGAGAATGCAATCCACACACATCTCTCCAGACCCTCCCACCAGGCAATTCCTCAATTCTCAAGTCCTCGGAAATCGTCTGAGCCCACAACCCCGCGTCCTGAAATCTTCATATCCAGCCCACCCCGCGTCCTGAAGTCTTCATATCCATCCCACCCCGCGTCCTGAAATCTTCATGTCCATCCCACCCCGCGTCCTGAAGTCTTCATGTCCAGCCCACCCCGCGTCCTGAAGTCTTCATATCCATCCCACCGCGCGTCCTGAAGTCTTCATGTCCATCCCACCCCGCGTCCTGAAATCTTCATATCCATCCCACCCCGCGTCCTGAAGTCTTCATGTCCATCCCACCCCGCGTCCTGAAATCTTCATATCCACCCCACAACCCCATGTCCTCGGACACGCACAGAACTCATCCCCGCAAATTCCCCTCGAGTCGTCGCGAGCTGACGGCTGGGACCCAGGGTTTGGCCTGGTAGTGCTGCACAAGTCGCCTTCGTCACCGGTCCAGATATCCGGGTCCAGATAGTCCACACAGTCCAGGTCCAGATATCCAGGTCCAGATAGTCCACACAGTCCAGGTCCAGATAGTCCAGTCCAGGTCCAGATACGGCGCATCCAACCGCCGTCCGCGTGCGTCTCCCCGTAATCCAGATAAAACGTCGCGCTCCTCGAATAGACTGCTCTCGTCCCAGCCGATGCATTCTGTCTCGTCCCAGCCGATGCATTCTGTCTCGTCCAGCCGATGCATTCTGTCTCGTCCAGCCGATGCATTCTGTCTCGTCCAGCCGATGCATTCTGTCT